TACCTTGAGTTACAAACGGCTCAGGTTACAAATGTTTCAGGTTACAAACTCCGCTAACCTGGAAGAGTTACCGGTACCTCGAGTTGAGAACTTTGCCCCAGGATGAGAATGGAAATCATGTTCCGGCGGCGCAGCAGCAGCAAGAGGCCCCATTAGCGAAAGCACGCCTCTCGTTAAGAACAGTTTCAGGTTAAGAACGGACCTCCGGGACGAATTAAGTTCTTAACCTGAGGTACCACTGTATAGCATTAATGGGGCCCCACTCTGGCACGGCCTGCAACACCTCTTCCCTCCTCTGTCTCCACGGTTGGCTTTCAGTTAATGATTTGTTGCAGAAAATAGGTTAACATTATTCTGAGTTTCAGTTCCAAACTGTTCATGATTGGCAGGTATGCAAAACTGAAGAGGGTACCAGCCTATTTCCTGTAAAAGCTACTCGTGCCTTCATCCACTAAAGATGCAAGGAAGCTCAACCCAGTGATGCTACACTGGCAAAGCAAAATTTACTGATGCCTTGTCTCAATAAGGTACATTAAGAACTTAACCATCCAAGGGTCCTTTACCTTACCTTTACATTAAGAACAAGTCCATTACTCCTTACAAAAGGCTTCCTAACGGGACATGCATTTTTCTGGGTTCCTATCAATTACTGGGCATGAATAAAAATCAGAATTAAAACCTTTGTAGATGCTGCTGGTACTTCTAAGCTTTATTTTCAGTGTAAATTATGTACACATTGCTGTTTTCCACAGGTACTGTATCATGGTAGGTTAGAACAATGATAGTGAATAAATGTATAAAGTTTGGTACTTAGAATATTATTTTTTTTAATGGTCTGAGCTTTGCCAACATTTTAACTATACCGCCCAAAACTGTCATTGAAATGGTTGTTGTACATGTACCTTATTAACTCAACATCTCTCTTCACGTCTGTATATGAATAGCTTGGTTTCTATGTCAGAGCTCAAAAGGAAGCATGTAATGATTTTTGTTGTTAAATCGCTTTCATAATAAATCTAAAATTAGATAAAAGGTCTTTGGCATTCTTCATTCTGCTATGCAGGTGGTCTGGATAATCACCTATTAATAACTGTCGTCGTCAGATGAGCACCACCAAGAGGCCGTGGGAAAGCGGACTAAATTTTGAACAGTGGGCATTTAATAAAACCGAGCTCAATTCTTTCATCTAAGTCATTTAAAGAGAGGTTGAACAACATTGGGCTCAGGACAGAACCTTGCAGCACCCCACAGTCACTTTTTTCCAAGGTGATGAGGAACCATTAATGAGTACTTTTTGGGTTCGCTCAGCCAGCTACAAATCCACCAAACAGTGAAAGTGAGGGTGTTTCCTTTGCTCCTGAGCTGCCCTACCCCTCAGTCTTTTCTTACATATTTTTTTCCCTCTGTTAATCTTTTCTTTCTCTTTGCACCGACCTTTTCATTCTTTCTCCTTAAAGCTCTAGTTGGGGCTTGCAAAAGAGCAACAGACTTCCTCAAGCCCTCTCTTTGCTATTGGGTTCACTCCCCCATTCCATGCAGTGCACATTCTCAACATGCTCAATGCCCAGTATTTCATCAATGAGAAAAGTTGGTTGTCTATGTTTTTTGCTTTCTTGGAGAAGTGCTCCTCTTGTCATCTGTCCCTGCCCTGCACATTCAGAAGAGACACAGAGAGAATTTCAGCTGGGAATGAGGAAGAGGAGCCAGTTCAGAGAACTCCCGTATTTTTTGCACCATAACACTCACTTTTTTCCTCCTAGAAAGTAAGGGGAAATGTCTGTGCGTGTTATGGAGCGAATGCCTACGGGTGGCGGGGGGGGGGGGATCTGCTGCAGTCGTGAGGAGAGGATCCATGGTTCCACTTCCTTCCCTCCTCCGTGGCTCGCTTTGAAACAGCAAAGCGGGAGAGGAGCCACTTACACAGGTGTAAGCGGCTCCTGTCTGGTTGGCTGCTTTAAACCGTGCTCTCTGTCCCTCTCTCCTCCCCACTCAGCTCGCTAAATAGCAGCAAAGCTTTTCAGCTCCCTAAGCCGGGGAGGAGGGAGAGAAGCAGAGCCTGCTTGTTTTAAAGGAGCAAAGCGGGAGAGGAGAGGAGCCTTCTCCCCTTATACCCCTCTTCTGCATTATTAGCAGCTTCCTTCTCCAGACACCCCACGCGTGCTCCTTATCCCTTGAGTGCTTTTCCTTCCCTCCCCACTTAAAACGTGGTTACAAAGCACGGATCCACATGGATCCTCAGGATTTTTGCATTGGGCTACCCCAAACTCACCGTCAGATCACATGTCTGTGGCCACAGCATGAACCACAAAAATCATACATCCACTGTTTCATTTAGAATATTTTTTTTCTTGTTTTCCTCCTCTAAAAACTATGTGCGTGTTATGGTCAGGTGCGTGTTATAGAGCGAAAAATACGGTACTACACATGTAATAATCCCTGTTGGTTTGGGTCACAAAACTCCTCCACCTCATAGTCTGGTCTTTCAGATTAACCAGAGCAGTCATAGGCCTGGACTGAGTCTGAGCTAGACTGTTGAGAAGCCCTCTGGAAAACCTTCATGGGTTGCCATTTGATTCTGCAGACAATACAAAATATTCTGGCACAGGGAACTGAGCAGACCGTCCTGCCAAGAGCAGAGCACGCTGAACACAACTGCTCATCTGGCTCTGATTCTGCTCTGACTCCACCGAGTCGCCTGGCTAAAGGAGCAACTTGCACAGAGTTTTGTTGTGGAATTTAAATATGTTTGTGTGTGTGTGTGTGTGAGGCAAAACTATAATTTTAGCAGAGAACTGGCAACATCTGAACATTTAGTGGGGAAAGGGGAGAAAAAACATTTTCTAAACTTTATAAGATAATAACAGGAAAAAAATGATCACATTTCAGAGATCCGATACATAAAAAATGGAATAAAGATTTTCTAACAAACATTCCTGAAGGAGAGTCATCTTTAAACTGCATTATTCTCATTCTCTATGTAAATCAGCTCTGAAGAAAATTGTATTAAAATGGCTGAGTGGCATTGGTTACCCTCGAAGTCAAAGACTAAAAGGGAGGTAGGAGATGAGGTCTGCCCTGTGACATTTTTCTAAACAGAGAGAGAGCTACTGTAACAGCAAATTGTCATAAGAACCTAGCACTCTGAAGGGATGAGCAAGAAGACATCCAAGGGCAAGGAAAACTGTCGCTGCTAGAGATACATTTTGGAGCTCCTTGCTCGCCACGACAAGCACGAGCCAAGCTTTGTGTCTGATGCTACAGGAGCGCCTGTCCTGTTTTGCCACCCGAGGCCTGCCCTGCGGGATTCTGCTGCCTGAGGCAGTTGCTTCAGTCTACCTTATGGCCGGGCCAGCCCTGCTGCACAGGGATGTTTTCAGACAGGAATGTGGGAGGGGAGAGTAGTTACCTTGCCACTTTTCAAAAAGCCCGTTAAGTATGCCCTTCATTCATGAGCCCACAAACCCTGAAACACTAACACCATATAGTGTGCATAAAGACTACTTCCCTCTTACACAATTCCATTTTTTCTGGTGTTCTTGGTGGCTGTGGGTAGCAACTCTCGTGATTATGGCTTACACCCCTTTTGTATGGCAGCAGCCACTGCTATGGGCTTGGCAAACATGATTTTGACATCAAAGGCATTGACAGGTGGTCAAAAAAAAGGCACCGTGATTGGTAACAAACCATATTTATACCAAGCTATATAAAATCTATCCTAACATTTGCTTCTTATGGGGGGGTCCACATTTTGGTAAACAGCAAGACCATGTAGGATGTACGGTATATTAAAAACATTTTGGATACACCATCCACTTAAGATCACTCTGTGCAATAGAAACATGGGTTAAAAGAAAGATGGTTTGTGCCTGGCTAAGTGGGAGACAGTGCAATAATGTTTTTGTGCGGCTCCCATGAATTTCAGCAGAGTGGGCTTAGACCTAAAGGATGACAACCTGTCTGTATTGGGTAGCTTTCAGCGGCTTCAATGTCAAGCTGACAATCAGCGTGTTTTGAAGGCTGTGATATTACATAAAGGACAAGATAAGCAACAATAATTGGCTATTGATTAGATTTGAGATTGCACCAGAAAATACACATAAGCCATGAAAAGAGATTGGATAGACAATCTTGGATCCAGAAGAGGATTCCGCAAAATTGTTGGGGGGGAGGGTAGTGGTGATTTTTAAAAACAATTTTCCTTACGCAGAAAAAGGGATTTTCTGGGCCTGTATGTAGATTGAGCCATCTGCTGCAAAAGAAGACACAATTTTGCATAACATTTGCATATATTTTATGTGACATGCAAATTTCTACCCTCCTTTACAAGTGGGGAAAAAAAAAAATGAGGGGTAACCATATTAATATATCCAACAGGCTAAATATAAACCCGTCAATCTTTCCTCATAATTGTAGTCATATGGAAACCAAGCTTTTTGAGGGACTTTGGGATGCTTAGCCTGGAAAAGAGGAGATATGATAGCCGTCTTCAAATATCTCCAGGGCTGTCCCACGGAAGAGGGAGCAAGTTTGTCTTCTCCTGCTCCGGAGGTTGGACTCAAACCCATGGCTTCAAGTTGCAAGCAAATAAATTCTGACTAAACATCAAGAACAACATTCTGATGGTAAGCGCTGTTTGACCGTTCGCTGATTCTATACGATCTGGGATTTATAATTTCACTGCTAGAAGTAATCACTGGCAACAGAAAGCACCTTTCCTTGTGAGCAAAACCAACATCCTTCAGAGTTCTCTTACTCTCTGACTGACATGTTGCATTCGGACTTCCCTGCTCGCAGGGCGCAATGTCCGCAATAAAACCCTTAAATGAACATCTATTTTCTCCCAGTCAGGGTTTGTCAGAAGGGGCAAAGACAGTTGCCCGCTGCCTGTGGGAGGAGAAGGTGCTTCTGCTTTCAAGCTCCCCTCGGGCCAGGCTGTTGGGCTTCTGCGCATCACTTCGCTGGGTCTGGGAGCGATGCCCGGACTCGGCTGCAGGTGAGTCAGGCGGCGGGAGGCGGGTCTCTTCCGACGCTGCCATTCTCTTGGCGGCGCCCAGACAGGACTGCCTTTCGGGGGGGGACCGGGGGCGAACCTCCCACCCGCGGAAGAAGCGCGCCCCGTTGCTGCGCTCCGGGTTTCGCCCGTGTCCTTCGCTGGCGCGCAGCCCAAGGAAGCCGCCTGCGCCGCCGCCGCCGCCGGGGCCCTTTAAGAGCCGCGCGCCCGCCCGCCCAGCCGGCCTGGCGGAAGGAAGGGCTGCGCCCGGAGGAGGAGGAGGAGGAGGAGACGGAGACGCCGCCGCCTTGGCAGCAGCATGGAGGGCGACTGCGCCGACGACTACAAGGCGTTCGTGTCCCTGCACGGGCCGGCGCTGCGCGCCTCGGCGGTGCCGCCCCGCTACTGGCAGAGCCTGTGGCGCAAACTGGAGAGCGAGGTGGGCGCCGCGGGCGGGGGAAGCGCGCGCCGGGAAGGGAGGCGGGCGGGCGGGCGGGCGGGCGGGCAGCGCGCCTCGGCGCCGGCAAGGCTTTGGCGCAGCCTGGGGGGTCCTCCTGGGGCGGAGGCTGTAAGAGGAGCAGCCCGGCTGCTGGATCCGGCCCACGGCCCCCTGTTCCCGCAGGCGCCTGTTGCGGCAAAGCAGCGCGCAGGAGCTGAGCCCTCAAGGCCCCTCTCTCCCTCCTGCGCTTTCCGGCATCCAAAGGGCAGGCCGGGCCGGGCCCGCGCGGCTCCGCGCCCCCGGCAGCCCTTCCACGCCGCCCCAGTGGGCCTCGCCGTGTCCTGGGGAATGCTGCTTCATTGCATGACCCCGAGACAGGGAGGAAAACGATGTTTCCATCCTCTCTTCCCACGCCGTGCATGGTTTTGTGAACTTCTATCGTGCAGCCTCTTGCTCACTTTCTCTGTAACTAAAAAGTCCCAAACGCTGCACAGCCAGATTTTGGTAATATGGCACCCTCAGCAAGGACAAAATCTGGCCACTCCTCCCCCCCCCCCCCCATTTTTAAATTTTATTTTCACAATAATTCCTTTTGGTAGAGTTTCCTTTTATGGGTTTTCTCAGTAGGTACTGTACCTGCATAAATACAGAGGGAAACCAACTGCATCACCCTAAATCTGGCACTGAATCCAGCAACCTTTCTTCATAGGGGAGTTGCTTAGCTGGGAGTAATTTGAGGAGGACCTGTTTCTCTCACTTGCGCCTGCTTCAGCCTAAAGGATCATGGTGAACGACTAAGCCAGATTTTGGGAGTAAGCATAATTGATTTGAAATTGGTTACTTCTAAGGAAGGATGGGGACGCAGGTGGCGCTGTGGGTTAAACCACAGAGCCTAGGACTTGCCAATCAGAAGGTTGGCGGTTCGAATCCCCGCGATGGAGTGAGCTCCCATTGCTTGGTCCCTGCTCCTGCCAACCTAGCAGTTCGAAAGCACGTCAAAGTACAAGTAGATAAATAGATACCGCTCCGGCGGGAAGGTAAACGGCGTTTCCATGCACTGCTCTGGTTTGCCAGAAGCGGCTTAGTCATGCTGGCCACATGACCCGGAAAAACTGTCTGCGGACAAACGTCAGCTCCCTCGGCCAATAAAGCGAGATGAGCGCCGCAACCCCAGAGTATGCCATGACTGGACCTAATGGTCAGGGGTCCCTTTACCTTTAAGGGAGGATGCTTTGGGCTGAAATGCTAACCGTGCCCCCTAGTTGTAAGACCCATTGAATTCAATAGGGTCTTAGGTGAGTGTTGTTGTGTTGCTTCCTTGGTGATTGGTTTTAGAATCGAAGGCTTGTTTGATCTTGCCCTTTCTGGCTTTCAAAAGAAGACATGAGAGTTGAAAGTGAGTTTGATGAAGGGGTGAGATTCCCTACCAAGTTTTTTGAGCGGTTATTGGTAATTAACTTGGGCGGGGGGGGGGGGGGACTGTTTTGAAAGTGGCTTGTGTTTTTCTTTGGGGAGGTGGCTTAATTTTGTTCCCTGGTTCTGAATACTGCGTTCAGATGTATGTCTCTTTGACGGAACTGATGAGAGGAACAAAGAGGAGGCATTAATTCCAGTTAGGAATCATGTTAGTAGTGGAATAGAAACTTGATACCTGTGTTTATGGACAAGTGATGTCCATGTTTTTTAACCACATTGTAAAGGCTTTAGGTAATTATGATAAAAATATAGCAGCTCTGTTTGGAAGTACAAAGCAATTGTTCTTGTGCAAAACATGTGAAATTGGAGGGAGAATGAGCAAGAAACTAGTCCAAGAGCAGACGTGACAAAGAATTTTAAACCCCATCTGCAGAAAACTTGTTCGACTCTCTACTTAACAATTCTTTCAAACACTACCGTGTTTTGAAATCAAGCGGTAAGTGTAATACTAAACATCCAGCATTTTGGCATTGTCTCAGTTAAGACGTGCAACCAGCCAGGGATTGCCAGCCTTTGGGGACCTGTGGGCACATTTGCAAGCTGGAGAAACTGTCACAGCCCCCTCCACAAAGCACACACTGCAACCTGTGCTATTGGCTACAGTAGAATGGATGCATCTTTCTTGCCAAATTTCAGCAAGCAGGGCACCAGGAGAGGCCACTGTGAGTGTGTAGGTGACCATGGCTGTTAAGCTGACAATCCCTGCCATCAACCGTGGTTAAGGTAGATAAGGCTGCCATCGCGTACCCAATTGCCTGAGGGTCAACAATGGCTTGCCTCCCTAGAGCTACATGGCTAAAGCATGAATTGGAATGAAGCAATTTAGAAAGCTGTGGCTTCTGCTGATTGTGGTTTGACGTGACGTCTGAATTGACTGTGGGCTATTGCTGCTCTGTCACTGAGACTGGAATGAATTTATTAGTCTGAGTTCTTTTAAGATCCATTTTATATAAAGAGATCATGAAGTTTGTATAAAGGTAAAGGTACCCCTGCCCGTACGGGCCAGTCTTGACAGACTCTAGGGTTGTGCGCTCATCTCACTCTAGAGGCCGGGAGCCAGCGCTGTCCGCAGACACTTCCGGGTCACGTGGCCAGGATGATGAAGCTGCTCTGGCGAAGCGGCACCAGAGCAGCACACGGAACGCCGTTTACCTTCCCGCTATAAAGCAGTACCTATTTATCTACTTGCACTTAAGGGTGCTTTCGAACTGCTAGGTGGGCAGGAGCTGGGAGCGAAGACGAGAGCGCACCCCGCCGCGGGGATTCGAACCGCCGACCATGCGATCGGCAAGTCCTAGGCGCTGAGGTTTTACCCACAGCGCCACCCGCGTCCCGAAGTTTGTATAGGGGTGGCCAATATAGTCCACGTAGACTGTGTTGCCTCCTTAGCAGCAGCAGCAGCAGAAGAAAGTATGAAGTTTTATCTACTAGTTGTCCCAGTTTGTGCAAGGACTTCTGCCAGTGCAACAGGACTGCCCCCCCCCCCAAAAAAAATGCTCGGGGTGGTTGAAGCCTCATAACAGATCTGAGAGGGCATAGGAAATTCTGTTCTGGGTACAACCCATGGATTCTGCTTTTGTTTTTAACCTATACTTGGTTGTTCTTGTACTGTTTTAACAAGTACTGTATTTTAGTTGTTTTTAAGGGCATGTTTGTTAATCACCTTGGGATATATATGTGGAAGGCAATTCACACATGAATGAATAATAATACATGAAATGTGAGTTACTTTTGATAACCTGCCCCACCCAGTTCCTGTACCACCCCCAGTGAAGCCTTTGTTGTAGGCTTAGGTTCTTAACTTGCTTTTCTTGCTTTCTCTTATTCCCCATTCAGTTTTTTCCTGCTTGATCCCAGAGTGTGTCATTGCTATGCATAGCTTATATAAATACCTTTTTGTCTGTACTTGTAAAAGCAAATCTGAGCAGTGATTTTTTTCTGCTCCATGAGTTAATGTTTTTCACTTCGTTTATAACCTGTGGACCTTTCCATCTTACTGCGATGACTTCAGAAGAGCAGTTTGACTCTTTCGTGGTTCTGTAGTGGCCTAGCTTGCTTTTTAAATTGCTCCGTGTCCAACAGAATTTACCTTCTGCCTCTCCAAATACAGTGAAAGGAAAACTTCCTCCAGAGTGCAAGACTCAAGACAATTGTGTTTTGTTTTCAACATTTCTACCTAGACAAGTTTAAGGAACTGCTCAGTATTGCAGATGATTTTTGGTGGGAATGTTTGAGTTGAGCATTCAGTTTACATGGGGCACTGGGCATGCCAGTTAGACATTGCTCCAGAATACTTCTGATACTCTCTGCAGCTTTACAGTGTATCTGGGAATTGGAAATAAAGGACAATATGATTTTCAGATAGGGGCAGCCAAGGTTCTCCTGATCTTTTCACTGAAAAATACCCAAATAGCTTCTAGGGAACACGGGACACAGTTTGAAAACCACTGCTCTGTGGTGGATTTAACTTCCTTTTAAAAATTCAGGAGGGGGCACACACTTGCAGTCAGCCAAGGAAAACTTTTCAAATAAAGATGCAAAACAAAAAATGTGGATGTCACTGCACATGTATCCTTATTTTCTGTTCTTTGGCATGTTTTTACCATTGCATTTCTTAAAAAAAAAATGCTTTTGCAATCCAATGCCAACTGTTTCTAAACAATTCAACAATAGTAAGTTGCTTCTGGGGTGGCAGCTGGTTTGAGAATAGCGCATCCCCTTTAAGCTGCTGAGAATCATTTTTGACCTTCCCATTAAGTGTATATATCTGAACAGTAGGACTGTTTGCATGAGGGTTAGTTTCATATGATTAAAATGGTAGTTCTGAAAAGCAAGAAGAGTACTTTGCCATTTTGGAAGCACGGTGCAATGTCAGGGACACAATCCCACTTCTTGAGCTAGCACCAGGAACCAAGTGACCAGGTTTTCTGCTAAGGCCAGCTATAATCGGTGAATCCTTGAGAAAGGCCATTCTAATGTGACTGCTGGCCATAGTTTTTTGTAATAAAACACGTTTTAACTTTTTTGAAAAAATGCTGCCCTGTTAATTGACCAATCCACAGATCGCTGCAGCCCTTCTGAGTAATCAGGTTATTTTCTTAGTTTTCTGTTACATGCCAGCACTTTGGTTTTATTGCTTGGCTTCCTCTTTTATGGTGGATTACTAAGTCGGTCTGCAGGTTGACACTTGATTTGCAACCTGAGAACTGTAAGTGAATTCAAGGCTGATGGGAAGCTGGCACAAATGAATGTGTTTTCGTGTCTTCTGCATGTATGTTTTTCATCTCCTATTGGAGTTAAAAGTGATATTCTCCGGCCATTGGGGATGAGATCGCTTCTCAGCCATTGAAGAGTGAACTAAATGGCAGAGATAATAAATATTGAATAACACGGCTGAAACTTCCTGCTGTTGAGGTGTGAACAAAATTAGTATTATTTTTAAAAACAGTGTTTTCAGAGATTTGTGACAAATTCTAGGTGCTAACCATGATCCCAGTGCTGCCTCACTAATATCTAAGACAAGCGCTTGTGTATTCAGTGTTGGTGTGGTATATTAAATAAGGAGCATGCAAGTTGCATGTAAATGGCCGAAACCGTTCTCTAAGCCCCAAAAGCCACTTTTGGACGAAGGAAGTGGGAGGGAAAGGTTTCTTGCCATTTACCTGCCAGTTGCTTCTCCACCTTTACCAAGGCTCCAGCAGAACTTTTTGAATGTTATGAAGGGAGGAGACTTGGGATGATTTGGAGCAGAGAAAGGACAAGTAAGAGCAGGTTTAAGTCCCTCTTGCTTCCCCTGATTCTCTACTCTAAATCCTCACCTCCCAAAGCAGCTCTTAAAAAAAAAAAAAGAGGGCTAAGTTAAATATTCTTGAAAGGAACAAGTATTTAGCCCCAAAGAACAAGAATGAGTAAATTTCTGAACCCTGAACTCTGGAGCCATTATTTTCTCAGCACCACCTGCAATGTATGGATAAGGATACTGACCATCCTTACAATGGGGTAGTGAAATACATTCCCAAATACAGGTGTCTCTCCGCTTACAGACTTAAACTCACTGTACTATGTCGTTCACTGGACTTATATAGTGGTGAACTCCTACCTGATGCTTAACTTTAAAAGCTTTTTTTAAAATACCATGCTCAGTCCGTTGGGTCAAGTTTAAGGCTTTGCCCCTTCATCCTTGTTTTCAATTTCAGGTGTTTGATGCTGGGGAATATTTTGGGATAATGCAAGTGGAGGAGGTGGAAGAGGAAGAAGACGGCGATGAAGAACTTGAGGGAGAACTGAAAAAGAATTCAAATCCTGGAAATGAACTCTGCTACAAAGTGATAGTGACAAACGAAATGGGACTTCAGGCGGCAAATTCTAACAGGTGAGTCATTATTCTGAAGCCGACCTGAATGTTGTGTTTGCCCTTATGCTCATGAGCTTTACAAAGTATGAGAAGGTAGGTCCCTGCCCTGAAGGGCTTGCAATATATGCCAGGCATAGGCAAACTCGACCCTCCAGATGTTTTGGGACTACAACTCCCATCATCCCTGACCACTGGTCCTGCTAGCTAGAGAACATGAGTGTTGTAGGCCAAAAACATCTGGAGGGCCGAGTTTGCCTATGCCTGATATATGCAGTCCTTGGAGCAGCACAAGCAAGACAGCAGAGCAAGAAGAGGCAACAGAAGGCGCACAGGTAGATCGTGCAGTTATTTAGTTACGTGTGCTTGGAGTTAGTTACAATATGGGGGATTCTGGGATGGTTCTGAAGGATCTACGGAGAAGGTCGGTTCTGAGGAGAGATTTGATGGAAGAAAAAGAGGTGCCTCTGGGTATTCTGGAAGGCAGTTCCAAGCATATGTAGCAGGAAGGGAGAAAGGAGAGAGGTTATTTTGGGGAAGCAAAAGGGCACAGTTAAGGCTATATTGGGATACAAGAGGCCATGGAGGGTTTTGAAGGTAAATATAAGACGCCTGTCAGGATCCGGCAGCAGACAGGAGAGTTATGGATGAATGTTGCATGGCCAAAGCAGCAAGAGAGATGAATAGTTTTGGCAGGAGAGTGCTGATGGCATCAAAGATGGCAAGGTGGAATGGGAGAGGGGGGAGGTGGCAGTAGTTGCAGTAAGAGGTGACCATGGCGTCAGCAGTTTTAATTTGGACTGTTATTAGGGCAGAGTTTTAGAATGTCTTGTCTATAGTCATCATCATGAACTGCCTGCATCATCATGTGTACCTGTGCTCTGTGTTTTGCTCTTAACCTGGCCTGTCTTGCCTTCAAAGCATTTTTCTCATTGACCATGCCTGGACATACCGCGTTGAACATGCCCGCCAGCAGCTTCTGCAGGTCCCTGGTCTGCTTCACAGAATGGCCAACCTGATGGGAATAGACTTCCATGGAGAAGTGCCGGATGAGAGAGCTGTCACTCAGGTCTTGGAGGAAATGTGGAAATACAACCAGACCTATCAGCTGTCACATGGGGTATGGCCGTAGTAGGAAAGCTGAAACTCACACTGGGGTCTAGCTATAAAATTAAGAGATTGTGAAGAACAAGCTTTTAAAAGCATTTCCCGGAGGCAAATGAATGATACTTGACATCACAGGCACAGATTTAGCACTTTCTGCTTCTGCTTAATTTGTTGAAATGGAGAACTAGTTGGGTATTAAAGACACCCCAAACCTCTGAACAACCTCACTCAGCCTTTCATGTAGATATAAATAACATGGGGCAACACCAGAGCCTGTGAGACTCCATAGCGTAACTGCCAAGGAGTCGAGCAGCAGTCCTGCAGAAACACCCCCCGAAGTCAGATGTTACAGTCATTTTTATAACACATGACTGAGTTTGTTCTTCTTGTGCAGACTGCAGAGGAGAAGGTCCCTGTGTGGTACATTATGGATGAATTTGGATCCCGAATCCAGCATTCAGATGAGCCCACTTTTGCAACAGCCCCCTTATTTTACATGCGGCAACAAATTGCTTATACGGTTCTCTGGCCCTTAAGGGACCTCGAGACCGGAGGTAAGTGTATCTGTGCACTAGGTGTGCTATCTGGGTAAGTCAGTATTCTCGTAGCAGAGATTCAGAAAAATAGACCACAGGCAATTGTACTTCATCCATCAGAGCTTTTACTTGCTACTGAAGCCAAATGAGCATAATGGTCACAAATCCAGAATATAAGACTTCCGTGCAAGACGCTTCTGCGTTGTTGTTTTTTAAGAGCAGAGGGTGATGAAAAGGATCCGGTGACTGTGCCAGATCCTGAGCTTCCCCATGGACCACTTATCGGTGCAGCTACCCAACTCTCAGTTTCGTAACATTACCATGACTTCAGGTGACCCAACTTCAAAGGAATTTCAAGCTGGGTTACGGAAGAAGATCCCTGCCAAAAATGGGACTCGTAGGCTCCCTTTTGGAAGGGATCTGCTGTTCTTGGGGAGCTGCTGATTGGGAACTCCCTAGTGCAGTTGATACCAGCAGAGTTTCCTATCAGTATTGATCAGTTGATGATTTCAGCAGGTGGCCCTGACTTGGGGAAAGCAGTCTTGCAAGCCAAATCAAGCCTACATTGGCCCAGTGACTGTTTCAGAGGACAGGTGAATTAGTAGTCGAGGCTGTGTTGTGATTTTTTGTTTGTTTTAAATGTATGGAAATTTTCTGCAATTTTTAGTAACCTCCGTTTATGCATAGCTATTGCATATTCATAGCGACAACACTGAGTTGATAACAAGTGTACAAAAAATACCTACAACTTTTCATTTTCTTACAGAGGAAGTGACCCGTGACTTTGCCTATGGGGAAACTGATCGCTTAATCAGGAGGTGCCGGCTCTTGCCATGGCTACCCAATGATGTTTTGGAGGTCAACTCTTTTACTGCCGAGCCATCAGATGATCACTACCAGGTACAATTTTTTATCTTTAACCGGATTGGTTTGTTACAGAGAACTACTGTAACTTGCTGTCGGTATCAACTATTTCTGCACTTATCTGTTATACACATAGGCTCCATTACTACTCACCAGAAGTAAAATTAAAATACTGGGGACTAAGGCCGGTCTCCTGACCGTAGTTATATCGGCCATGAAGGGGGGAGCAGGAAAAAACTTAAACACGTAGCAGAGATTCAGAAAAATAGACCAGAGGCAATTGTACTTCATCCATCAGAGCTTTTACTTGCTACCGAAGCCAAATGAGCATAATGGTCACAAATCCAGAATATAAGAAATCCAGTTGCAGCACTTACAATAAAACTTACAAACTTATAATAAGACTAAACCTTAACACTAGCATACAAAAAACAGAACACAAGAACAAAGAGAGATAAAGGGAGAGAGACCCAGGCTCCTCCTGGCCAGACTATTATAGGCAGCACGACCTTGACAGAAAGGATAACAAAGCCAGCTTAAACCAGCTGTACTCAGCTTCCCAGCAGAAATAACCCAAACAGAAACCTCCTTCCTGTTTCTTTCACATAGAAAGAAAACTTTCTTTCACAAAGAGAAGAAACCTTCTATATAACCCTCTTGAACTAATCAGAACAGGAAAGGTCTCTACACATCAGATCAATACTTTCTGTACTAAGAAATGCAAACTGACAAGTTAAGAGGTGGGGGGCTCACACGTCCCCTTCTTCACGGACTTATATGACGTAGCAATAAGCAGACGTGCGGTTTGTTTGCATCTGTTCTTAAATTTGTTTTAGATATTTTATTGCCCTGTTTTGTTTTTAGATCCCTTTTAATACTTCGAATGTGTTTTTATTTTATTTTTAGTGTGTGTGTTTTTAATTACAGAGGTGTTTGCCTTCTTGTCTCTTTTAAAAGAAAGAAGGTAGGTGGTAAATTTAATAAAGGAATAATAAATAAATTGCATCTCCACTGGTGCTAATCCAGTTGTGTACGTTGTTGCGCCATACTCAGTGCAAACTACAGAAGGGAGAGGATTTGCAGAACACTCACTCTCCCAACCATTGTTCGGAGACCGCTATCATTATAGGTGTAACAGCTTTATAGGTTCAGAAAAACGCTTGGGGGGGAAATAGCTGCTGGGATGATAAACTTCAGACAGCTGGTGTAGGATTGCATTTGTGTGTTGACTCCGCACACAACGTCCTCGGTGCTCATTGAAAACTAGCGCAGGTCTGAGATAATGTCTGGTTTAGTATTCATTCTTTATTCTGCTAGTTATCCATGTGCAGGGAGACATTTACATGAGAAAGCATTCAAATGTGTGGTTTCCCTACTTGGACCAATCCCAGAAGGGTTCTGAAGTTGTTATTGACTAATTGTTATTTAATACTCAGCATTTAAATCACAAAATGCTGACGTCCTTCCTCCCTAGGACTGGGGTGAGGCACCTGTGGGCCCCCAGAGTGGTTGAGCTCCAGCTTCCATCAGCCGCAAACAAGAGTCGGGGATGACAGATGTTCAGCAACATCTGGAGGGCCGCAGGTTCACCACCCCAGTATTCCTGCCATAGAGGGTGCCTAGATTTATTATAATAAATCAAGCTCATGTTAGTAGCTTCGAGAACACTGTCCAACCATCTCATCCTCAGTCATCCCCTTCTCCTTGTGCCCCCATCTTTCCCAACATCAGGGTCTTTTCCAGGGAGTCTTCTCTTCTCATGAGGTGGCCAAAGTATTGGAGCCTCAGCTTTAGGATCTGTCCTTCTAGTGAGCACTCAGGGCTGATTTCCTTCAGAATGGATAGGTTTGATCTTCTTACAGTCCATGGGACTCTCAAGTGTCTCCTCCAGCACCAAACTGCTAAATAATCCGAGCAAAATTTGTCTGACGGGTTTTTATACAGCTTGATAGAGTTGGAAGAGGGTGAATTGAGTGAGAGCAGAACTAGATGAACAAGGAATTTAACTGAGGTGTTATGTCAAAATTGATCTTTAATTGGGTTTTCTGACTTCTGCGCTTTGCTGCATTTCAGTAGGACTTACCTTCTGAGTCAACACATATATGTGAGAATCAGCCTGCAAATTGTCCTCACCACAATTGAAACTGTTGTGTCTTCTACAGTATAAATTACTGTATAAATTACACTGGTGGTGTTTTCTGTTTTAGGCCATCTTAAGTGAGAACAAGGAGACACTTCCTATTCCAATAAAGCTTCCTGTTTATGACAAAAACAAAATCTTCAAGTACGTATTTCCAAATGGTGTGTTTTGCAACAAACGTATGACTTCTGTGAGTGGTTTTTCAACAGTGGAGAGTTAGCTCCATTTATTGTATACTGGGACATTTAGCCCTGGATTCTGCTGCCTATATAGGAGAAGTTCAATGTGATGCAGAAAAGAGAGGAATAATGTTGCTTTCAAATAATTGTAGTGGATGAGTTTGTGTAAAATTGTAGAGATTATAGGTTGTTAATGTGAATCTTCATGTCCAACCCTGGGGAGAATAATAACAAGAAGGTAATGCATTTTAAAGAGAGGCTATAGCAGTAAGGAATAGTGTACTAGCAAGAGAACCATTTTAATTCTTGCAGTAAAAACAAGGGAGAAGATGAGTCATTGCGGAGAAAGGAAAACATTACTAAGCCTGCAAAGTTCGGTGTGTTTGTTCTGCAGGAGGGTAGCCAATGTTTTGCTTCCTAGTTAACTGAAAAAACAGCAACAATGAGAGAGCAGGTTTTTTGAATACACAACTATGGGCGTTTGCTTCTAAGTAGAAATATAGTATGTTTGGATAGTGGCCTAGCAAGCCGCTGTTGTAGCATGCCAGAAGGTCTTTTTCCTTCACTCTGTTTGGAAATCTGTATTCCCTATTCACAGCTGTTAAGTGGTATGTGCTAGATTGAGTTAATGCAAATCCATCTCTCTTCTCTCGATCACACAGGCATTCTTGTACATTTTGAGGGGAAAAGTGTGTTTGCCTATATGCATGTGTGTTTTTCAAAGACTGAGTACAGGTTTTTAGGTTTTAATGGAAAGATTTTTATAGAGGCATGACTGTATTCTTCTAAATAGACTAGAGACCTATTTGCACATTGCACTAAGTCATAATTTATTTTCAACAATGGCATTTTATTTTATTTTATGTTATTTTATTTATATACCACCCTTCATCAAAGGATCCCTGGGTGCTTCACAGAATAAAATGCAAGATAAAACACAAGTAAATAATTAAACCTTAACAACAAAACCACCCCCCCCCCCGTACATTTGTGAACATGCTTCCCACGCCCTTGGGCAGCTTCCCCCACCCCCATGGTTTGTCATATTGTCCAAAGTTAAGTTTGTTTGTTTGTAACAAACCCCAAGAGGGGAAACAGAAATAGGCCATGGTTTCTTATTATGCTATAAGGAACACTTGGGGGACAACACATTCATGGTGAAGTCATGTTTAAAACAAACTATTGCTTAACATGACAGGCACTCTAGTTTACTGTTTTGGCTAAGAGCAAGTAGAAAATCTAGTGAACTTTCCTTGTTTTGATGATGTGATGTTGTAAGCAATGTGATCTCGTGTTAAATTTCCAGTAACATATTTCTGCTATTCGATGAAGGTGGTACTTATATCTTACTGGGGCCTCAATTCTTGGTTCCAAACTCAGCGATTCCAAAAGTGACTTTTAGGTTTATTTAAATAAGCAGCTACCTTTTGGATAAGAATTTTTTTGAACGGTATTATCTAGGTACAACTGGCAGGTGTTGTTGCTTTCATATTATCCCAGCACATATTATGCCCCAACTTTTTAAAAGTGGTTTAACATCTTGCCTAATAAAGAGTTCCGGGGAAAACAAAAGCTTGCTCGCTCTTTTGTGACATTTTGGTTAGTCTCTACCCCGTACTGTGGGTTTTGCATCCAGGTAGGGTAATGGTGAATTTTGAAATCGTGTTTGTGTATGTGTATGTATGTATGTATGTATGTATGTATATGTATGGATACTGGTGATTTTTTATTGCTGTTTTAAATTGATAGTGTTGTATATTTGATTCTCATAATGATAAAGGTTGGCATATAGATGTGTCAATAAATACGTTTCTATAATTGTCTAGAAAAGACAAGAAGGGGTTCCTGGCTTGGGTTGCAGGATCTGTGGGGGCTGAAAAGTCTCGCAAGTGTGGCCCTTTCCTTATTGCCAATGCAATACTTCTCAGGAACTTCAACAACACTATTTATTCGAGTCTCCATATGCCTCCCTCCTGAGAGCTTCTTTCATATATTTTCCTCCCCCCCTTTTTTTTTAAAAACCAGAGTTTACACAGACCTCCAACAGGTCCTTCAGAATCTGACTCACCCCCGTTTTGAATTTACGGACTCTGAGCAAGAAGCTGACATTCTCTACAACTTCTCTCACTTCAAAGATTTCAGGTTACACAGCTATTTCCCTGCAAGTAACAATTTTTCTTACCTGTTCAATATGCGTATATTCGGCTGTGCAGCTCTCTGTTTTTAAATGCATCCCTTGTCTTGTAGGAAACTGAGTGAGGAAAGGCCTCATGTCATGCTGAATCAGTTTCCTTGCGAGAACCTCTTGACCGTGAAGGATTGTCTGGCATCCATCTCAAGGCGCATTGGGGGATCAGAGGGGCCAAAATGGCTGCCACGCACCTTTAATCTTCATACAGAATTACCACAGTTCATCAGTTACTTTAAGCAGCGCGAAAGGAGGTGAGTCCAGCTCGCTTCTTGCACAGAAATAACAATTTGCATCTGTAGTCAGTATCCCTAATTTTATGTGCCCAAGATAAAGTGCAATAGTGGCTGAAATAGTGGAAACTATAGTGGAATCCCAAGGGTGGCGCTGTGGGTTAGACCACAGAGCCTAGGGCTTGCCAATCAGATGGTCGGCGGTTCAGATCCCTGAGACGGGGTGAGCTCCCGTTGTTTGGTCCCAGCTCCTGCCAACCTAGCAGTTCGAAAGCACAAAGTGCAAGTAGATAAATAGGTACTGCTCTGGCAGGTGTCCTGGCAGGTGGATAGATCACATCTATCCAGTGCTTTACCAACTGCACTGGCTCCCAGTGGAGTATAGGGTCAGGTTTAAGGGGCTGATTTTGACCTTTAAAGCCCTATGCGGCCTAGGACCCACGTACCTACGGGACCGCCTCTCTTGGTATGCCCCACGGAGGGCCTTAAGGTCCACAAATAACAACACTTTGGAGGTCCCGAGCCTCAAGGAGGTTAGATTGGTTTCAACTAGGGCCAGGGCCTTTTCAGCACTGGCCCCGATCTGATGGAACGCTCTGTCACAAGAGACTAGGGCCCTGTGGGACTTGCAGGCCCTGCGGAAAGATGTCAAGACAGAGCTATTCCGCCTGGTTTTTGGTTTGGACTCAGTCCAACCCATATGTTTCCCTCCCCTTAGGGTCTTGATTTACCAACTATTTTAAAATGAGGTTGCACTTTAAATTGCATTTTAACCTGTATTTTTAAAAAAATAAATTCCTATTAGGTTTTTACTGTGATTTTATTGGTGTTAGCTGCCCTGAGCTCTGGCTGGGGAGGGCGGGGTATAAATAAAATTTATTATTATTAGTAGTAGTAGTAACCAGCGTTTCCGTGCGCTGCTCTGGTTCGCCAGAAGCAGCTTAGTCATGCTGGCCACATGACCAGTACCAGCTGGCTCCCTCAGCCACTAAAGTGAGATGAGCGTTGCAACCCCAGAGTTGGTCACGACTGGACCTAATGGTCAGGGGTCCCTTTACCTTTACCTTTATAGTGGAATTCCACCCTCTTTGTCTGCTCTGGCTCTCTGGGTCACCCCTGTGGGAATCATGTAACTGGGGGTGAGGGAGAAGTAAGAGGTGGAATGAACCCCCCTCCACCCATTCCTTTGCTCTGGCCTCATCTGTTGCTGGCATGCAGATCCACCCTCAAAGTAATGTGGCACCAGAAAGGGAAAAGTGACCTTCCCTTTGTACTCCTGAACGAAAACTTTTAATACTTACCGTATTTTTCGCTCTATAACACGCACCTGACCATAACACGCACATCGTTTTTAGAGGAGAAAAACAAGGGGAAAAAAATTCTGAATGAAACAGTGAATGTATCATTTTTGTGCTTCATGCTGTGGCCACAGACATGTGATCTGATGGTGAATTTGGAGTGACCCAATGCAGAGATCCTGAGGATCCATGTGGATCCATGCTTTGTAACCACGTTTTTGCACCATTGCAGCCCCAGGCAACAGTGGGTGCGTGATTTTTGGGGGGCAGGCTGTAGCCATGGACATGCTATGTGATCTGATGGTGTATTTGGGGTGACCCAATGCAGAGATCCTGAGGATCCATGTGGATCCATGCTTTGTAACTACATTTTAAGTGGGGAGGGAAGGAAAAACACAGAAGGGACAAGGAGCATAAGAATGCAGGAGAGGGATTTAACGGGAGGGAGGAAAGAAAGGCAAAAGTCCCCCACCCACCCACCCAAGCCCAGCCCTCTCTCTCTCTCCCTCTCTCTCTCCCTCTCTCTCTCCCTCTCTCCCACCTGCATGTTTTCTGGCTGCCTGCGAGGAGCAGGGAGAGGAATTAGAAGGAAGAACGCTCTGCTTCCCTCTGCTTGCCTGGAGGGAGGGGATTTGCCTGCTCTTTGTTCCGTTTGAGCAAACACAGCAACGAAACACAAGCGGGTGGGCAGTAAGACCCTGAGGCAGAATGCAGGAAAGCAGCAACTTCCTCTTTTCAGGTTTCCCTTCTCCGACATGCGATTTGATTTTTGCCTGATTTTTGTTCCTGCGCTCGCCCTAGTCGGCTCCAGGGACCACACATTTGCTCAATAACACGCACAGACATTTCCCCTTCCTTTTTAGGAGAGAAAATCTGCGTGTTATAGAGAGAAAAATACGGTAGTTACTTGAGAGGGCCAGTTTTAATTAGGGAGAACAACGTTTAATTGCTGGCTGTAAGAGTAGAGGAGTGTCCTGTAATGGAAAGGTGGCTGCCTTTTCCTAACCATGAGTGGTAGCCTTTATGTTTGCATTGTGATTAATACTTCTTCGGTATCTCTAAAAACAAAACAAAAAACCCTAACCCGAGAAACACATAAATTTTGGCAATGTGTAGATGTATCTCAGTTCAGCTGGTTTGTTAAAGGGTGGTGGCTGAAAACTTCTAATTGATTTGATCAGTTTTGTTTTTATAGTTACTTACTTTAATGGCCTCACATTCTCCGAATGATGTATAGTAAAAAGCAAGAGGAGTAGGTGGCGCTGTGGTCTAAATCACTGAGCCTCTTGGCTTGCTGATCAGAAGGTTGGCAGTTGGAATCCACGCAACAGGGTGAGCTCCCGTTGCTCTGTCTCAGCTTCTGCCGACCTAGCAGTTCAAAAGCAAACCAGTGCGAGTAGGTAGTGCTGTGGTGGGAAGGTAAACGGCATTTCTGTGTGCTCTGGCGCTCGTCATGGTCCTCCGTGCACCAGAAGTGGTTTAGTCATGCTGACCACATGACCCGGAAAGCTGTCTGTGGACCAACAGTAAGAAGTTGAACAGCACTGTTATTTTATTTATTTCTGTGCTCAAATTCACCTAACACAGGGAGAATTAAATCAGATGATAGTCTCAGTTTAAACCAATATAATATAATCATTGGGTGTAAAGAGGGCTGCCTAACTTGTGGTCCACACAGCCCACCTGCTATGCCTGTTGCATAGCTTGATGAACCCATTTCTGTTGGGCATCTTTCATCCATTTGTGCTTTGTGCCTCTTCCGTTGGGCATCTCTTGATCAAAGAGGAAATGAGGAGGACTAAGCAGAACATGCATTTGTCTTGGTGAATCACAAGTTGTGCAGCCCAGGGTAGAGTATTCTTGCCTGGGAATGTTTGCATTCAAACATGCAATGGACAAACGCCTGCTCTTTCCTTTCTTCCTTGGGCCAACTGTAGGGAAGAGGACAACCACTGGATATGCAAACCGTGGAACTTGGCCAGGAGCCTGGACACCAGCATCTCAAAGAGTCTTAACAACATCATCAGGCAGAGAGAGAGCATCCCTAAGGTCAGAGCAAAATGGGTCTTTGTAGCATAGCTTCTTATTCCCTGGAGCATCTCACTGTCGTTTTCCTTTTACATTTAAAAAGGTTCATAGAATCATAGAATCATAGAGTTGGAAGAGACCACAAGGGCCATTGAGTCCAACCCCCTGCCAAGCAGGAAACACCATCAGAGCACTCCTGACATATGGTTGTCAAGCCTCTGCTTAAAGACCTCCAAAGAAGGAGACTCCACCACACTCCTTGGCAGCAAATTCCACTGTCAAACAGCTCTTACTGTCAGGAAGTTCTTCCTAATCTTTAGGTGGAATCTTCTTTCTTGTAGTTTGGATCCATTGCTCCGTGTCCGCTTCTCTGGAGCAGCAGAAAACCACCTTTCTCCCTCCTCTATGTGACATCCTTTGATATATTTGAACATGGCTATCATATCACCCCTTAACCTCCTCTTCTCCAGGCTAAACATGCCCAGCTCCCTTAGCCGTTCCTCATAAGGCATCGTTTCCAGGCCTTTGACCATTTTGGTTGCCCTCCTCTGGACACGTTCCAGTTTGTCAGTGTCCTTCTTGAACTGTGGTGCCCAGTTCTTGAACTGTGGTTCTCGATGTCTTTGCTGTGACGCCATCTTCGTTGTTCATGTTAAACTTGCATACAATGTTTAGCAATGTTTAGCAGTGGTCATTGCATTACAACATTTGAAGTGTTTTTCCAGTGGCTTCTTTCAGCCCATACGTCTGTACATTTTTGACGGTAATAAACATTGGATAATTTCCACTTTATGCCTTAGCTACCACACTGTTTGCTGAGAAGTAAGATGCCACTTAGGTATAAACATCAAGAAGTGTTTTGCTCCTTCTTCCTAGACTGGTTATTCAGTTTACAGCATTAATTTTTTAATGCACACCTTTTTCAACTCAAGTATCTAAGTACCCCTTTGCAGCCCAAGGCAACCAGGTAATCTTACATCAAATTGTTTTCATAATTTCTGGTGATATTTGGTGATATATTCGGTTTGTTCCTTAGAATCATAAGTTCTTTTTAAGTGCAGTGCAAAAAATCACTTTTGAGTCAAAACTACATGAAATTCTAGCATAGCATCATAGAATTGTAGAGTTGGAAGCCCCCCAGGACCATACAATCCCACCTCCTGCAAGGCAGGAATTGCAAGAATCCATGGCAGATGGCCATCCAACCTCTGCTTGAAAAACTCCAAGGAAGGAGAGTCTCCCACCTCCCGAGGGAGACTGTTCCACTGTTGAACAGCTCTTGCTGTCAGAAAGTTCTTCCTGGTCTTTAGTCAGAATCTCCTTTCTTGTAACTTGAAGCCATTGGTTCGAGTCCTACCCTCCGGAGCAGGAGAATACAAGTTTTCTCCATCTTCCATTTGACAGCCCTTTGGATATTTGAAGATGGCTATGATATCTCATCTCAGTGTCCTCTCTTCTAGGCTAAACATACCCATTTCCCTCAACTGTTTCTCATAAGGCTTGGTTTCCATATGCTTTGCTTGCTTTGATAAAAAGCAGAACAACAGCTTAAAGGAAAACAAAACCAAATAAAGGAAAGCACATTCTTTTTTTATTTATAAGCCATCTATGCCTGAAAAGAGACAGGTCTGCATTTGGCAGGTTCATTGTGAGGTGGGGAGATTGGATACTCTCACTGTTGTGTGTTCAGCACCTTCACTTTGCGTTTAGTGGTTGATCTCACAATTATTCTTAATCGTGTTGCAGTTTTTTACACAAGTTGTAATTGTAAGCTGCTTTGAGGGCCCAACATTGGCCAGAAGGAGAGGTACAAATATTTGAAGCACAAAGTTGAAATTGTCTGACCTGGGGTTTCTTATTCTTCTGTCTTCAGGTGGTATCCAAGTACATTGAGAACCCAGTGTTGTTCTTTCTTGAAGATGTGGGATTAGTTAAATTTGACATCCGTTACATTGTGTTGTTGCGATCAGTTAAGCCACTCCGACTGCATGTTTATGATGTGTTTTGGCTACGGTTCTCAAATAGGTAAGAAGGCAGCTTCTACCACGCATTGAGAAGGGTTGGACTTGTGGCATTGCTGAATTTTATGAAGAATGAATGTTGTATTTCATCCATTTTTCCTTTTCAGAGCATTTTCACTTGATGACTTGGATGATTATGAGAAGCATTTTACGGTCATGAACTATGCTTCTGGAGTCTCGTTAAAACAGGTGAGTAAATTATCCAGGAAAAGGAGAGCTTGGTGGCACAGATGGTGTGATGAGTTGGACTGTGGACCACCAGCCCCTGACTCCCTTTAGCCCAGTGGCTACATGGTTGTTTGACACCCTGGGCTTCTTGGGGAATTAAGGGTGGGATAGAATTGTAATAAACAACAAATTACAGTCGTACCTTGGATCCAGAACGCCTTGGTACTCGTCCGTTTTGGCTCCTGAATGCTGTAACCTCGGAAGTGAGTGTTCCAGTTTGCGAATGTTCTTTGGAAGCTGAACATCTGATGCAGCTTCCGATTCCGTTCAGGAAGCGCCTGCAGCCAATCGGAAGCTGCACCTTGGTTGTCAAACGTTTTCGGAAGTCGAATGGACTTCCGGAACGGATTCCGGTCAACAACCAAAGTATGACTGTAATGATAAATTTGAAGCCACCTTCTGCAACAACCCTACCAAAGCTAACTAAACACATATGAATTTTTTGTGGGGCGGGGGCACCTGGAAACTCCCATATGCTGCCTGGAGCAAATGCAGGATTATAAATGCAATACCCGGCCATTGCAACTGCACCCATGAGGCAGTGGCGAGGGCTCAGGTGAAGCCGTGGCGAGGCCGGTAGTGGCACAATGACAGGGCGGATCTGGCACCTGAGGCAAATCACTTCGCCCTGCTTCATGCAAGCACCAGCCTTGCTTATCACCTGTTTAACGGAGCCTTATGTGAGCCTCCATATTTCCAGGGAAGGGATTTCCAAATCCCATCAGCTTGACAAGAGCCTATATTGTTGGAGTGCAGATTCCCCATCCCTGGAGTTCACCCTCCGCCTTCTGAGGCTGACAGTTTCCCTTGGAGACTTAAGTTTTATGGGCTGTTACGACAAGAGTATTCAGAATGGGGTGTGGGAGAGAAAGCAGCCTTCAAATATGGGACGTAAAATTGCAAGAACTGGATCCTAACTTGTAGAGGTGTTGTAAGGAGGACAGAGGTGAAAATTGGTAAAGTTTCGTGATCATGCTTAAAAGAATACCTTGCTAACCAAATGGTCTCTTCTTTTTCAGATCCACTATGATGAATTTATCCCTCTCTTTGAGAAACAGTATCCTGAGCATTCTTGGAAATCTGTGCAAGTAAGGCACCTGTGATTCAGTAATTTAATTTTTTTTCTCCCAGTGGTAAAAAATTACCAGAGCTTCATTTTTCTGCCATAGATTGCTTTATTATCATGATTATGTCTCTCACACAAAGGTCATGGGCCACAGGTGGTTCTAATTATACGTACTGAGATTATTTCCCCCCTGTGGCTTCATTAGTGGTTCAAGATTTCACATGGTTGCATCCTGTGTCTAGTGCTAATTTGGCAGGAATAGTCATCAGTAAGGTCGCTTAGACTCAATCACTGCCTCCCTTTCAAATGCTTCTGTTATTATTTGACAAGTGTTTGAGTTGAGCAAAAGGAAGGAGTCTCAACTTAGTCCGAGAGCCTTAATGCTTTGTGTGAAACGGGTCTGGGTTTCATTCCCCGCCATCTCCAGTCAAGTTACCTCGGGAAATAATGTTAAAGTTTGTTGCTCTTACACCTGCATTTATTGTAAATGTGACTTTTTGTTGTTGCCAGGACGATATTTTCAAGGCATTTGCTGAACTTTTCCAAGCTGCTTGTGCAAAGCCTGCGCCACTTGGCATCTGTGATTATCCATCCTCACGAGCCGTTTATGCCATTGACCTGATGCTTAAGTGGGATACATCCAGCAACGGTAATTTCTCCTTCTATCTTGTCCTTTTTGTACTGCATACAGTGGTACCTCGGGTTACATACGCTTCAGGTTACATACACTTCAGGTTACAGACTCCGCTAACCCAGAAATATTACCTCGGGTTAAGAACTTTGCTTCAGGATGAGAACAGAAATCGTGCTCTGGTGGCAGTAGGAGGCCCCATTAGCTAAAGTGGTGCTTCAGGTTAAGAACAGATTCAGGTTAAGAACAGACCTCCGGAATGAATTAAGTACTTAACCCGAGGTACCACTGTATTTTTAGGGCTCTTCAGAAATTTGGGGAACCAGAAAAGAGATTTAATTGCTTTTATTAGTGGCCATTATAGCTTTGGTGTAGCTAAAGAGCAGAACCTTTTTCAGCACTTCCTGGGATTGCCTTTAAAGGGGTCGCTTTTTGGACAAAGGCCTTTTCACTTATAAATGGAAAGATACTGCTGCGTTTCAGAGCAGCGAGTCTTCAAACGTTGTGTGTAAAGGGGTGCATACTGAAAAAGTTCTTCACTGCCAGCTGAAAGGGTCTCCTGGAGTGCAAGTGAATAAACTGGGATGTGCAGCAGGTGGGAAGCTTTCCTTTTCTGCCTGGCCCTCCTCTCTGGGCAACCACCCACAATCTCTGCCACCTGGAGAAGTTCCCATCTCTCGGTGCCCTTGGGCCTCCTCCTCTTCCTCCAGCAGGAGGGCTCCTCTTAAGGGTCCTCTGAGAGCTGTACAAGGTGCTATGCAAGTGCTAAGGGTAAGAGGAGAAGGTGTGTTCCATGTTGGGGAAGCCTCTTTGTGTTTAACATGCGTATCTCAATAAAACTACGTGATCTCTGTCTGTCTTCTAGGCAAACGGTTTATGCAGCCTCAGATTCTAGAGGTGAATTTTAACCCTGACTGCGACAGAGCCTGCAGGTATCACCCGACTTTCTTCAACGATGTCTTCAGTGCCCTCTTCCTGGATGAAGCCAAGGATTGCCATGTGACTGCCATTGTCTAGGGCTTGTCTTGGCTATTTTGTGCTTCACAGTGAGATGCTTATAATTTCAGTTCTATGAGCTGCTTATGCAAGAATCTTTCCCGTACTAGCAATCAAGACAGAAATCTACTCAATCAGGTGGAACATGCATATAATGTGCTTGTAAGCAGTTGTCTGGGTTGCCTTAAAAAAAAAAACTTTTTTACTTTCTTGCCTGTCTCAGTTACTTTATCGCTAGTTCACTTTCACAAAGTGTATGTTTTTATTGCATTCTGATGCTCACAGAAGTGCAGTATCAATTTATTATTTTTTTCTCAGTAGTTGGTATATTTTGTTGGTTACAAAGAAGTATCCGTACGCTTTTCCCTATGTCCTTTGTGTTTTTATAACTTGCTGCAGATTTACTGAGGCCATTGTTTTTCTTAAGACCATTGTGCTCCCGCATCTTAAAAGGCTTTGTTTTACAAATGAATATGAAGCAAATTATTTGAAAGCCATAGCTGGCTCCTATGCCTGCAGAATTTCAATAAACTATGTCCCCACAAATACCAGAAACTGCCTTTGAAATAACACAAGAGCATCTGTAATTTTTGTTTCTTGGTGTATCAGGTCTTCACGTTGAGAAGTCACTTCAGCTTCCTTGTTTTGCAACATAAACCTTGCTTGCTTCCAGTATTTCCATTCTTTATTCTAGCAAATAAAATGGTTCAGCCACTGGCCCTCCCCTCCTGCCTCCCCACACACCTTAAAAAAAGGAGCAAGCATCACTTTACATGTTCATTCTTTGCCTGACTGCTGCCCTCCCTTTTAATGAGCTCTTAATGTATTTGAGTTGCAGCACTGCTTTGGGAAGATAAGTTCCCGATATCCCAGGCCAACAGGGATGGTGGTTCAGTTCACCTTGTGACAGGAGTACGTGTTTTTTAAAGCAGCAAACAGACTTCTATCTCTTGCTTAACACAGCCCATCTTCTGCCAGCTGGACAACTCCAGCCAGATAAAATGTCCCCCCATAATACAGTGTTTCTTCCCTGCAGTGGGCTCTCCAGTATGGCAGCAAAGTAAAAAAGTTTTGCTTTGAAACTGAGTCTTGTCTCACTGGTTTTACATAGGGCCAGAATCAGGTTGCCTGTTAGCTCACCCCCTTGACAAATTGCTATGCTCTGGTCTTGTTTGTCCCATCTCTAAAAATGAGCAAAATGCCACATCTGGCATGAGCACTTACTGTGAAGCAGCATTAGATGGGAATATAAGGGATTGGTTGTTACTGAGCTGTGGGTTTTAAAATACTGAATTTTGCCAGCACTCTTTTTGCCAGATAAGGTGCCATTAAATCGCTTCATATCCCCGATGGATAGCTTCTTCCTCCACTACTGAATACCAGTTGCTAGAAACGGCAGGAGGGGAAGAGTGCTGTCGTGCTCAGATCCTGCTTGCAGGCTTCCCACAGGCATCTGGTTGGCCACCATGTAAACAGGATGCTGATCCAGCAGCCAGTCTGTTTTTACATTCATATTCCCATTTTTAATGCTTGGATGTGCTCCTTCCACTTCCATGCTTTGTTTATAGCATCAACAAGTCTCGTCAAGAGTTTCTACCCAGCTCTTAGGAAGCCCAAAGGGTTTCCTAAGTAGGCTGAGAGACGCAAATACACAATATATTTTTCTATTAAAGGTAAGTTAAAGAAAAGGTCTATAGTTTCGCTATAAAAATCTCTATAAAAACCTCCAGACCCTTTGAAGCTCAAGAATTCCATGACCTTTTCTACAGTGCTATTCTTTGGGCTGGTTCACCAGTGCGTGTGGCTACCAGAAGGCTGCATCTGCAGGTCAAATGTGCATGCAGCCTCAAACACAGTGCTTTCCGAATGAAGACAGCTCATAATCCGACGGCAAACTCTCTTGTGATGAGCAAGCAATTGGCCTTACGTATGTGTGTCAGTTTTAAATCAAACCTTGCCAAGTGCAGATCCCAAATTAAGGACGTGTGGACATAAGGACAGCCTGGCTACAAATACATTAATAATCACAATTTCTGGGTCCGTTACTGAAGTTTATTAGATTTATTAAGCAATAAATCTGAGACAGCATATGGATTAAGCACTAGGGTGGTGGAATTGGAATCCAACTTAGAAAATGTTTCTTTAAAAAAAAAAAAGCCCTGGAAAAATGTGTGTTACAGGTGTTTCTTATTGCGATTGTCTGTCCAGATACGATAGTTCAGCACAGAGGCAAAAGTTAGCCAGGCTAAATAAGGGTACATCAAATATGCTGCTGTTTTGTTGACATGGTACCAGACAGTAGTTGTGGCTGTTGCTGCTCCTGTGGTGAGCAATATAGTCACCAGCCCCTGAAAAAGAAATGAGTGACATTAAAATGAGTTCTTCATGGGATCCTAGAGCAGAGAGGGCTACAAATAACTGCAACTTCAGCCACACACCCCTTTGCCTTGTTTTTGTGCTGATTACACGGCATTTACTCAGTGTAGTACTTGACCCCTTTAACAGCAACATACCCAAATATCCATGGGCTTTTGTAAAGCAAAAAGTCAAATAGCCAAAGCTCCAAGGATTTTGGCTGAGCACGCCAACATGATCTGTGCTCATTATTGCTCACATTCCCAAGTCCTTATTGTGGGAACTCTGCACAGCGGAATCTCCTTCCCTCTGCCATACATGAAGGATCATCCGTCAGCAACTTCAGATGTCTCTGAAAGTCAGATTTCTGGCCAGACTTAACGTGACTCATAAAATTGGACCCCATTATTGTTGAATTGCTGCTTTTGGATTGTATTTTTGTATACTGGTTAGCGATTTATAAATATTAAGCAGTTAAAAATTCTTTAAAATTCATTAAAAACAAATAAGCATTCCTCTGACAACTCTACAACACATACAAGTTCCCCAGCGGGTAACTTATAGCTGAAAGAACTCCCTTAAGGCAGAAAGCTGGCAAATCACTGCTCTAAGCCACAAGGGCATGGACTGACACAGAGCATTCCGCCACTTACCCAGCCTGTTTGGTGCTTTCCGAAGAATATGGGGACCCATGACCAATTTAATGCCAGGTTTCCTGCGTACAGCCCAAGGGGAACCAGGGATTTTTCATTGAAGCCTCCCAATTCCCTCCACACGAGGTAAGAACCATATCTGAAAGAATGGAAAATGTCCTTTGTCAGAAAATGGACTGGGTGCGTGAGGACTTTAACAGAAATCCTAAACTCCATACTGAGAATAATGCAAAAGTCATGAGACGCTAATACTTGCATACCTTGCCAGGGTTCCTGACCCATTAGAGAACACTGAAGTCTCCTTATTCTTCTCTACAAAGCCACCAATGCCTATATATTGCACAGTGTTACTGTAACTATTAAGTGTATAAAATTTTACAAACCTGTTAACAATAATCCTAAATAACCCACCCCACCCCAAAATCAGTTGTATACTCCTCACAATTGTTAATGTCACCATGTTTTTCATAACTATGTTATGTTTCCCAAACTTCCATTATTAACCATAACTTGCTACCTTTCCAAAACATTTCAACAAATTGATAAATACAAGAATTAGAACTGAAATAAAACAGTTTATAATCTTAAAAGGTAGATTAAAACTAACTAAAATGAAATGCAACTATTAAACTTTCGGCCCTTTGCCCAAAGGCCTTTCTAAACAAAATGTCCTGTCACCCAAACCTGCCTCCTAAAAGACAGGAACCATCAGGCATCTGGCTGTCTCTTTGAGAATAGAAATTCCGTTACTGGGAGTGTCGCAGCCAAGGAGGTCTGGCTTATTAGAGTGTGAAGACCAAAGCTCCAATTCCTACTCTGCCCTTAAGCTTGCTCAGTGACATTTGCAGCCAGGCTCCTCTGATAAGGATAAAAACGAGTTTCTTAGAGGAAGGGTGGAACATATTGCATATGTGAGACGTAAGAAATAAATGTGCATACATTAAAAGATGAGGTGGTTCAAGCAGCAGGGCTGTTCCTTTACATTTAAGTGTAATGTGCAATTACATGCGACATTTGGCGCATGATTCTTTAACATCAGCTTCGTTGGACTGGTCATGTTGTGCGGATGCCTGATGATCGTCTTGCAAAGCAACTATTCTGAACTTAAAAATGGAAAGCGTAATGCTGGTGGTCAACAAAAGAGGTTTAAAGACTGTCTTAAGGCAAATTTTTAAAAATGTAGTATAAACACCAACAATTTGGAAACACTTGTCTGCGAGCGCTCCAGTTGGAGAACAGCCTTTACCAAAGGTGTCATGGACTTTGAAGACACTTGAACTCAGGACACAAGGGAGAAACATGCTAGGAGGAAGGCACGCTTGGCAAATCCACACCGTGATCAACTCCTGCCCGGAAACCAATGTCCCCACTGTGGAAGGACACATGGATCCAGAACTGGCCTCCACAGTCACTTATGGACTCATTGTTAAAACCGTGTTTATGGAAGACAATCTTACTCGGCTATGAGTGATTGCCAAAGAAGAAGATGTGTAATCTTAAGCTTGTGAAAACTAGCTTTTGCATTCTCTTCCACCAGGTGGCACTGAACAATGCGGAAAACACTTTGCGGAAACCACCTGTTCAAAACAGACTGGATCCCCTCCCTGTCCTGCTAGCTAGGTCCCAGTGGCAGGGTTTCAAATCCCTGCTTTTAATAGGCAACCCAGTCAGATGGGCAAGGCTACCTAACTTCCTGTTCAGCCATTCCCTAAGCAAGTTCTCAGCTGCAAACCACACTATGGCTGCAGCTGTGAAGGAAGCTGTTTCTTGCAAGCAAATGTCAGGGGTGCTGTGAAAAGGTGAAGCAGTGATGCCACACTAAGTTATCTTATGACTGTCATGTGGCATTGGAGGAGAGCAGATGTCTTGCATACAAAAGGACCCAGGTTTGATCCCTGGCATTTCCAAGTATTGCTGGAAAAGACCTGTTTGAAAGCAGTCAGTGAAGACAAATACTGATGCACCTGGAGCAATGGCCTCACTCGTCATAAGGCAGCGTCATACAGGGCTACTGCACCTACCCCAGCACTGGTACTAGCAAATGTGCATGCTCCACCATTATTTATAGGTACGTATATTTATAGGCCTAGTACCAAGTGATACATACCTCAGCCTGTGCCCTTAAGTTCTAGATTGCAGACATCAAAACTTTACATCTCTGGGCAAGTGCTAAAAAAAACCTGGAAATGAGCTTTTGCCACAATCTTCAGGAGCATGAAAATTCTCAAACTTCATGTTGCTAAGAATCTCTACTTTCATTTTCTTTTTAATAAGCAAATTTGTTAGCCCATAGGGTAAAATATGGGCATAATCCCTTCAGATATCCAAAACCAGAAGAGAGCTTGATAGGATTTACTTAGGCAAGTTCAGATTTCTTAGTGTACATATTTTTAAAGGCTGTAAACAACTATATTGTAAATATAAGACTACATACCCCATTGACGAATATAATGCTCCCCAGACAGGTGGGAAAACCCAGTTGGGGGGGCGCCAAGATGGCTTCTCCAGTGATTCATACCACGTGGGCAGTTCTTTCTTGACAATCCTACCTCCCCAAATGCTCCCGGCGTTTGGCAAGAGTGTGAAAGCAACAGCAGGAGCCCATGAGGGAAGCGCTTCCATTTCTGAAACAAATATGCAAATTGGGTGAGAGTTGACTTTGCAAAGTGCAGTTTCACAAATACCAACAAAATATTAGCAGTGCAGAAAAGGTGATAGTTGGGCCTATATGCCTTTGCGTGCCAGTGGCTGAGGGTTCAACAGCAAGGAAGGGTTGCTGCCCTGCTGCAGCAACAAACTGGCCGCCTCAACTGGTTTCCAAAGACTGAAGGTGGGGAACTGATTCTGTTGAACAGTGCTGCGTGTTTTCAGTTCATACAAAAAACTCTGTAGTGTTTGATTGGTGAGTCCCAAACATGTAGAATCAGAGAATCGTAGAGTTGGGTCATCTAGTCCAACCCCCTGCAATGCAGGAATCTCAACTAAAGCATCCATGAACTGGACACAGAATTCCAGGTGTGGCAGAATAGAGCAGGACTATTACTCTCCACTTGAGCTGTCTGTGGTTACCAATCCATGTGCGCGTGTGCAATTCAGCATTTTTTAAAGTGCAAATGGGATTCAATTAGATTTAGGTGGAAAGAAGAGGATGAAGGTTGCAACTTTCCCAGAAGAAAGGTATTACAGCAAATATGGTAATGGAAGTATTACCTGAGAGGAGGCCAAGCCTTATAAACAGGAAGGTGTTACAGAAACCCGTATAACTTGTTCCAATTAATTGTTCTAACTGTTGCTTAGCATACTTAGAAAAGGCTCTTTTTGGGTGCAGCAAGGTAAAAAAAGCTCAGAGTTCACATATACTCCACCTGCCTGTTTTATGAACATGAATTTCTGGACATGCTCTATGGCAGCAGTCCTAACCTCACTTGCCTGGAAGGAAGCCCCATTGAATTCAATGGGACATACTTCTGAGTTGACATGGTAAGGATTCCACTGTACCTCACTAGGTTATCCTTCCTGCCATAGTCAATAAATTGTTTGTGCAAATAATTAGGATTTTTTTTTATTTATTACAACACCAGCAGCGGACCAACATGCAAAAAGTAAATGCTTCCCATCATGTTATCTCCATGCCAGGAAAAAATGTTGATTGTTTCATTTCTCTATATCCAGGTTCACTATGAAAGGCACAGGAACATCAGGGCCAGGGGTTTTTAAGATATTGACTCTGCCAACCACGGGAATGAGAATTAATTCCCTACTGGAGGCAAATGTGCTAAAGGAAAACGCCCATCCTCCTCTCTTCAGTGTAATTTGAACTCTCTACATAATACATTTGGTAAAATAGGGCAGAGGTTGTGTAAGTTATTACAATGCTTCTACAACAAGCCTAACAGGAAAAAAGTGGCTTCAAAAGTAAGAGACGTGATCAGTTAAACAAGTAGAGACCTTTCCACTCATATCAATTTGTCCTGTGAAATCGGACTTGTTTCATAATGTTTGCAAAACTTATCACCCTTTTTATGTAATCTCTCCATGTAATGGTTGTGGCTGAACTGCAGCCATTTTACACATTCACTCTGTTTTGTAATAGCTAGTTCAAGTGGGACAAGGGAAGAAAATGGGTATAATAAAAAGCCGCTTCTGCTGCCCCCACTCCAAGTAACGGTACCACCCCAAGTTGCTCATTTGCAAAGTGGACTGGCTGAAATCAATTGACAAGCAACCCAAATCCATTTATTTAAGTGAATCTGCTTAATTTGGATAAGAATCACTCACTGGACATAGTAGGGGTTAATTGCTACGCTTTAACCAATCCAGGAGCAAAGAAAGTCTATGCAGGTTGGGAAATTCATTCTGGACTAAGAATCCACCCAAAAAGCATGTGCCTTTAACAGCCGCTTGGCAGGCTAGAAATTAGCAAGTGAAGTGCCCCCCACCCCACCCCACCCCTGGCCAGCATGCTGCGATAAGAAGGTCACTGAGACTCTGTGAACTGCCCTGAGACCTCCAGGTATAGGGCGGTATATAAATTCTAACAACAACAACTGACCTGAGGAAGTGAAAACTGCACACTCTCCCCTTAGCTCTACTCTGCTGAGTTAGGATAAATTACTTCATTTTCTGGTCCCTTGTGTCCTCACATTTGTTTTTATTCATTTCTGTGTTCTAACTGTTCATCGGATAAGGGAGGATATTTTGGTCTTTGCCCTATTAATCCCTTAGCCCCAGTACTTCTTCAACAACCAAAAACCATAGCTCTCAACTTTTCACTTTTCTTGCGAGGAATCCTATTCAGAATAAGGGAATTTCCCTTTAAAAAAGGGAAAAGTTGACAGCTATGCCAAAAACTGAACTGGTAGAAAGTTAGGCTACTGTTAAGGGCTCAAAGCAAGACCAGAAACAAAAGGTGGCAAGTGAACCGGTTGCCTCCTTTTATTTCTGGCCTTTAATGACAGCTCCACATTTTACATGTGAATTTTTCTCAGCACTTTCTTGCAGGCCAAGAAAAGCTTTATCTGCTGAATTCCGTGCTGGCCAAGGGAGAAGAGCAGGGCCAGGTATGGCGGCCGAAGAGGGTGACATCCCTATAAATCTTCATGGAGATTTGCCAAAGGATGGTAAAACGTGCTGCTACAGAACGATAATCACAAAACATTTAATCTCCTGTAAATTAAATTCAGGCAGTCATCACTTTCAGTCTCCAGTGCAAATCATCATTGAAATCCATGCTACTCCATTCAAATTTTTTAAAACTGCTTCAAGCTAGTGTGGGAGTTAAGCATGTCAGAATCAGCACCTGTCCTACCAGTCAGGTTTCTGCTTTCTTTAGACACTTAACCCCTACAACTCCGGCTTGCAAACTTGCTTTGTTATAGCCAAGTACCGACTCCCAGTTGTGAAGGTAGCTGCTGTCTAACGTGTGTCTTTTAAAGGTGAACGGCATGCAGAAATTCAGCTGCTGAAACAAAGTGTTAAAAGAAATCATCCAGTGAATTAACACACAGCTATGAAGGCCTCTGGAGCCCTGGCCTTAAAAAGGCAGCAACAGAGGCAGATTTATAAAGTTGCTTCTCTCCTGTTGAATGCTCTGAGCCACTGTGGAATTGTAGAAGAACCCAAAGCAAGGTTAACTTTTCAAGAAAAAGCACACCTCACCAAACAGCCCTAATACGCAACTGATTCAACCCCAATGACCGTAGCCCATTGAAATCGTGGGTGCTAGGCAGTTAGTTTTGGGTGAACAGGCTGGTGATGGGGGGCTGTTTTGCTGTAACTGCCCCCACCCCCTAAAAAAACTCTGAACAAGTTATAAATACAGCTCTATATTCAATTGCTGTGGTTTATCAAGGCATTGGGCAAATGGTTCCAAGTCTCCAGGAGGGGATGGGAGAGATTTATCTAGACAATACAGAGGTGCTAGAGGACCCCAACCCATCCTCTGCAGCAAGTTGTGGGGTTTGCTTTCTCCTATTTAGTTTCTATGTTGGCAGCTGAGGAGACCAGGCGGCATCTCTCCAGCCTTCCGTTTTCAGTCGCTGATTTCTACAAACTTGCTCGCCCGCGGAGGTGGGGATCGCCCAGATGGGCCGCGGGAGATGCGCTGCCAGGATTTCACGCCGCCCTTTCAGCGGTTACTACGTTACCTGCTCAGGGCAGCCAGGTAACAATATCTCTGGCAACAGGAGGACCGTCGGGGATACGCGCCCGACTCGGCGGAGCCCCTGCCTTCCTCGCAAGCTGTGGGTAACGCCCTTCCCAAGTTAGGCACAACTCCTCGTGCCTTTGCCTTTATATGGACTCCTTTCCTTTCCTTTCCTTTCCTTTCCTTTCCTATCATCCTGGAGGTTTTTAAGCAGAGGTTCAGGACGGCTCAGTCGGGAGACCTTGAAACTCTTAAATCTCAAGGTCGCGGGTTCGAACCCCACGTGGCAGGTTCGTGCATTGCAGGGGGGGTTGGACTAGATGACCGGGGGATCCCTTCCAGCTCGACAAGTCCTAGGAAGCTGCCCACGCTCCTAGTCCTCAGCGCGCATCTGCTGGAGCAAGCGCTCTCAAAGGCGTCCGATCCCGTACCTGCGTCTGCTGCTGCTGCTGCTGCTGCTTCCTCCGCTGACCTCGCTGCTCGGGGAAAGCGAAAGGGTTGTGGGAAAGGAAGCGAGGGAGCGGCCCAGTGGGCGGGCGGGAGGCGGAGAAGGGAGCAGGGGGCGCGCCCATCTCGATGCCGTGGAGAGCAAGGAAGAGGCGCTTTGGAAATGCTTTGGGAAACAGAAAAAAGCCACTCCTAGCAGCGCCTGATTTATAACACAGAACGCAACCATTTCATCATACGACCACGGGGCATCCAGAAAGTATAACACAATGCATCTGCAAGAGAACAGGAATCAACCGCAGCAGAATGCAGTTATGCACGAGCCTCTTACACAGGTGCCTTAATCGACATAAAATAAAAAAAATTCTTTCCAGTAGCACCTTAGAGACCAGCTAAGTTTGTTATTGGTATGAGCTTTCGTGTGCATGCACACTTCTTCAGATACTTCTTCAGATACAGGTGCCTTAAGTATGGCTGAAAACTTCAGTGAGAGGCCTGAGTTTGCTTTTGCCGGGTCATCTCATTGACATTAGGTCTACTTTGAGACAAAGAGTCTCATTTCCTTTTTCTCTTCAGATCCTTCATATTTGAAAATCCCTTCTCGCAACAATGTGTTGTGAACTGTAGAATAGCCAATGCTCTTAAAGAGAGGCGTGGATACAGTTTCTGGTTGTGTGTCCACAAAAAATTATTTTGATGGCATAGTATAGAAGACTAAGGGACGCGGGTGGCGCTGTGGGTTAAACCACAGAGCCTAGGGCTTGCCCATCAGAAGGTCGGTGGTTCAAATCCCCACGATGGAGTGTGCTCCCGTTGTTCAGTCCCTGCTCCTGCCAACCTAGCAGTTCGAAAGCACGTCAAAGTGCAAGTAGATAAATAGGTACCGCTCCGGCAGGAAGGTAAACGGCGTTTCTGTCCTCTGCTCTGGTTTGCTAGTCATGCTGGCCACATGACCCGGATGCTAGTCCGGGTATGCTAGTATGCTAGTCATGTATGCTAGTCATGCTGGCCACATGACCCAGAAGCTGTACGCCGGCTCCCTCGGCCAATAAAGCGAGATGAGCAGCGCAACCCCAGAGTCAGCCATGAATGGACCTAATGGTCAGGGGTCCCTTTACCTTTACCTATACAAGACTAGGCTAAAATGTCTAGATGTTTCTTTGATTGTCCTTGAATCTTCCTGCCACACTTGCCATTCTCTCCTGCAACACCCTTGGAGAACCACTGCTTCAAAACCTGGTCCTTTGGCGGAAACGGCCTTTTCCCTTCTCTCTCTGCCACATCACAGCTGAGCCAATGCGTGCTTTTTATTTTATTTTATTTTGGGAACTGCAAGAAAGCCCTCCAAGAAATTCTGAAGGTTTAAGGCAAATGCGGGAGATGGAGGTAGCAGAAAAGAGATAGGCTCCCAGGTGAGAGCCTATGGCTTTAAGCAATGCATATTTTCCTTTGCTGTAAGTGGCTTGGAGACCTTCAGGTGACAGCTGGGGGGGGGGGGCAAGGTGCTCGAGAAGATGGTGGCAATTCAGCTGCAGGCATGTTTGGAGTAAATTGATTATCTGGACTCATATCTCCTCCCTATTGATCCCACCATTTAAGCTAAAACTAATTTTGAACACTATGGTCATGAAAGAAAAACACAAACTTTCATGTTTTATAGTTGCCCTTTATTTTTTTTATTGTCAACAGTATAAAGGTAACTTCAACACACAGACTAAGCTCATCAGGCCTTAACTTCTAAGCAGAGATGTATATCTAACTGCATTTTTAGATGTGAAATTTAAGAGAACTTAAGAGGTAAATAAATGCACACATCAAAAGTTAACCAACAGAATGTCTCTGGGGATTAGAAATGTTTATGTTGCAACAAAGAAAAAAAGTTGTGGAATCTTAAAGACTATCAGATTGGATTAAGATTCAGGTAGCCATGTTGGTCTGACGCAGTCAAAATATATATAAAAAAATATTTAAAATGTCCAGTAGCACCTTAAGAGACCAACTAAGTTTGTTCTTGGTATAAGCTTCCGTGTGCATGCACGCTTCTTCAGATACCAAAGATTGGATTAAGGTGTATCTATCTCCCTTAACGGGATAGGGGTGGCGCTGTGGGTTAAACCACAGAACCCAGGACTTGCCGATTAGAAGGTCGGCGGTTCGAATCCCCACGACGGGTGAGCTCTCCCGTTGCTCCTGCCAACCTAGCAGCTCAAAAGCACGTCAAAGTGCAAGTAGATAAATAGGTACCGCTCCAGCAGGAAGGTAAACGGCGTTTCCGTGCGCTGCTCTGGTTTGCCAGAAGCGGCTTAGTCATGCTGGCCACATGACCCAGAAGCTGTTCGCCGGCTCCCTCAGCCAGTAAAGCGAGATGAGCGCGCAACCCCAGAGTTGGTCACGACTGGACCTAATGATCAGGGGTCCCTTTACCTTTATCTCCCTTAACATCTTCACACTTTAAACATATACGAATCTAGAAAAGTCTGTGTCTCTTTAATTCTGTGACTCACAGCACACACACGCAACAACCTGGCACATATCTACTCCTCAGAGCCATACGTGCCAGTGGATTTGTGCCTCTGTGTTTTTGTGGTAGATACGTGTCTACCACACGAGCACGTGTAGAGAGAGGGGGGGGACCTTGGGTGGGGTGGAACCCTCTTTTCTACGGCTCGGGTTTCCAGGCCGCGGCGGGGGAAGCTTTTTGCTAACGGACCGGGCCTTGCATTTCTGGCTTCCCAGCCCCGCACGCGGAAGGAGGCTCCCGTTGCCATGGCGACCTCCGCCGCGCCGCGCCTGCTGCCGCCGGGCCTCTCCGCAGGCCGCGCTCTCCCCTTCCCGGCCCTGCGGCTCTCCGCGCGGCGATGGCTCAGCCGAGGCGGAGCCCCGAGGCCCCCCGGCGCGGGGGAGGCGGCGAGCGCGGCGGGGCTGTTGCGGGACGCGGCGGCGGCGGCGGCGGCGGAGGACGAGGCTCCGCGGTCGGGGCCTGGCGGGAAGGCGCGCCGGGCCCCCGAGGAGGCTTCGGTGCTGCTCTTCCCCGGCCAGGGCAGCCAGTTCGTGGGCATGGGCCGCGGGCTCCTGCGCTACCCGAACGTGCGGGAGCTGTACCGCGTGGCCGAGGGCGTCCTGGGCTACGACCTGCTCGGCCTCTGCTGCCAAGGGCCCGGCGCCCAGCTGGAGCGCACCGTGCACAGCCAGCCCGCCGTCTTCGTCAGCTCCCTGGCCGCCGTGGAGAAGCTGCACCAGGAGCAGCCCAGGGTGAGGGGCCGGCGGGGCCTTAGGAAGGGGGCACCCCGGGGGCATCTAGTCCAGCCCCCGGCCAGGCAGGAGGCTCAGCTAGAGCAGGCGCCCGCCTCTGGGGTGGGAAGGCAGGGGGCAGAGCAGGAGCATCTCCCACCCCCAGGGCTTCCAGCAACGGGCATTCAGAAGCTCTGACTCTGGTGGCCGTGGGTTGCCCCATCCTCACCTCCATTTGTCTAATTCAGGGGTGTCCAAACTTTTTTCAAAGAGGGCCAGATTTGATGAAGTGAACTTGCCTGAGGGCCGACCAAAGTTATTGACCTTTTTTAAGGATTGATGTTGTGCTTTTTCTTAGATTTCACCCCCCCAGGAAATAAACTGCCAGAGGCCGGATTAAACGAACTGGCGGGCCGGATTAGGCCCCAGGGCCAGACTTTGGACATGCCAATTGGCTTTGTCTGCCCCAAAGTCTCCCAACGTTCAGCTCCCTGGGATGCTTCGCTAGAGTTCTATGTTAGGCGAGAGGGAGGGAGGCTTTCCTCTGCCCGCTTTCTCTGTGCCAAGGAGAAAGAAGCAGGCTGCGCCACAATTGACAGTGCCCAGGGGGTGGGGTGCCGTTGCTGCGTTTCTCACACTATGTGAACTGCGTAGGGTGTTTCTGGATCACTTCCAATTGTTACTTACTGGAGACTTTTTAAATTTCTACAGGTAGTGGAGAGCTGTGTGGTAGCTGCTGGATTCAGCATTGGAGAATATGCAGCCCTTGTTTTTGCAGGAGCCATAGACTATGCAGAAGGTATCAAGAAAGTACCCTTGCGCTTTCATATTAAATGTTTATCTAAAATCTTTGCAATGCAAGGATAGCATGTAGCTGGGGGGCATGGCATGGTGGGTGTAGCCCCAGGTGCACAATTTGGGGGCGGGGCACAAACCAGGCACCCCCCTGGGATCCCCATCCTGCCCTGTCTGCTGCTGGGGGTCTCTGGGCCCTGGAGCCCAGCCTCACTGCTGCATCTCCAGCCCCCTTGCTGAATGGCTGCCTGGCCGGCGTTGGGGGAGTGGGATTCACATGCCAAGGCTCTTTGGCTGGGCTCCTCCTTTTGCAAGTGGGGAGGCAGAGCAGCATGGCCGCGCCTGGTTCCAGTGGTGATGGCTGGGCTGGTGCAATGGATTTTGTTCACCCTCTGCACCCCACCCCTGCCCATGTGCACATGCGCCCCAGGTGCTAGCAGACAACTCAGTGTTGCTGACTCTGGCGCATTAGTCTTGGCACACAATTCTGTGTGGTCCTCTGCTAGTGAAGGCAGTGGCAGAGCTTCATGCTCTGGCACCGAGGGTACGAAGAGCATATGGGGGTGGGGCATGCCGCCTGCAGGGGCGTGGTGCCCAGTGTGGGCGGGAAGGCAGTCGCGATGGAACCCCACTGGGATTGCGCTGCTGGGGGCGGTGCGCTCTCCTCACACTCCTCTTCCTCCACCACTGAGTGAAGGGTATTTTAGTGTCCAGCTATTTTATTTCTTCCTCAACTTTATGTGTTACATCTTTGTGCTATTTAAGTAATAAGTAAGTAAAATTAAAATCCAGAACAAGTCTATATAATGTGTACAAAAGTATAACCAACTTTGCAGTAGATAAAAATGTGAGGATTTCTTGTATTAATATCTTCATAGACATATTGGGAATAAGTTGTAAGATTCTGAATTTAAATATCATTGCTTGCAGGAAAGTTGCTTCAACTAGTCTGAAGTCTAGCTTCTATTGACATAAATACAGTTTGGGGCAGACAGTAGCTTAGTTGAGCATTATGCCAAATCATGACTTGTATGAACTTTATTAACTGAAACCATGGTTTGAGCTTCCAAACACCCAAAAGGCGTGCTAAGCCATGGATGACAAATTCACTTCAAACTGTGGTTTCTGTTTGCTAGTTTGTTAATTCAGATGTGGAAAAGCATAGACTACATTGGACATCACACTGAACTATGTTTTAGCATAGCGTGCATGAGCCCAGCTTCTCTGGCTTGTGTGCCTCCCCTTTCTCAGCTCTGGTGACGTGGGAAGCAACATTTACAGGTGAAACTCGAAAAATTAGAATATCATGGACAGTTCATTTATTTCAGTAATTCAACTTAAAAGGTGAAACTAATATATGAGATAGACTCATGCCAAGAGAAAGATGAGAGACATGAGACCGAGCAATGTAGAAGAGCTGAAGGCTGCTATTGAAGCATCCTAGTCTTCCATAACACCTCAGCAGTGCCACAGGCTGATAGCATCCATGCCACGCCGCATTGAGGCAGTAATTGATGCAAAAGGGGGCCAAACCAAGAACTGAGTACATATGCATGCTTCTACTTCTCAGAGGTCCAATATTGCTCTATTTGCAATCCTTGTTTTGCTGATTTTATTTAATATTCTAATTTTCTGAGATTGTTAATTTGGGGTTTTCATCAGCTGTACATCATAATCATCACAATTATAACAAATAAAGGTTTGACATATCTCGCTTTGCATGTAATGTGTCTATCTCATATATTAGTTTCACCTTTTAAGTTGAATTACTGAAATAAATGAACCTTTCCAAGATATTCTAATTTTTCGAGTTTCACCTGGAGGTCTAGGAGGCTAGACTTGTTTATGCCATGCTAAAGGAGAGTTTGGTGTGATGTCTAAATGACTAAATTTCCTTAGGCATGGCTTGGCATGTTACGTGAATGCAGCTTATCTATGTTAACCAGAGTGAAAGCATGAAAAAATATACCAGTACATTTGGGTCCCTGTTGCAAGAATCCAGATTGCCAGCCTTTCATGCTTAATTTCCCTGGATACTTAGGTTCTGGTCATCTTGAATCTACATTAGTGGTGTTTTAGGGAACCCCTGAACTCTGTGGATGTGTATCAGATGTTCTTCAGTTGTGGACAAGGACCACACAGCTGCATGGGTGTGTTCCGCAGTGTGCTTTCTGTTCATGGCGGACAGCAGCCTAGCCAGTGTTCTTTATAACTGACTGTGCACTCTGGAACAGGTCCCAGAATCTTCTGCACCACATGCAAGTACTGTGGTGGTCAGTTTGATTTGGAAAGGGTTCCCCAGAAGTAAAAAAAGTTTGAAAGCTGCTACTCTACATCACAGAATACAATATTGTGTAACTGAACATTTCAGAGTTTTTACCTCTCTATCTGTGTAATAGTTACATGGAAACATGCATTTGAGTTTGTAAAGTCACAGCTATTTTTCTTTGTAGCTTCCATTTATCTTATGCTGAAGTTAAGTCCTCTTAGAGTTTCTTTCTTTTCTTTAGCCTTATATGCGGTGAAGGTGCGTGCTGAAGCCATGCAGGAGGCATCAGAAGCTGTCCCAAGTGGAATGTTATCTGTTATTGGCCGGCATAATTCAAATTATGTCACTGCTTGCTTGGAAGCTCGTGAATATTGCAAGTCATTGGGAATTGAAAATCCTGTATGTGAAGTTTCAAATTACTTGTTTCCAGGCAGCAGAGTCATTGCAGGACATTTGCAGGTATTATTTCAAAATAATGGTTCTGAATATCTTGAAATTTGTGGGGTTTTCAGTAGCATTGCTGACAGCCAAGAGAACAGTAGTACTTAGACATATTCTGTATTTTGAAGGCAGAAGTTTGCTTGCTTGTTATATGAATTGTATTTTTATCCTGCTTTTTTTAACATGCAAAGTCCCTATACTAATAGCCATCAATTGATATATTTAATTTTTTAAAATAATAATAAACACATTTAAAACCATTTCACTATAATAAGAATAATAGTAGTAAGACTAGCAGAAGAACAGCATTAAAAATAAGTTACTGTTTGAAATCAAAGGAGCAATGAAAAGATTTTCACTGATTTCTAAAGGGGGGGAGTACAATAGATTTAGCCAAACAGGTCTTACAGACTAGCACATTTGCAGTGGGAAAAGGGCAGCCCTCCTCAGACAGAGGTGATATCAGGGCCAGATGACCTCATAGTGAAAGGGGCTCCCTGGTTTCCCCGACTGTAAGTTTTTCTAGCTTTAAAGTTAAGCATCAGTACCTCGGATTGAACATAGGCGATGACTGGTGGAGCTCCTTAATATTCCCAATGCATGCTGTTCTGCTAACCCCGGCCAACAGCTGTGCAGCTACATTCTGAAGTTTCTGAACAATATTCAAAGGCAGCCACTTGTAATTGGGATTAGAATTGAAGCCTGTCACCTGGCAACAGGATCTAACTGACATGCAGTGATGATGTAAAGCGCATGTAGCAACATAGTGCTCTCCAAATGTTTTGAACAAAGCTCTCCTCAGCCCCAGGCAGCATGGCCAGTAGTCAGGGATGATCAGAGATGTATTCCAACAACATATGGAGAGCACCACATTGGCTACCCTTGGTATAAAACAAAAATGGAAACACAACAAATGCAATTCAGGTATAAAAGCCACCTGCCAACATTTGGGTAGCAAAGTCTAAGCCAGTACTTTACTTTTCCCTATAAAGTTTTAAGTCTCTGTTGTATGCTTTTTATGTTCTTTATTTTCTTCCTCTTGGAGGCATGCGTCCTCTTTTTTTCCGCAAAAATTTTATTAGTTTTTACAATATCAACGACAAACAAAAACATAAAACAAATAAAACACAACAAACATAAATCATAACCTTATTGAAAATAACAGTTATTTACTTTGTAAAACGACTTCCTCGTTTCCGCTTAGTTGAATTTCATTGCATATCCTTATAACGGTTTTCCAAATCCCAATTTTAATACCCTTTAAATTAAACGTTAACATATTTAAATCTTCTCCTTCTTGTATTAGACATATTATTTTATCAGTTAACATAAATACAATCCTAAGCCCATTAAGTATCTGGACGCTATTTCCAGTTATTTTAGCTTAACAAATTTAGCTAAATAATCATTAAATTTCTTCCATTCTTCGTGGTGTCCTCTTGACTTGTAGGCCACAATGAATTTATAGGGTTTTCCTAAGAGCCAAATGACATTAACAGCAGTTCTAGATTGAAGGCAGTAACTCTGTTTTTGTGGTTCAGTGTTCTGTTTCGTTTTTATTTCAGGCTTTGGAGTTTTTGCAGCAAAATTCAAAAAAATACTCATTTGTGAGAGTGAAAATGCTGCCAGTCAGTGGTGCTTTTCATACGCAACTTATGGAACCAGCAATGGGACCTTTGTCTGAAGCCCTCAACTCAATTAATATTCAGAAGCCTCTCATCCCTGTCTATTCAAATGTGGAAAACCGGAGATACACTGAACCGAAACAGATCCAGCGCTTGTTAGTGAAGCAGTTGGTTTCACCAGTGAAATGGGAGCAGACGATGCATGCCATCTACGAAAGGAAAAAAGGAGTAGGATTTCCTTATACTTATGCAGTGGGGCCTGGGAAACAGCTAGGAACAATCTTAAAAGGCTGCAATTTGAAGGCCTGGAAGTTCTATAACCATATTGATGTTTCAGAAGATGAAAAAGCATAGAGATGTCTGTAGGAAAAGTTTTCATTTTAAATGGATTTATTATTAGGTAAAAATGAAATCATGCAAGCCCTGGAGGAAGACACAACATAGTCTTTTGGAGAGGGAGCTGTATACCGTTGTGCCATTGCTATCTCCCTACACAACTAGCACAGAAGAATTGCTTGTTACCTCAGAGGCCACTCTGGGTCTCACTTCTTCAGACAAACAGATTTGACCATGACTCATCAATTACTTTGCTACAAACTTTTTAAAGAATTGTTTTATATAAGCCTGATCAATAGTACCTGCATTGGCCAAAGAATCGTGGTGACTTATGCTCCGTGTCTTGCTTTAACTTTTAAGAATCAGTGAAATAATAATAAAGTTAAAATGTTTTTCTTTGTTTTACATATCATTTATTGTGGGTGAGAGATTGGTGTATAATCAGTAACTGTAACTTGCCCCACTGAGATAATATATTGGATGCAGTGATTGTATGACCCATTGTATGCTATCTATGCATAATGTACCATGAGTTTTTTAGAATACTCACTCACACTATTAAGGTCCCCATTTTGCAAAGTACCTCATCAGTTTTCCTTCTGGACATAAATCGGGCACCACAGGTTTTTGAAGAGTTGGGTCTTACTGACTGGATGCAGAAAAGGCTCTGCTAAAGACCATGTGCTGTAGACAACTGAGTGGTACTCCGAATAGACCCATTGAAATTAATGGGCTGAAGTTAGCCGTGCCTTTTAATATCAGTGGATCTTGTCGGAACATGAGCTCCTTCTATGTAGCTGGTAACAGCATTGGTGTTTAAGCGTCAGGAGTTTTTCTTGAGACGCTTCCATCTGTTCAGAAGATGTCCAGAAAGAAAAGCTGGGAAACGTTACATGGCATCCCAGGCCACTCTCAACTTACACGGGGATTGTGTTCCATGGAGAACACCTATAGCCAAAAACACCTATAGTCAAAGCACATTAGGTTCAACAGCAGGTGGATTGCCAAAGTTTTTCCCCTCAGATGCCCGTCACCTTTTTAAATTCCCCCCCAAGCGCATAAAGCTGATTGTGCAAAGTTAAGTGTGTAAATTGCAAGTTACCTGTATTCTTGCTAACAGCCTTCCAATATGTTTGCTTTTCAGTCAAAAACACAAGGGAAGTGCAGCACTGTGTTGTGTTAAGTGGCTTCCAGTGCAATCTTTTGCCAGTCTGAGAAAAGACAGGACTTAAGGGAAAACACAGGATATTGGTCCCATGGTTATATCACGAGGATGCTGCATAAAAAGCGAGTGAAGAAAACGTTACCATCCCACACTGAACACTTGCTGTGGAAGCACTCCTAACAGTGGATGGATTTTAGATATTCTTTCTAGAATCATCTCAGGTAGTCTTCTGCCAGAGGATGGCAGCAGTGTATAAATCATTTCTTACAGCTGAGATAGGTTAAAAAATTGCTTTTTTTTGGTAGCAAATACAAAATGTAAGCATGCTTTTTGTTTGTACGACACCTGCGGGTTGAAATAAATCTCAGTGTCCAAAAGCATTGAACTGCAATAAAAAAACAGTTCCTGGATCTTCCTCAAGTTACAAGTCAGTGAGTTACAAACTGAAAGATATACATCTTTTTTTATATTTTTTGAAACGTCGGGATTTCAGTTCTAATAAAACCAGTGCATTATGTCAATGTAGTTTCTTGATTCTTGGCTAGTCAACAACTACAAACCACTTCTAGATGTGAAAATCCACTCTTAGAGCTGAGCTCTGCCATGATTTGCAGACGTGGTATATTTTGGGCAGGATCTTATTGCTGGATATGAGCCAGCAGTAGAAGGTTTAGGTAAGCTGGCACAGGAATATAACCAGCATTCAGTGTTATCTACAATAGCAGCACCTTTCTGAAAGCAATAGAGGTACAGTTTCTATGAAGAAAAAGTTTCTATGGAGAAATTGTTCATCGTAAATCTGAAACTGATTTCCTTCTAGCCTGTCAGGACAAATTCCACTCTTGATGTGTGTAAACATTAACTACAATAAAGCTCAGAGGAGGCCTCTGTATACTTTAGCATAAGGGTGTGGCATGATGTCAGCTCAATGTTCAAATTCCTGTTTTGAAGCTAATTCTTGTTTTTGAAGCAAGAGTGTGTCCTACAAAGAAACACTGATTCTTTGCTTTTAGAATCTGATTGCTAAAAAGGGCCTTGCAAGAGCCCCAGCAGCAGCAAACTGGTGGAGGAGGCCTGAAAGGTGTCTTCTAAAAGTTCTGTGTCTTTTTGAACGTTTTCCTGGCAAACTTTTGTCAGTGTTGTCATTACTGTCATTCAATTCCCATCATCCAAGTGCTGGCGCATAGGTAGCCAAAACCCACTTATAAGAGATTGGTATTTGCAGAGTTGGGGAAGCCGTGAGGTGGCAGAAATATAAAACACACACACACAAAAAACCCTTTTAGGGGGGAAAGGCTCAGGGAAGACTGACGATCCCTGCAGCCTAAGATGGCCTAAGGATGCCAGCCCCAGCTCCTGCATCTTTTAAGTGGGGCTTGGAGATTCATTTCTTTTCCATAGCTTTCAATGTGAAGTCATAAATAGAGGCTGTTTGTTGAGTTATGACCAAGTTTTCTTAATGTCTCTTTTAATTTTCTTGTAATTAATTACATGTTAAAGTTTTTTATCAGTCAAATTTATATTAAAAAAAAACCATAGTAAGCCACTTTATAATCCACAAATTCCTTAAGTACATAATCTTTCTGAACTACAAGCTTTCTGTCTACCCATGTTAATTTATGTGTTTCCTATCTTCCTCCAAGGAGCTTAAGGGAAAACATACAGGTTTTTAGGTATTTAATTTTTAGGGATTTTCTTGTCAAACATGCAAGCCCCCTCGGGAGTCTGAACTGGTAAATATAGCTCACTGGAACATACTATTGTGTTAACACCAGCATTTTCAAGTTTTGTCCTGATAAACTTTATTGAATACAGGTGGCGACCAGAGCCCCTGCGCACATTGGCCGAGCACACACAAGCCCACCCTGCCCCCATTCCATTCTCAGAGTCCACTATATCTTATGACCAGCATCAGAAAGTAAACCCCACTCCACCCCCACTAATTTATGCCTGTATTTCTTCAAGCAGAGGACCAAACCTCATGAGGACCTTCAGAGGCTTCATGCAACCACAGACAATGGTACACTGTAAGAAATCAGTATGTATGCCATTAAGACATTGTCAAAAGCTACCAGCCAAAAGAGCTCAAGAGTGTTATCAACTTCAGATGCCAATTCTACCATATATCCATATAAAGCTTGAAAGAATGACACTAGGGAGAAAAGAACCAACTGTAAATGGGCGTAATACTAATATCAGCAGTCTGTGGCAAAGCAGTCTCTGATGTACATGGATGAAAGTAGAGGAGAGAGATGGCTGGATCCGTAAATGGGATGTGTGCAGAATGGATCACGCTCAAACATACGTCGAAGGAAATAATGTAATTAGATTTGGAACATCAGTTTTATTTTTCAAGTCTTTTAAGATCTCCAATTTTCATTAGATATTTTACAGTGCAAGTGTTAAAAAGGATGGCCAGCATACCCTTCTGTCAACTTTCCAAATTCCCTTTTACAAAACAAAAAACCCCTCTCTTTTAGTATAAAAGTCAGACTTGAATCACTTGAACATACGTATTTCAAAACAAGCAATTTAGGTAGTTATCCAGCAACAACCCCATATCAATATTTATTTTAAAAGTATGAAAACAGCAGTGACCCAGCACTAGCCTACATTTTAAATAGAAAAAAGTTATCCACAGCCAACTTCTTAAAAAACAAACAAAGCAAATGCCACCTCCTGGGTGAGTTGAAGATTGGTCAGAGTCCAGCAGTGACCTTCAATTGGCAACTCTTGCGACTAATCCTGCAGTCCGTAAGTGACCAGACCCCAAATCAAAATAGCAAGCAGCACGGCTGGCCACCATTTCTGGCACACGCAGTTCAGAGGGACCCAAAGAATCTGTTTAGGAAAAGAATAAACTGATTAAATACCACAAGAATTAGAGAATGAGAGCAGGGAAAAAATCACCTGCGGTAGTTCCAGGGTGGCTGACCTGCAGCCCTGGTTTTGGGGACTCCAGTTCCCCTCAGCCTCATAACAAAGGCATTTTTGTTTAAGAAGGCTTCCCCAGAAGTGTGTCCCAGTCATTTACAAAATATTAATTGCACAACTACAGGAATGCTTTTATGGCTTGCAGGAATGCTTTGAATGCTTTTTTGAATCTGCTTGTTTTGCACGTTATCTTCTCAACACTGTGCACGGCTTTGATTTCCTCAGGCTGTGGAGTGGTTTATCAATTTGTAAAATAAATGATGGGGAGTCCAGCAATGTGGGCATCATGTACTTCCTCAGCTGCACCAGTTCAGAATTCAGGAGCAGCAAAATGTTTGTTCTTCACATCTTGGGATTCTCTCCCACATGAAAAGCTCCCTGTTTGCGCAATGCTAGTGCTGCTTTAATAATAATAATAATAGGAAATGCCTTTGTTAGGACCAACCAATCTACCAAGTGTAGTTTTGATGAAAGCGTTCCCAAGCTTAATTGAAAGGTAAAGCCTTTGCTCTTCTTCACTGCTGGGGGCAAGGGCACAAAGTGAAGAGTGAGGAAATGAGAGTGAAGAAATGAAAGTGAAGGCACAAAGTGAAGAGTAAGATGGGTGACACCTGGCTTGAGAGCAGTACATGTGAAAAGGATCTAGGAGTCTTGGTTGACCACAAACTTGACATGAGCCAACAGTGTGATGCGGCAGCTAAAAAAGCCAATGCAATTCTGGGCCGCATCAATAGGAGTATAGCATCTAGATCAAGGGAAGTAATAGTGCCACTGTATTCTGCTCTGGTCAGACCTCACCTGGAGTACTGTGTCCAGTTCTGGGCACCACAGTTCAAGAAGGACACTGACAAACTGGAACGTGTCCAGAGGAGGGCAACCAAAATGGTCAAAGGTCTGGAAACGATGCCTTATGAGGAACGGCTAAGGGAGCTGGGCATGTTTAGCCTGGAGAAGAGGAGGTTAAGGGGTGATATGATAGCCATGTTCAAATATATAAAAGGATGTCACATAGAGGAGGGAGAAAGGTTGTTTTCTGCTGCTCCAGAGAAGCGGACACGGAGCAATGGATCCAAACTACAAGAAAGAAGATTCCACCTAAACATTAGGAAGAACTTCCTGACAGTAAGAGCTGTTTGACAGTGGAATTTGCTGCCAAGGAGTGTGGTGGAGTCTCCTTCTTTGGAGGTCTTTAAGCAGAGGCTTGACAACCATATGTCAGGAGTGCTCTGATGGTGTTTCCTGCTTGGCAGGGGGTTGGACTCGATGGCCCTTGTGGTCTCTTCCAACTCTAAGATTCTATGAAATTCTCAGGGACAATTCACACCCTGGCCAGCACCTTTTTAATCTTCTACCCTCAGGCAGGAGATATATAGGTATAATCAGTCGTAACAACAGGCTAAAAAACAGTTTCTATCTGTGGGCTGTTAGGCTGCTGAACGGAAAATAATATAGTGCAACTGACTTTCGGGGTTGGTGTGTGTGCGACAAGCACACAGAGTGCAATGAGATTCAGTGTTAGAGGGGGAGGGAGGCTCAGTTAATTTCATTGTACACAGGTTGTACATTGACAAGAAAGGTATTATTATGATGATGATGGGCTTAGGCAGTGCTGCGATGGACACCACCCATAACCCCTTCAAGAACTTTTCTAAAAAGGTAAATATAGAAAGCTTACAATCATTATTTTTTGCTCCCTTGGAAATTTAGGGAAAACGGAGGAGGAAAGAGTAATTAGTTAATGCAGGATCTGCCAGCACAAAGCATAACACATCAAGTTGGATTTTGTACCCATTGAGACTGATGTGAAAAGATAGCCATGACTTAAGTCCAGTTATTTTAATGAGAATTCGAGCGCAAGATTGTACCCCTATCTGGCAGGAGATCTCATTGAACTCAGTGAGGCTTACTTCTCAGTAAGCATATCAGAACAGACTGCCTCTCTGGATCCAACCCATAAATCCTGTTTTGCACTAATTTGGGGGTTACAGGGAAGCACACTTTTTTCTGGCATTCACTGGCAACGGTCTATGCATTTATATAGAGGTCATCCTGATTTGCTATTACTGTAATAGTTCTCAAGGAAACACAAGCAAAACTGGGCAGGAACCTAATAGCAGCATAAGCCACAAACCTTTATAGTTCAGTTCTATGAAAACCATCAGGCCAAAGCACAAAAGTGGGCTGAACTGCAGGCTGACAATGCAATTCTATTTAACTTGGGAGTGAGCTCCATTGAACTAAATGGAGTTCAGCTTACAAGGAGACAAGTATAGGACTGCACTGCAAGATTCCAAATTCCCTTTTACTACCTTTTTTTCTTCTTTCCAGCCCCTCAGTCGAAAAATTGCAAATGCAAAATAATATGCAATTTACCCAGTTACAGTCGAGAATCTTCTTTCTCCAGCCACTGTTCAAAAAACTCCCAAAGGCTTTCATAATACTTCTAAAATTACTCCAGATACAAGTGTGAAAAACGTTGGCTGCTATCCTATTGAGAAACAAAATAGTTGGGAGAATTAGAATTTAGTTTAAAATTAAACAGGCATTATGGAAATGAATCCTGAGCTCCAAATCAAGTATTAAATGCTTCTAATCAAACAATGCTTCTAATCAACAAGCAGGGACGCGGGTGGCGCTGTGGTCTAAACCACAGAGCCTAGGGCTTGCCGATCAGAAGGTTGGCGGTTCGAATCCCAGCAACGGGGTGAGCTCCCGTTGCTCGGTCCCAGCTCCTGCCAACCTAGCAGTTTGAAAGCACATCAAGTGCAAGAAGATAAATAGGTACCGCTCCGGCGGGAAGGTAAACAGCGTTTCCGTGCGCTGCTCTGGTTCGCCAGAAGCGGCTTAGTCATGCTGGCCACATGACCTGGAAGTTGTACGCCAGCTCTCTTGGCCAATAAAGCGAGATGAGCACCACAACCCCAGAGTCGTCCATGACTGGACTTAACGGTCAGGGGTCCCTTTACCTTTACCTAATCAAACAAGCAAATCGGAAACTGACTTTGGAAAGTGTGACTTCCCATTTCTTCCCTCTCTGAAGCAAATGACTTTTTGAAGCTGTTTTATTTGTGAAGGCTGCCACAATGCTTGACATTCTCAGTTCACTTTGCAGAGTGAATCTTGGATTCTGTTTCTTGATTGTAAACGACTACAAAGGAATGATGGGAGCTGGCCAGACTAGAAGTCACATAACATTAAATACATCCTTGGTTGTCTTAGCAGGTACAAATAAGAATTTAATCCTTTTCCCCTTCTGCAATCCTGAGCAAAATCAAAATCCCTCCTCTGAAGGTGCTACTGGCATTGTGAGGAACACACACACACACACACAAACCCCTCGGTGCAAGGAGAAGGGATTTTCCTCAGGACTTCTGCAGGGGCAGAAAGGCTTAACCTGTCTTCTATGACACCATAATGATCCCTTACAATGATCTTTTCCAGGTTGGTATTATTAGCCATTGAAAAGAGAATTGCACATTAAATGCAAAGTTACATTTAATGTCACATATAGTTTGGCCATAGGTATGCAGCTTAGACAATACAAATATCCACATATAAATCCACAGTTTCTTACAAGTCAAACCTGTGCCAAATGTGAGCACATGGATGATTCAGCTTTGCAGACAATCAAACAAAAATCGGCGGCCAAGAATTGTAGTTGTCTACGATGTCTATAAGCCACCTGGTGGCTTCCATGTGAATGTAACAGCAGCGCTTCGTCAGATGAAAAGGACTCTCTAGTCCAGCATCCTGATCTCGCAAAGGCCAACCAGATGCCTGTTAGAAGCCTATCTAGAAGCAGGACCCTCCCCTTCGTGACACACACGGCCTCCGATTCTGCAGGCGTCATAGTTATAATGACAAGCAGCCATTCATAGCTTTATCTTCCATGAATTTCTTCAGTTACCTTTTAAAGCCATCCTAGCTTCTGGTGGAGTTGCGGGTGGCGCTGTGGTCTAAACCACAGAGCCTAGGGCTCGCCGATCAGAAGATTGGCGGTTCGGATCCCCACAATGGGGTGAGCGCCCGTTGCTCGGTCCTGCTCCTGCCAACCTAGCAGTTCGAAAGCACGTCCAAGTGCAAGTAGATAAATAGGTACCGCTCCGGTGGGAAGGTAAACGGTGTTTCTGTGCGCTGCTCTGGTTCACCAGAAGCGGCTTAGTCACGCTGGCCACATGACAGGAAGCTGTCTGTGGACAAATGCCGGCTCCCTTGGCCAGTAAAGCGAGATGAGTGCGCAACCCCAGAGTCGTCCGCGACTGGACTTAACGGTCAGAGGTACCTTTACCTAGCTTCTGGTAACAAATTCCATAGATTAACAATGCTCTGCACAAAGAAATACTCCCTTTTTGTGTGCCCTTAATTTTTCAACATTAAGTTTTATTGGACAAACCTAGGCCTAGTATTATGAGGGAGGGATAAAAACTATAATCACTTTCTCCACACCAGAGATGCATAATGTTCTTTGATGTCCTCCCTTTACTCCTTGACCTTTTTGGAAGCTTAAGAGCCCCACCACTGTAGCATTTGCTCCTAGGGGAGTTGCCCCAGTACCTTCATCTGCTTGGTAACCCTTTTATGCACCTTTTCCAGTTCTACAACATCCTTTTTGAGGTGCAGCAACCAGAACTGCTTTCAAGCCACATACAGTTATATAAAAACATTGCGATATTGGCAGTTTTATTTTCAAACTCTTTTCTAATTATCCCTTACATGGCATCCACATTTTTCACAGCAGATGCACACTGGATCAAGCATGGGCAAACTCGGCCCTCCAGATGTTTTGGGAATACAACTTCCATCTTCCCTAGCTAACAGGACCAGTGGTCAGGGATGATGGGAATTGTAGTCCCAAAACATCTGGAGGGCCGAGTTTGCCTATGCCTGCACTGGATCAACATTTTCACTGTGATCCACCAGAATCCAAAGATCACTTTCCTGCTCAGTCACCTCCAGCATCAGACCCCGTTAATATTTTTTGCCTCGATGTGGACTAATTTACACTTGCTTACACGGAATCACACTTGCCGTTTTAATACCTAGTTTGCAGAGATCCCTCTAAAGTTTCTCTCAATTCATTTAGTTTTTACAGCCCTAAACAACTGGGTATTATAAGCAAACTGCAGATCATTTATGAACAAGTTAAAAGCACATTAAATAATGGGGATGACAGGAACTCACAGAATAATAATTTGTTCTGCACCCTGGTCAAGTGGCCAACTGCAATCCTGCAAACAAGTGGCCACCTCGGCACCATGAGGACTCTCCTAGGCACTGAGGCAAAGGGGCAATTTATTCCCTTCTGAGGGAATAAAGGTGGTAGGATGGAACACAACACTTGCAATTTCAGGCTGGGTAGCTTACTTTTTATGTTCCTCTACATTTAAAGATGAAACACACAATGCAAATAAAAAGTAGCAGCACTTACAAAGAAAGTTTATTGCCTTGTCCACGCCTTGCCTTGTGCATTTTCTACTTGCAGAGAGGTTTTGTTTGTTTGTTTGTACGAACTGGTGAGCATTTAAAAAGCACTTGCTATTGAAAAGGCATTTCAGAATTAGAATACAGAAAACCCCCCTAGGCAGACCTTACCCCTTTGCAAGATGAAGCAGTGAATCCTCCCGTTTCCCAGTGTACATCCGGTTACACTCATCCCCTATCATTGCAAGCTGATGTCCAACTTGGGTTGCAGCCCTGGAAATGTTGAACACACATGAAGATGATCCTTCATTACAGATCTGTCCCAATGCTGAACAAATTAACAGGCAAACAGACAACTTAACTGATAAATGACTGAACATAGATAATGCATAAGCAGCTTGTGGTTGCCCTCTCAAAAATGATATAAGGGAGTTGAAAAAGAATTAAAATGGTCAAGAGGTTGGAGCAGCTTCCCTATGAGGAACAGCTAAATGTTGGGACTTTATAGTTTTTTTAAAAAAGGAACAGCGATGGGAGACATATAATTAACAGCATCTGATGGGGTGATGGCCGCTAGCTTAGATGGCTTTAAGTGGCTATACTCACTATATGAAATGTTCACATGCTCTGGTTACTGCTTGGAATTGAATGCTAGATCAAATGGACTTTTGACCTGATCAAGCAAGGCAGTTCTTGAGATTCTTAAGTATCTACAAAGGAGCAATTTTTCAAAATAATAATAGTAAATAAATAAATGTGTTTTTTAAATCTCTAGGTGGCTGCGATTCTTCCACCCCCTGAAGTCCAATAAGCCACCATTAGGCTATTCTACGTACGGGCAACTCCCCACTTAGGCAGGGGTTATGTTCCAGCCCCCCCCATGCATAATAATAATAATTTATAATAATAATAATTTATTATTTATACCCTGTCCATCTGGCTGGGTTTCCCCAGCCACTCTGGGTGGCTTCCAACAGAATATTAAAATACAATAGTATATTAAACATTAAAAGCTTCCCTAAACAGGGCTGCCTTCAGATGTCTTCTAAAAGTCTGGTAGTTGTTTTTCTCTTTGACATCTGGTGGGAGGGCGTTCCACAGGGACGTGAAATGTGTGTAACTGGGGAGCTCTGTTTTCTGTCCCCCTCCCCACTTTTGTTTGGGTGATCTAAGGGGCAAGAGAGGCCCCCTTCCTTCCCTCCTTGCCTGCAATCTTGCCAGGAAGAGCAGGGGAGCCACACAGCAGAGCCTCCGGCCAGGAGCGGCTTACCACCCATCCGCTGTTGAGCAGAGAGCTCCCGCGTGCCATTTTGGAAGCGGCAGCTCTTTTAAAGCATTCTAAATCTTCTCTTTACCTTGAACATTCTCCTTCATCTGGTAGATATAGAAGGGGTTCTTCCCAGGGGAGCTGCTACCCCTCAGAGCACCGTGACCCCAGAGAGGCTGGAGAAGCCGCACAGTGGGGGGGGGGGTGGCAGTGTGCAAGCCAACGCCAGAGTCCTAAACTACAGAAAAAATCATCTTTGGCTTCTGGGGAACAAGCCACGAGGACTCTCCAGCTCTCTGCTGCCATTTCCAGATTTGAATAGATTTATTTATCGGGATGGGTGGGTGGGTGCCTGTATTTATTTAGAAGGTTTACATATCCTCCCTTTCAGCTACATGGTCCCCAAGATAAATAAAAACATATACAATAAAATATAGCAACATCACAATTAAATACAGAAGAACCGCCTCTAACTGTCCGACCCCTTGAAACATCATTACAACCTTGCCCCCATGTAAAGCTTTCACAAAACGCTGGCAGGGCCAGGTGGTTTCAGCAGGGATGTGTCTATGCTTTGATTCTGTGGTGGAAAAACTGGCACATAATGTGGAAACCAGCCTCCTGAGAATTTTTTGTTTTAAAAAAACTTTCTAGTCTGTATTTACTACTCTGTGAAGCTAGGTTTGAAAATGTGCAGGCAACAGCCACTAAAATCTAAATAGCCACCGGAATGGCTGAGGGACAAGGGCTAAGGTAGGGCTGCAGTACCTTATGACAAATTCTGCATACGGCCTTAATTTGCATAACTAAGGGATAATTAAGGGATACAGAGTTTGGATTGTCAGGTCAGGATTTGATCCCCCACCCCCACCTCAAAAAAACCCCCATACAAATCCAATTCTGCTGTAGATCAGAATTCTCTTGCGGGAGGGAAAGCAATGTGCTAATTTGATTAGGTCTTATCAATCACATAACCTAAAAAGATTCTTTGATGCTTGCTGAAGATAACAAAGTGAATTATCAAGGGTTTGCTGTTATTTCTAAAGGGAAAGCTTAATAGAAGCGGTGCCTTTGTGTCCTTATTGAAGAGCAGTCAATGTGACTGTCTGTTGCCGCTAACACATGTCCTACGGCAGATGGGCATATGATGTGGCCTGACCCTGTGTCAGATCACCAGCACATCTTGCCCACAATTGCTTCCTCTGACTGATAACAATTCGCCAGGGTCTCAAGAAAAATCATTTCAACTGCGAATTCTAAGAGTTGAATCTGGGACTAGAGGTGGGTCTTCCTCACCATAAAGACTAAATGAATTTATTGCAGTATTTTGTTGTATTAGAGCAAAGTATTTGATAGGTGCCCAATAAGCATTTAGATTCGCACAGAATTTGTCTGATAATGGAGACAGGAGCCCAGCAAAGCTTATGCCACAAAACATTTGTCAGACTGCAATCCGAAACTGAATATAAGCCCTATTTACAGTCACGGGAAAAAGAAAGTGCACCCTCTTTGAATTCTGTGGTTTTACATATTGGGACATAACAGCAATCATTTGTTGCTTAGCAGGTCTTAAAATTAAGTCAATACAACCTCAGATGAACAACAACACATGACATATTACGCTGTGTCATCATTTATTTAACAGCAAGTTAAATGTTAAAGTTCATGACAGTACAATTAGAAAAAGATTGAACAAGTACAGTGGTACCTCGGGTTACAGACGCTTCAGGTTACAGATGCTTCAGGTTACAGACTCCGCTAACCCAGAAATAGTACCTCGGGTCATTGAGTCGACCATGAACTCCTCTGTATACCAAAGTATCCTACAGCCAAATGTGTGACTATCTGCTCAACAGCTGAAGTTTGGCTGGAATTGGGTCATGCAACAGGACAATGATCCCAAGCACACCAGCAAATCTACAACAGAATGGCTGACAAAGAAAAGAATCAAGGGGTTGCAATGGCCCAGTCAAAGTCCAGACCTCAACCCAATTGAAATCCTGCGCGGGACCTTAAGAGAGCGATGCATAAACAAATGCCAGCAAACTTCAATGAACTGAAGGTGCAATGCTGTAAAGAAGAATGGGCCAAAATTCTCCCAAAGTAACATGCACTGGATTCCACCGTTAGTCTTTAAGACAGGCTAGTAAATGACCACTTGCCCATGGCAAGAATTGCCTACGAGTACGTGAATCATGCAAGTTTTTTGTAAATTGGAGAACAGTGTTGCTTTCCTCTTTGTTCTGTTTCATGTGGGCAGATGGACTAAAAACATTTTGGGGAACTCAATTGCAAGGCTACATCTTTGGTGTGTCACAGGGTTTTGTAGTCTTTATATTCTTATGCCAAGGTGTGGTAAAATTTAACAGGCAGTCACTAGAAAAATAAGGGGCACATCTTTGAAATAAGTGTGTTTTGCTGTTGAGTTATTCCATGCTTCCAAACAAAAATACAGTTTTAATGAGAGAGAGAGAGAGAGAGAGAGAGAGTTTTATGCACTGATCAGTGGGTTAAGTAGCTTTAAAAGACAAGGTATCTAGAGAATGCAGCGAAGATGACTTTGTCAGCTGCTCTTTGCAACAGCTGGGCTTCTTAAGAATGACTGTTATTTGTGACCTGGAGACGGGAAAGACTGCTAGATATTTCATGATGAGGTCTAGATAACGCAGATCATCAGAAATGATAACACTGGATTTTCACTCTAGTTACTCATCTAACATGTATTGTAAGAACTGACCTCATACAAGCTTAAAAACCAAACAGTTGCCAGAAGGAAAAGCAGAGTGTTAATACCATGCGATACCTGATATTCATCTCCATTTGCTCTGCGATGTCTACAGATCCGTTGTGACTGTTCTCTTCTGCATTGACATTGTTGTGGCTGGAGAGAAGGAAGTGTCTGGAGTTTTGTCCCATTTGGGCCATGGCTTCTTCTAGTTGTAGAAGCTGTAATAAAATTAAACATAATCTTTTCATATTGGTTAACAATGCCTTCGGCACACATCTACAGCTAAAACGAACAAAATTTTTTGTCTGAATACAAGGCAGGTTATCTAGCATTTAAGGTTAGACTCTGCAGCAGAACCCAAAGAATGTGTTAATGATAGTGGTTAGTTTCTTTGGGCTGGATTCAACTAACTACTTGTGCTCATGGGAGCCAGAGTGAGTCCTACTAGTGAATGGTGCTCCCCTCCCCTTTCCTACCCCTGCACCTTCCCCAAGTTGGCTGGGGGGCTTGGAAGAACCCCACAAACAGTGGATAGGGGCGGTCGCTCCATCAGACTAAGCAGAAATGCCGGCACTTGCAGAGCGATCTCCTTAGCGCTATTGTTAATTCCACCCATTAACTGCATATTTCAGTTTTGCAAAACGAATAATCTTTTCAGGCATCCTTAGCCGTTGCTTGGCAGTTACCATTGACAGAGTGAGTGTTCTGTGGGTCTCTGGTAAGACACTGTTTGCTTGTCGCTTTAACTGTTTTCCCAGGCGTACACCTCTTCTTTTCCAGAGGCTAAATTCAGCCCCCTTCTCGACACTTTTGTCTTTTCGTTGCTAAAGCTTTTTGTTGACAGAATGGCTGACCTGAATAACAGCCTATATGAGGAACCATTTGAGATGCATCTGTGCTGTTGGCAACACAAAACCAACAGGTCGTTCATATCACGCAGCTGAAATCAGCTTGAAGACATCTGCTGAAACAAGCTTGCTCTTAAATATATCCAAAGAACCACCCAAATTCCAGTGGCAACCCAGAATAAACTGGTAAACTGAGCTCTGGACTTCAAGAGTGCATCCGTGCTACAGCATCTGCTTATCTGTGTCTAGCTAGTTCCTCAGGCTGAGCAATCTGCTCTAGTTTGAAGACACTGCCCAGCTGGCATCTTCACCTCTGCTTGACTTGATGACAATTGTGTCCTTTGGCTCCATTGCTTCTTGTCTGTTGCAGCAGACCAAGGGAGAGGAGGTCCGAATCTTCTTGGGATCAGCCTCAGTGATCAAATTCTTCTATTTTCAAAGGCCAGGGTAAAAAGGTGCATCTTCAGCAACCTATGGAAGCTAGATGCATGCCGTCACCATTAAGGCCTCCTCACAAGCCACCCGCATTGAATCTCTGGGATCACTGGGTCATAGAGCGGTGGCATATTTTATCGTTTCTGATATCAAGTTAGACTTTAACTTAGGCCTCTAATTTTCTACAAGGCAAAGAGCCATTTTTGCAGCCTTGTTCGCATGTCACGTTGGCTCCTACTTTAAACCAAGTGGACCCTTCCAGCTCTACAGTTCTAGGCTTCTATGAGCAATGTGCTCAAAAAGCTCAGCTCAAAACAATGAGCTCCACTCCACTCCAGCTTTGTTAGACACTAGTTTGCTTATAGCAGCAAACCAACTTTTGGTTTGTTTCCTCCCAGACACGCTAAAGAAAGGAAAGAGGGAAGCAGCAGGCAGCTCTACGTTGCTCATTCACATTAAATCACTTCAAACTATGGTTTAACATGTTCTGCAAAACGGGCCAGTTAAGAGTGTTGGCCTAGCATCTGTGAGACCAGGGTCCAAATTTTCACTCACCCATTCTCCCATGCCATTCTTTTTCATAGTGATTTTTTATAATTCTCTTAAGTGTGTTATTTATTTATTTATGATGTGCGGGTGAGAATATTCTGAAACTCTTGCGGGAACGTTTTAAAAACGTGTTTAAAACAAGAGCAGAAATGTCTGTATTTGTACAAAGCCAAAACTGTTTTCTGAAAAGGACTGAGAATAAGCCCACGTGCCTAAGAAATCAGACATGCAAACAAGTCATACAACATCAGGGCAAAACTGCAAAGTGCAACATATGCCAGCTCACACCTGTTATGGTAATATAACCCTCCCTTTGGCTAATAAACCAACACAGATATTTGCTTACGCAGTCCAGAATTCAGCTGCAAGTTAGCATGCGGTTTTCCAGCCAACTTGTTTAAAATGATAAAGCAAGGATCAAAGATGCAGATTTATGATTCCAAGGTGGCCAGGTGGCCCGGTTTAAATGAATGCTGATAGCATGGAAGATAAATGCTTTATTTGCTTCTGGAATTAAGTCAAACCGTGTCCCCCCCCCCACCCTGCATTTTTGGAAGGAGGCCTAAACTGGTGCCCCATGATCAATGAGGGTGGAACAGTTTAGCATGCAGAGAAGTGACGCAGCTCGGTGGCTCTGTGTAATCGAGACAGCCCCCAGTTCTGATCTCACCTCAGCCGGCGACTGAAAAAGAGGACCTTAGAAACACTATTCTCTCAGCTGCAAGAAGCAGCTAATAAAGCTGCTCAAATATATTGGGTGGCTGTAAGAACTATGGAGATAATATACGTGACGGGCTTCAAACACTTTAAATGCATATATCATATCAGTAAGTATATGATTCTTAGGTTTGGTAACAGTAAAGCTATAGAACAAGAACTAATATTGGCCATGTTGCAGGCCCAGCCTCTCGTGGAACCAAGCCAGGCATGTCGGAAAAACGACTTGCAAGCTTGAAAATGGATTAATTCTTCTCTTACTAAAGACACCCTGCAGAGTGAGAGCGCCCTAAGCCCAGGCTCATCGAGCACAACTGAATTCCACTTGTCTACATTACTTTTCAGATAACTGTCTGGTGAGATCACTTCTGTATCTGGTGGATGCTATCAAAATATTCAGCACATATTCTGTTCCGAAATTGCTATGACTTGACAATTGTTCTGAAAAACTGGCTTCTTGCTGGTTCACGATGCCATGCTATTACCCTAAGCCCCCTTAAGGAACAGAAGATCTTCCAGAGGAGCAGTGCTGTTCACAGCAAAGGAAGCAGAACAGGGACCCACTGAGAGAATCAACTGGAAGATGTCCCCTTGCAGCAGAAGCATGGTACAGTCTGCCTTGACCCAAGGATACAGCAGCACTATGAGAGAGTATCTTGGAAGGAAACAGAACCAAGGGTGAAGAAAGGCATAATCTAGAGCATTCTTCACATGCACTGTGGTAAAAGCTTAACTTCCTCACCGTATCTAAATCTGCATGACGGATGTATACACCAGAAAATCAAAGGCAGGGCACTTTCCCTTTTTTTTAGTTTGGAGTGCCACAGATAAGTGTACCCACTTACATTGTCATCACTAGCATTGTTTTCAAAGGGGCTTCAGAGCTGCTCTGGAGGAGGGAGCTATGGGTTCAGAAGCATCAATTAACAGGCATATTCCACAGGTAGTCCTATACAAGCTTGGAAGCCTGAACTGTTTATATTTAAGAACTTTCCTCCAATGCTCTTGCTCAAAAAAGGCAACTCCCAGAAGGGGATTCCCCATTGCAGACCCCTACACCACACACACCCAGACACACACCGAAAATCTTCTCCTGAGGGTTGGGAGAACCTGATGAAGGTAGCTTTGCTCTCACAATGCAGTCTCCATCCAACCCTCCCCATGCAATTACCTCTCCTTCTGCAGCTTGACCATGCCACATGGCAGACCTCTTCCTGAAAGTCTTGTGCAGCGGAGAGGAGGAGGAGAAAATTCCCCTTGTGTAAACATCATCGAAGGACTGCCGCATTGGATATTGACTGACTTATTTATGGGGCATGCTTTTTGTACTAAAATGGTCCCTGCTCCCAGATTTGCAACGTAGAAATGCATGACATAAGAGGAAAGAGGAAGAGGAGGGAAGAGGAGGGAAAGAGCAAGCTCAACTTACAGTTCTTATTGCACAGTTAGTTAGGTTCCGGTTGCCTTGTGCTTGATAAAGAGCAGCCCCTCCCTAGAAGCACTCCCAAGCCCTACCCACATCCATCAGATCCAGGAGTAGAGCTGGTGACAACATACAATCCAAAGGACATTCCTTCACTCCAGACAGGTAACTTGATGGCAGTCAGAGACCAACTTAAGTTTCCTAGCATCCCAGAGTCATTTCTTTTTTCCAAAAAGGCATAGTTTGTGAGTCATTGCAGAAGGCAACTCACTCCTCCAAAACTAGGTACATCTGAATCCCAAAACAGATGCTGAATCCTGCAGAGACTGGGGTGCTTTGTGTCCTCATGTCCTGGAGGTGGGAAGATGGCCTGCTTTGGATGGGATTGCTCTCCCCTGGAAGGAGCAGGTCCACAGTCTGGGACTGCTCCTGGATTCATCACTGTTTCTGGAGGCTCAGTTAGCCTCAGTGGCTAGGAATGCCTAATCCCTGCTCCGGATGGTTTGCCAGCTATGGCCCCGTTGGGCAGCGATGGCTTGGCCACAGCATCCCATGTTCTGCTAACTTCCAGAAGGGATGGACTGCAATGCGCTTTACATGGGGCTGCCCTGCAAGACGACTCAGCAATTTCAATTCCTCCAAATTTTATTTGTTTATTAAATTTATATGCCGCCCTTCATTCAAGGGCAGTTTACAGTACAGTCGTACCTCGGCTTCCGAACGCCTTGGGAGTCGAACGTTCTAGCTTCCAAACGATCACAAACCGGAGACGAGTGTTCTGGTTTTCGAATGTTCTTTTCAAAGCTGAAAGTCTGAGGGGGCTTCCGATTGGATGCAGGAGCTTCCTGCAGCCAATCAGAAGCCGCACTTTGGAAGTCGAATGTTTCAGAAGTCGAACGGACTTCCGGAACGGATTCTGTTCAACTTCCGAGGTACGACTGTTTTAAAATAACAAAAATACACAAGAACAAATGAAACATTCACCCCCACCCCCACACAAGCAGGAAGCCAGCACAGAAAAGGCCTGTTTGTTCTCATGTTGCCACCCTTCCCACAGAGGTGCGTCAGCTTTTGGAGAAAGCTCAAGATGCACCTGCTCACCCTGGCTTTTGACACTTCAGGTGTATATTTTTAGGACCCACCTTATTTTTGTGGTTTTCAGTTGTGTTAAACTGTTTTTTTATATTGTTAATTAATAATCCAACCTCTCATCCAGGTTTGTCCAGAACAAATAAAAATACAAACAGTGCTTAAGTTCACTGGCCTCCCCCCCCCCCCCCGCAAAACCACACATACCTGAGCTATTAACTGACATTTAGCAAGTTTTAAGTAATGACAGAAAGGTATTTCCATTTTGCCCTTTTGACCGAGTGAGTATTATTTGGTCATGTGTCTTCACAAACCACAAATTTTAATGGGGAACAAACTGAGTGGCTGTTTGCATATGTGGTCCAGGGCATATGCTGCCGTTCCAAAAACATGATACCATCACCCGTTTAGCAAATACAACCCCATTTCAGAAGGATGCCTTTTTTGAATAAATGCAGTGGGAAATGTATGGAGCTTCATGTTAAAAGCACATAACACTTGCTCCACACTTCTAAGCAATCGCTGTGTTAGTGCCGCAACAACCACTCTTGAAACTCCATGGCTGCTGAAAACATGTTTGTCCAGGCAAGCCTAACCAGACATATGGAAGGCTGACATGGGCTTTAACCTAGTTTTCAGCTTGCCATTGATTTTAATTATTTTTAAATGCTTTAAATAGTTGCTTTTAATTGTTTTTCACTGTTAATGTTACTCTATTCTGTTTGCATGCCACTTTGTGAGACTTTATTACAATGAAGCAGTATATAAATCTTGTGAGATTAAACATAATTAAATATTCCAAAGATTATTACTCTTTAGGTACTTTCTGTACAACAGCAAAACCATAAAATCTCAGATGGGGGGGACATGATCTTCTCCCCCACCCCCAGTTAGCTCCCTAAGGGGTCACAAACAGTAATTGTCTCATCCCTTCCTTGTGCCATTTCCTATGACAAATCAACCTCAGTGACCTTGAAACACTGTTTATATTTAAAACAATTCCTAACACAGCTTGAATAACTCTCAGGCAGATTTTCTTCTGCAATGAACATTCATGCATTCCCTCAACTTTTTTATCTCATCCTTGCTCTGCAATACTACTCTGGCTGACATCGGAAATTGGTTCCTGCCAGCTTATTATGTGTAGTCCATTCCAATGCATATTTCATTCAGACGTTTCACTGTGCTATTTTGAAGTTCCATGGGACTGCAGCTTTAGGCTGCAATCCTGTGAACACTTGCCAGTAAATAAGCACCACTGAACTCAGCAGGACATACCTCTGAATAGATGACACAAGACTGCACTAACAGAGGGTTGCAATTGACATGTGAAGTGCCCCTCACTTCTGTCTACAGCAGGGGTCGGCAACTTAAGGCCAATGGGCCACAAGCGGCCCATGGGGGTCGTTTTACCGGCCCATAGACCCCCCTCCTGCAGCCAATGGGAAGCTGCACACGCCTCCTCTGCGCCGGAAGGGGTGCCGGAAATAGCGTTTGTGCATGAATGCGCGCGCACTCTGGCCCACCGCGCCGTCTGCAGGACCGTGAATCGGCCCAAGCCACAAAAACTTTGCAGACCCCTGGTCTACAGCTTGGGCAGAAACCGCCTTCTTGACCTCTGGACCCCACTGTCGGTCTCACCTGCTTGGTCCACCGGAGCCTGACTTGGCATACAGACGCAGTCCCTGACTCCCCGAGGGTCTGAGACCCACTACTCTTATGCATTTGTTGAATTGATACCCGCAGGTCTCAGGGTGGTTCACAGAATAAAATCAGAATATAAAACCACAAAATGCAGAATCAAAATAAAAAACAACCCACATCAAATACACCCATTTGAAAAGGGCATAGGATGCGGCTGCGCATGGCTACCCCTTACTTGGTTTAGCTGGCCACTCCAAGCCGTTTCCCGGGATTGTGGCCGCTGTCGCCTGCTGGCATCTTCTAGGAGCCACGGGAGAGAGCTGAGTGCAGGGTGGGAACCAAAGGTGAATAAACTACCCCTGAAGGAGCATGGCGTGTCCCCCACCAGAGGTACTACCCCTCCTCTAACACCCCATACACCCCAAGGGGGGTTCTTACACTGCCTCAAGGCACTATTTAGAGAGGAGGGAGGACCCTGCCGCCATATTTCCCATCCTGAATGCTATGCAGCATCCATATTTCCAGATATCTCAGTGGTTTTACACACAGTGTAAAGCATATTCTTATAAACAATTACACTGGCCTGTGTAACAGGCACGCATGCTGAAATGCACCAATTCTTGCATTCAGAAAGTTGCATGACCTGACATGGGAGGAGAAACGAAGGCAAGTGAAACAAGGAGTATGAAACCACCTGTTATTTGCAAGGCTGGTCTAATCTATTTACTGAGCTTCACTAAGAGTGACTTCCACCTAACTATGGTGAAGTGCTATTTACTCTTAAGTCACGTGAATATATTCATTTTTATTTCCTGGTTGACTAACACTGGAAGCAGGTAAACATATTTCCCTCAGCAGAAAACATTTTCAGATTGGGACCAACCAACTTCTGTATTTTCTGGAACTATTCTATTCTATAGGAAGAGGGCCAAAGACAAGCTCAGCGATAGAGTGTGTTGCTTACTGAAGGTCCCAGATTCCAACTGGCGAGATCTCTGGCAGCAGATAAGGATCTCTTCCTGAGAACTTACAAATTATACCTTTGAAGCCCATTTGAAGCCCATTTCCCCCTTCAAATAATGCTGGACACTGTAGTTTGTCAAGAGTTGCTGGGAATTGTATCTAGGAAGGGTTAACTACAGCAATCAGAATTCTCTGAGGGCCTTTAAATGTGCTTTAAAGGTACCGTGTGTACACAGCCTAGATGGACCAACTGCCCTACTCAGCATGAGACAACTCTTTATAAACTTCCACTCCTTCTTAGAAGTTTCAGACTTCTGAGAAGATGTGCTACAACACTTAAGACAGACCTAATACTTCAGAGTAGGCGGTCTCTTATACAGAGAGTTTTTGACAATAACTTTCATTTCCATGATTTCCCCCCTATTTCATAAATGCAATGACTAAGTCTCACTAAAGGTAAAGGTACCCCTGCCCGTGTGGGCCAGTCGTGTCCGACTCTAGGGTTGTGCGCTCTCATCTCAGTCCAAGAGGCTGGAGGCCAGACGCTGGTCCGGAGACACTTCCGCTGTCTCACGTGGCATAGCGTAACAGGCTGCTCTGGCGAGCTGAGCACCAGCGCAGCATTCACTGGCAACGTACAGTGACCTGCCCTGCATAGATGCGGTGCCTACTTATCTAGTTGCACTTGGAGATGCCCGCTGAACTGCTAGGTGGGCAGGAGCTGGGACCGAACGACGGGAGCTCACCCCACCGCGGGGATTCGAACCGCCGACCATGCGATTGGCAAGTCCTAGGCGCTGAGGTTTTACCCACAGCGCCACCCTAGTCTCACTAAAAGAGCACTACTAACAGCGCCTTGGTCTTATCTGGATTGAGCTTCAGTTTGTTGGCTCTCATCCATTCCATTACTGAGGCAAGACACTGGTCCAGCACTTCCACTGCCTCACCTGCAGATGTAAAGAACCACTAGAGCTGAGATACTCACAGACAGTTAATTTCGTCTTGCGAGGCACCACTGTACTTCAAAACTGTGGATGACCCCACTCAGTAATTTCATGTAGATGTTAAACAGCACGAGGGATAAAACTGAACCCTGAGGACCCCCACACTGGAGGCTCCACGGGGCTGAAAAACACTCCCTTAAGAATCACCTTCTGGGAACGACCATCCCACTGCAAAGTGGAGCTACTGATCCCTAACTTAGAGAGCCACTCCAGAACGATACCATGGTTGATGGTATCAAAAGCCACTAAAAGGAATTAATAAGGATCCATTTCCCCTGTCTCTCTCCTCACAGAGGAATCATACAAAACAGTTTCTATGCCAAAACGAAGCCCAAACCCTGATTGAAATGGATCTAGAAAATCAGTTTCCTCCAAGAGCGCATGGATCTGGTCAGCAGTGGAGGAAGCCTCTTGGGCACCTGGGGCGGCGGGGGCAGGGCGGGGCGCCCATAGGGACGGCATGGAGCACGGGGCGCCCTTAGGGAGGGACGGGACGCGCGGGGCCTCAGCCGCCCTACAGCTGGGGGGGCAGCAGGCGGACAGCGCAGAGCCTGTGGGTGCCGAGACGCGTGGCTCGTGCACGCTGCAGGCCCCGCAGTGTGCCACCCGCCATTTTGTCACACACCCACCCCGTCAGGGTGGCACCTGGGGCAGACCGCACCCCCCTTCTTACGCCCCTGGATCTGGTCCACAACCACCCACTCAAGTACATTGTCCAAGAAGGGGAGCCTGGCAACTGGCCGGGAGTTAGATTTTCCGAATCCAGGGATGGTTTCTTGAGGAGTAGTTTTAGCACTGCGTCCTTCAAGCACCACCACCCCCATTTCAAGGAGGCATAATTTCCCTTACAAACGCTTAAGTCTGACTCCTATTTGTTCTTTCAGTAGCTTGATGTTTCTGCTTTGATGCTGGCGCAAATACTGATTATACTTTATAATCAAATGTCATGCCCTAATTAACAGGTTGGGTTTGTTCTTTTTATTTCTGTTATCTCCGTTCTCAACTTGTTAAATGTGTCTCGTCTTCCGTTCTTTCTCATTCCAACTGCACATGTGCTTCACTGTTTCACTCCAGTTCCTAATCAGATGAAACAGGTGGTTGTGTATGAAGCCTCATGCTATAATGAAAACAGAAGCCCCGGTCGGTTCAGCCCCAAAGTCCATCTAAGGCAAGCATAGCATTGCTAACAGTGGCAACTTAGATGCCCTCCCTGCAGAAACTCATAGGCACAGGAACACAGGTTAGCTAGCTCCTATGTACCAGGTTATGTCATTGGTTCATTGAGCTCCGTATTGTCTACACCAGGAACCTCTGAACCTTTGGGGTCTGGGGGCATAGCAAAATACCCACTCCATGCAAGAAAAACTGGCAATGCTTACTACTCCTCGCCCCCCAAAAAAGTCTCAATTTTGAAAAATCAGGAAGGGCAGGGAAACTTGATGGACACCAAAGGGTCTGTGACAGGGGCTTTCCAGGATTTCAGACCCCGGGATCTTCAAATACAGTCTTCCCTCAAACTATACAGGAAGGCAACATCCCTTCCGCATTGATTGTCCCCAGAATACCAACCATGGTGATTCACGTGACATAGAACTTTGGGTCTGGGGCTTCCTCTGGAGAATTCAGCAATGGGGAATTACTTAGGAGTGTTCTGAAAAATTGGAATTGAGCCACACATTTCAGTCGCAATTTAACTCTTAGGAACCTGCCGGGGAGTCTTGTGCTCCTCCTCCCTCCACTGCACACAGAAGAAATGCCTCCCTAAATCACGTTCCAAGTAGCCCAGCCTTGCTTATCCTGAAAGTAACCAGAGAGAAGGTTGGATGTTTGCAGCCAATCATGAAGACAACATGCAACCTTGTCATTGTCTCCAGTATCTGGTGGTAGCCTATGGAGGTTTCATTCATGGCCTGCCAATCACTGCTAAGAAATCCATCCTTCACTAGTATTGTCTAATCCACTGGTCTTCAATTGGTGGATCAAGGCCCACTAGTGCATTGTGGCCTGATCCAAGATGGGTTGCAACAGGGAAAAATACCATCATGCAAAGAAGATTTAAGAAATGGGCCCCCAAATGCATGTTTGGGTTAAAAGTGGGTCCTGGGCCTGAAAAGGTTGAAGATACCTGGTCTAATCCTTCTAAAATGTCATTTAAGCTAGTGGCCATAATCACATCTGTAGAAGTATCTCCCACTTTAGGTATTGTTTTGTACATGTGTTGTACATGGACTAGAAGTTGGCAGGAGAAGAAGTGCAGAAGCGTCAGACCGCCTCTCAATCTTGCTAACTGCCCTGTCCCAAGATGAGAGCATTCTGAAGGGAAGTGCTTTAAGAACTGCTGCTTTAAGAATTCATCTTGAGAAGGAGATATTGCAATCTGCACTTTGCATTCTGAAAAGGGCCTGAAGATGTGCACACTCTACCCTCAAAACACACTCGTCATTTCCCTCAAATAATTCTCAGCACAGTAAATTATCCCTCACAGAGTTGCCAGTTTCAGCAACCCTTCACAAACTATAGTGCCCAAAATTATTTGGGGGAAAGAATGTGCTTTGAATGTACTTTAAAGGTCGAGTGTGTACACAGCCTATATCTACATTTTCTAATTCTACAAATAAGGAAAAGAAGAGGGAGGATGGGAGAGGACTAGACTAGTGGTGAGGCTTGATAAAGCAATTACAACTGATCTTTGGAGACAAGAAAAATACAGATGACCCAAGACTTTCTGGTGCCTGAGAAATAAAATCCAAGTAGTGCCCCAATGTTGGTAAAAATATTACAGTACTATTATAATTGGCAATTGCCACCCTTTAATAGCAATAATATGCTATCTGATATTATTCTGATTCTGATTCTGCGTAAGGATAATGCTGCACTGGCCATGGAAGAGTTTGCCTGCGTTTTTTAAGCTTTCAAAATTTAGAGATGCTGCAAACTGAACGTTCATCTTAATATGCTGATTTGCTTACTTCCAAATCTTCTTTACATTAAAAGAGAAGGGTTTGCTTCTGGAAAACCTGCTACCCTGGTTTTCTTTTCACAACAGCAAAACACAAACTGCTAGCTGAAATATGAACAAATACGTTGTTGTCAGACTCTAAGACAAAAGCAGACCAAAATAAGAAGAAGAGCAGGTGAAACTGCAGGCGGTTTCACTATTAGAGGGAGTCAACATGCAGCCTTCTCACAAGAGTATTCTTCTTCCTGTTTTTCATCCAACAAGTGCAAGTGCAATCCAGGAAACAAGAACAGGGCCTGCACGCCACAATTTACCTCCAGGGCAGACTATCGTGTTTGGCTATTCTCTCTAGGCCAAATGGCGTCCGACTGGAGCCGAGCAAAGCTCCTCCACAGCCAGGGAGAGACTGTTTGCCTTTGAAGCATGTAACATTTGTAGAACTATCACACTAACAAACAAGCCTTAGGGGTTGAATTGTATTGTTAATTGTATACATTTTGATCTATCTGATCTTATTATTTATACGTAAATTTGAATATTAACCAAGAAAAGGCATTTTGCTTTAATGGCACCTGGCACAGCAGACCTGAGTGTGCAAAGAGGCATTCCCTCCTTTCCTGAGGAAGAAAGAATTCCTCTTCTAAGATGGCACCTGCCAGCAATGTTGTCGTTGTTTTAGAAAGAATCACCATCTTTTACAAACTCTGCCGGCCAATTAATCAGGATGCCCTCTTAGCTGAAAAAGATGAAATAATTCACCTTAGTTGAGTCCTTACTGCAGGCCTCAAACATTATTTAGGAGATATGATATATTAGGGATGAACGGTTCTACGCAGCCTGAATTTGTTTTTTGTTTAATTAAGTGGTGACCTTTCTGTGTAACATTAAATAAAGTTACGCTCCGAGGAAGCTCTGAGTTGGAGCCCAAACTGAGCAGGTTAATCCAGTTTAGGTGTTCAGTTAATCCATCTGAACTATTACCACTGCTGATCCCCTTTGCAGACCATTCCTAGGAAATGCAATCATTTCCTGCAGAGGACCCCGGGATCGAAGCAGAAGAGGGATCTGCCCCGAGTCTTGTTCAGCCTACCTCGCTTTCCCCTCGCGCACCTTTCCTCCAGCCGAAGCGACAGCTGCCCTGCAGACGGACGAGAAGAGACGTGAGAAAAGGATCGAGGCCATGGCGGGCGGGAGCAGCGGGGAAAGGAAGAAAGCGCCCAAAGGGCTCACTTACCGCAGCGTCACTTGCGCGCACTGGATCCTCCGCTCCAGCCCAGGCGCTTCCCCACCTCCTCGGCCCCGCAGAGCCGCCCTGCCCGGCCTCCCGGGGGCGGAGGGAAGCTCTCCCGTCCCGCCCAGCCTCGGCTCCGGAGGCTCGTGGAAAGCCAAGAGGCGCCGCCGCCAAGTGCCCCGAAGTTGGGTCTCCCGGGAGCGGAGCAAGAAACTTGCCACGCGCCATGCCTTGCCCTCCAAAACAGAGGACGCCACATAAAGAGGGGGGGGGATCCCTCATTAACTACAAACCCCGAAATATGGGGGGGGCCTCCAAACGGGTGCCAAAGTTTTGCCGGCGCTTGCAGCGTGAACCCCGCGTTTTGCAGCAGCCGCTCCCAAACTGAGTAGCTGATGCATCAAACCCTGTTAACACGCGGAAATCCAACACTGGGAGTAGATCCCAAATCTCGGGGTTCATAGTTTGTGAGGCTGGAAAAATGAAAAGAAAAGAAGGGGAACGTGTGTACAGTGCAGAAGAAAGGTATTCAGAGTCAGATGGTTGAAAATAGGGGGGGGGGTTGGGGGGAGGGTTCTCTCCAACCCCTTCATTCCAGTATCTTGGTTTTCTGTTAAGTAGCCTTAACGAACTACCATTCCCAGGATTATTGTTAGCCACCCTTAAACTGCAGTTCCCAGGATTGTTTTAAGTACTCTTAACGAACTACAGTTCCCAGGGGGCACCATTTTCTGGTTTGCCTCAGGCAGCAAAATGTCTTGGGCAGGCTCTACCTCCAACATTTCAGACAAAACTAAGAGACGGGGGGCACCAATCAGAGTATTTTAGGGGTTGATGTGGTACCTTCTCAAGGTATATGGTGGGCTCTCGTCCATGTTAGGCCAACAGAAGTAACAAAGACGTAACACCGAGCCAATGCCTTCATTTCGACGATCCCCAGGTGGCTGATGTGCAGAGCCTCGAGGATACGTTGGCAGAGTCTTTGGGGAACCACGACTTGGGTCTCCCCACAGTAGGCAGCCGCGATGAGCGGAGAGCTCGTGTTGTCTGGTTGCAAACAGCTGGAACTCTGGTGCGAGAGACCCTTCCGGCCACCCCCTCCACACCCAGTTGAGTACACGTATGATGGTGCAGTTGGTGAGGGCAAAACAACTTCCGCTGGCGGACCGAGGTAAAGACTTGGACTTGCAATACAGTGAAGGGAGCTTGTCGGATGGAGCAGATCGGCAGACCTTAGCAATGTGGCCCCTTCTGGAACTGCTTTGTTACTGGAACTGCCTTGTTACTGCTGGCCTCCTCGTGGTGCACTGGAATTGGCTTCTTAGCAGGCTGCGGGCTGCTGTCCTTGCAAATCTCCTGGGCGGAGAGTTCAGCAGCTTCTGAGGCCGCAGCCTCCTCAATGGTCTTCTGCAGCGTGAGGTCAGGCTTGGCAAGAAGATGCCGTTGCAGACGGTTGTTCCGAACCCCGCAGACAATTCGATCCATCAGGGCATCGTCTAAGTCTCGGAACTCACAGTGCAGTGCAGCTTTTCGGAGGGCAGCGATGTAGTTGTTGATAGACTCCCCCCTCTGCCTGGTCCCAGTGGTAGAACGCATGGCGGACAGCAATTTTGGACGGCTTTGGAGCGTAGTGGTTTTTTAGCTTCTCCTTTACCACATCCCATGGCGCTGCCTGGAATGCTAGTGGCGCAACCAAAACTTGGGCCGTTTCGAATACCTCAGGCCCACAGAGGCTGAGGAATAGACCCCACTTACGCTCCTCTGACACTTCCGTCAGTAACCCGAGGTACCACTGTGTTAAGGAGGAGGAGGAGGAGGAGGAAAAGGTGTTGCAATGGAGGGCAGGGGAAAGAAAACCCCTGGCACTCATTCTTTCTTGCTACAGAACTAAAAGATTTTTCCTCTTTTCTCCTTTTTCTCTTGGGTTAGCGGTCACCCTAAGGGGAAACAGGTCCCCCCCCCCGAGGAAATGGACTGATCGGAACCAATCTATGACATCAGCTCAGAATCCCAACCTCACTTGGCAGTTGAGACCCAGCCTTGGCTCAACAGCTCTTGGTTGCATTAGCTGGACAGCGAGATATATTGGACAGCGAGAAACGAGAGCGAGAGACTATCAGCAAAGTCTGAAGGTCAATGGGTGCAAAATTGGCGAGAGGACCAACAGGCAGCCGCATGGAAGACGAAAGCAAGGAGGAGACCCCGAGTCCTGAATGGCTGCAGGGAAAGTAAGAAGAGGGGTCTGTACAAGAGGAGGTTATTCAAGGGCCGCCCCACAATATTTCAGCTGCAGATGCTGCAGAGCAGCTGTCTGGCGACAACACCACAGGAGTGATTGAGGTCCTCCCTTCTGACAACGATGAGGAAACACCGCTGAGTGACTCAGGCGCCACAACGAGCTCCTTCTCCTGCTATGGGACCCACGGGGAGCTCCTCCACTACCAGCTCCCCAGAGTACATAGAGAGTGTGGACCCCCAACTGGGCAGGAAGAAGATCCCCCCCCACAAAGGGGGAAGGCCCCCACCACAGGCCTCCGTCGCCTCTCACAGCGGCCAACGTGGGCCGAAAGTGCCCCCAAAAGAGGAAGACCCTAGGGGGCTTGGAGAAGGAGATGGCGGCAGGAGGGGAGCTGAAGTCACAGCTGCAGAAGCAGCAGCCTCTGCCCGGCAGCATGGAGGCTGCTGGGGACGCCAGGAGACGTCCCCCTCCTGAGGCCTGGGGACCCAGCACCAGCAGCCCTGCCTCCCCCCTCATGGCCTGGAAGAGCAAGAAGAAGACGAAGCACATCCGGTGGGCAGATGATGATGAAGAAGACCAGAGCCAGACGAGGAGGCGAAGCAGCTGCAGGACGTGGGGTCCCTGCAAGAGCAGCCTGGCCTCCCCGCCCCGGAAGAGCAGAGCAGCCAAGGGCCACAGAATCCACCTGCCGAGGGCCCGGGGCCCCCTGCGCCCAGCCCCAGCCGGAGCGGGGCGCCGGCCACGAGGCGGCTGCTGGGCCTGAGGCTGAGGCGCTGGCTGCGTGTGTCCCTCCGAGTAAGAACAGCGCCGCGTCCCAGGACGAGCTCTGCTAAGCCCCGCCCCCAGGCTGGGGTCTCCTCGGAAGAGGAGGAAGTGAAGCCCCGCCTTCCACCTCGCGGCTCCATCCCGAACTGCCCTCCGCCTGCGCCAGGAAGCCAGCAGCGTTGATCGACAGCTCACGGAGGAAGAACATGGGGAAGCGGGGCGCCGGGCTGGCCAATGGGAGGCGGCGCCCTGGCGGCGGCGGCCATTGAAATCAGAGGCTGGCTAATGTAATTCTAAGCTTGGCTCTATATTTTGCTTAGTTTTTCTAGAATTGCCCCCACCCCAATTGAGAATGCTTTTCAGGAGCTGCAACAAAACAAACTGAAGAGCTGAGAAATGTTCCCACCCATCTGATTGCCTTAATGCACTTTCCTTAAGTGCACCAGACAGTTCATTGATTTGGGAAACAAGTATTAAGTACTCAGAACATGAATAAAAATATAAAATGTCATGACCTAGGTTTTTACTGCCAGTGATAATTTACACTATAAAATATAAGACTTAAATCTACTGATTACAGGAACACGCTAAACTAACGTAGGTTGTAACAGGTAACTTATTCAAGTATTAACTTATTCAACTAAGGCTTCTCTTAAACTACAAGGGCCAGGATCTCATTTTAATGAGAGCAATTTGGCTTCACAAAAGGGCCTCAAGGCTACACTAGGCCAGTTTGCAGCAAATAGCTCCAAGCTGGAAAATTTAAAGCGCAAGAGCTAGGAAATGTAGCATATTTAATGAACAACTCTGATCCCAAAAACCTTCAAAAGACACAGTATAGCAAAGTTCATATATATATAGAGAGAGAGAATATTGAGACTACACTCAACAACTCAAGCTTGCATTTCTATATTGAAATAAAGCTTTTTGGATAGTGGCAGCCTTTATAGTATTCCTAAGAAATCTATGCCAAGCTCATTCTACTAAGTAGACTCTTAGAAAAGTTAGTAGAGACTAATCTCTTCCACCAGGTTTCCAAATAAAAAAAATTGTTCTCAGCATTCTTGTTCTCATTTTTAAAACTGAAGTTGTTATTCTGTTTTATAATATTGTATGTAGTTTTACTATAGGAACTGATTTGCGGGCTTCAGGGGACCCAAAAGTAAGGCATACGGAACATTTAAAAGTGAACATTTCATCCTCATGAAGATGGGAGCAAGTCTCAAGTTTCCAACATACATGTTTCCATTTCAGATCTTGTGAAAAGCGGTATGATAGTTGTGTGGTGGTGGACTTTCTGGATAGAGGCTTTCCTCCTAACGTAAGCTAATTTAGAGAGGTTTGTGGAAGGACAGTTTCTGATATCTTCCTCATGAAGCCACCTGTGTCCCAAAAGACTGTAAAATAGATTAATGTTTTTTTTTATTAACATATGAAGTTCAATTGTATAAGGTTGAGTATTGGATTGCTGCCATCATAATATTCCAGCATAATTGTTCATGAACAGTAGATTTGCCACAAGTGGTGAAAAATAAGTCTGGAGTATTTTTCTGTATAGTACACTATTTTAAAAAATAATAAAATCTTAAATATGCTGAACACAAATTTGCTGTGAAAGTACTTCTCTCTCTCTTTACTGAAAGTGCTGTATTTTTGACATGTACACGCTACATTGTGCATAAAAAGGTAAAGGGACCCCTGACCATTAGGTCCAGTCGTGACCGACTCTGGAGTTGCGGCGCTCATCTCGCTTAATTGGCCGAGGGAGCCGGCGTACAGCTTCCAGGTCATGTGGCCAGCAGGATTAAGCCGCTTCTGGCGAACCAGAGCAGCCCACAGAAACGCCGTTTACCTTCCCACCGGAGCGGTACCTATTTATCTACGTGCACTTTGACGTGCTTTCGAACTGCTAGGTTGGCAGGAGCAGGGACCGAGCAACGGGAGCTCACCCCATCACGGGGATTTGAATCGCCGACCTTCTGATCAGCAAGACCTAGGCTCTGTGGTTTAACCCACAGTGCCACCCACGTCCCACATTGTGCATACGTGTGACATAATTGCATGGGAGGAGCTACATGCTGATCTTACTCTGTTCTGACATGGAAGTATGAAATGTGTCATTATGTTTGCTTTTCCAACACATAATCATATACTGTGGAGGAAAGGAAAGTATGAAGTCCCAAGTGTCTTACCTATATTTAAATTAACACAGCACCATGCCTTACTTTCCTTACATAAATTAATTTCCCTATTGGGGGGGATATACTTTGCAATGTTGAAGCAAGTGTATTTTTTTTTAATCAGTTACATAGATCTGAAAGTTTAGCATGTGTCAGCATCGTAGGCCCTTCCCAACGGTCCAGGGGTCATTAACCTTTACCTTACACCTGTGCTACTTTGGGGTTCTGCTACAACTGAATGCAAGAATAGTGTGGAGCAGAGACATTGCACCCCAGAGACCCTGCAGTGGACTTGGGCCTGGGGGGGGGGGCGGGGAGGCTCCTTGCATATCTTCAAGACGTGTTTAGGGGGCGGGGGAAGGCAGGGAATAAATAAATAGATGATGATGGTGACAAACGTTAGATGCAGAAGACATTGGGCTGCTCTGGGGGGGAGGGGAGGTGGATAAACAGATCTAGAACCGCCTACGATGCTGACACATGCTAAACTTTCAGATCTATGTAATTGATTAAAATATATATATGACGGTTCTAGATCTGTTTATCCACCTCCCCCCCCCCCAGAGCAGCCCAATGTCTTCAGTATATATATAGGAGAAAGGCGCTTAAGAGCCCCCTGAGGCGCAGTAGATACGCCTTTATCGAGCTATCCTCCAATGATGGGGAGGGGGCCAGACCTCCGCCTCCTCCTCCGCTCTGAGGGGAGAGAAAGACGCCTCTCGGCCGCCTCCTCCTCCTCCTCCCTTCCCTGGCGTCCCTCGGTTACCAGGCAGCGGCTGGCGAAGCGCTCTGAGGGGAGCGGCCCGCCGGCCTCCTCTGCCGGCTTCTCGGGGGAGAGAAGGCCGAGGCGCCGGGCGAGGAGGATCCTGGGCGGGCCCGTGGCGGCGGGAAAGGCCTCCGGCGGCGCCGCCTCCGCTTCTGGGGCAGGTAAAGAGCTTCCCTCCCTGCCCCTCCGCGTCTCGAGGCCGGGCAGCTGAGCGCAGAACGGGGCAGGGCTCCAGGGGGGCATCTAGTCGAGCCCACGACCCCGAGAGGGGCGAAAGGAAAGACCCAAGAAAGCCAGGCGGCCCCCTCCCAGCAGGGCTTCCCCGAGGGACACCCCCCCCGGCCCCGCATGGAAGCAGTCTTCCTTGCACAGCAATTCATTTGGGTGCAGTTGTTCTTTAATGGGTCTCCTCATACTCCTCAAGCAACAGGATCATGGATCATTTTAATGGCGACAATACACAAATAAGTTCTTCTTAGCCCTCAGGCAGGGAGCCGGCTCAGCTTCTTTCCCAGGTGTCCCCTGCAGCTCCTGTGCTCCATTTCTAAAGAAAAGCCCCCCAGGGGAACCAGATGCCAAAGGAGGGACAGGGCCTTCAGGGGGTGATTTGGCAGGAGCAGGTGGCCGTGCAAAGGGAAGAAAAGCCCAAGTTGGAAGAGGCACAAAGTGTCCTCTAGTCCAATCCCCCTGGGTAGGCAGTCAAAATGTCAATTAAACATGAACTGTTAAAAAACTATTATACTAAGCCCATAAGGTACATGCTTTTAACTTGTGCACAGCCAGCTTAATGTGTGTGGCAAAATTATTATTATTATTAATAAAAAGGATTATATTGGTGAGAGGACTCTTAGTATCTGTTTGCAGATGCACAGTTGTCATTTAATGCATGTGGCTGCTGCATCTTTATATTCAGAGTTTCCCGTTTTCCTTATTTTTCTCCTTTTCCTAACTATTTCCTCAGATCAGGGGTAGGCAACCTAAGGCCCGGGGCAGGATGCAGCCCAATCGCCTTCTCAATCCGGCCCACGGACGGTCCGGGATTCAGCGTGTTTTTACATGAGTAGAATGTGTGCGTTTATTGACAATGCATCTCTGGGTTATTTGTGGAGCATAGGAATTTGTTCCTATATTTTTCCCCAAAATATAGTCTGGCCCACCACATGGTCTGAGGGACGGTGGACCAGCCCACGGCTGAACAAGGTTGCTGATCCCTGCCTCAGATCCTTAATGGCCTGGTCTTTTATTGCAGCAGAAATAAAATCTATTGAATGTTTTTGAACCACTGAGGTTTCTTGGGGTGCCTATTCCTTTTAGTAGCATGGTACAGTGGTGCCCCGCAAGATGAATGCCTCGCAAGACGGAAAACCCGCTAGACGAAAGGGTTTTCCGTTTTTGAGTTGCTTCGCAGGATGAATTTCCCTATGGGCTTGCTTCGCAAGACGAAAATGTCTTGCAAGTCTTGAGATTTTTTTCGCTTCGCCCCCTTTATCTAACCTGCTAAGCCTTTAATAGCCGTTAATAGCCTTTTAGCAGCTAATCCCCTAAGCCTTTAAGCCTTTAATAGCCGCTAAACCGCTAATAGCGCTAATAGCGCTAATCCGTCAATGGGCTTGCTTCGCAAGACGAAAAAACCGCTAGACGAAGACTCTAGCGGAACGGATTAATTTCGTCTTGCGAGGCACCACTGTACAATACAATTCTGCTGTCCACAATCAAATCCCTCGATCTATAAAGTCCATTCCTCTTCCAGCATCTATGTTTATCGAAGCCGTGAAACAGTGTTTCCTTCAGTTCTATTTTCTTGATAGGTAAGTGCTCTTTAAGACCTTGCAGAATGCTTTGATCTCTTTTCCAGTATCTGATGTCAGTCACGGACTGGATAAGGCTGAACGAGTTGAGGCTTAATCCAGACAAAACATTGGCGCTCCTGGTCAGTTGGAAGAAGGCTCAGGGAATAAGAATTCAAGCTGTGTTGGATGGGGTTTCACTCCCCTTGAAGAGTCGGGCTCACGGTTTGGGTGTACTCCTGGATTCGGTCCTGAACTTGGATCTCCACGTTCTCCATAATTATGGCTTATGCGCCAAATGCGCCCACTGGGACACATGCCAGCTGAACTACTGTAACGTGTTGTGTGTGGGGTTGCCCCTGTTAAAACAACTTCACTGGCTGCTGGTCCGTTTCTGAGCACAATTCCAAGTGTTGGTTATATAGCTTTGGCCCAGGCCGCATGAAATATATTTCGCTGGTACTAAGATCCTTGGGTGAGCAACTTCTCTCAGTGCCACCAGCATCAAAGGCATGGCAAGGGAGAATGTTTTTCTGTGTCTGCTCAGTGTGGCGTTCGTACGGAGCCCCCGGTCGTCTCACGGACTATTGACCCGTACACCACTAACCCAAGTCAGTGACTATTTCACTAGCAAAGCCCAATCTACTCATATCGTTAATTAAAGCAGTTGCCATCGTTTCCGTTTCAATGTTTTGCAACGGAATGGCTTCTGGATATTTGGTTGTGTAATCCACTATGGTGAGGATGTGTATGTTTCCCCGCCTCCTGGCTCTAGGCAATGGCCCTATCAGGTCCAGCCCTAACCGTTGAAAAGGGGTTGATATGATAGGCAAGGGGCACAATTTGGCTTTTGTTTTGTCTTGACCAGTGCCTCTTCTCTGACATATGTCACAGGCTTGACAGTATTGCCTGGCCAATAAAAATTTTGAGCCACTCTCCATTTTGTATGTGTAATACCCATATGCGCTCCAAATACACTATTGTGAGCGTGCTGCAGGATTTTGCCTCGGTATTCATGTGGGATTACTAACTGTCTTCTCACTTCTTCACCCCGCCTACATGGTGGGGCAAGGACTTCTCGATATAAAAGGTCCCTGCTCAAACAAAACCGTTCTGGGCACTCAGGAGTTAGCGGCCTCTCTGACTCGGCTGCCTCAAAGCACATTTGTGACTCAGTACCTTCTTTTTGCTTTTTGGCAAAACTTGGGAGTTTGACTTTTAGTCAAAGGAAACAAAAAGGTGTTTTTTCTTTCCTCACACTGATCATCCCCTGGCTGTCCTTCAGCACTGTCTGCCTCTGCTACTGTATCCACCCCTCAGGATTAGGTGACTGTGGGCTCCCTTTTGCTCTGGTAACTATGAAAGCACTCTGCACATGTTCTAAAATGTCCCAACCAATGAGCACAGGGGCGGGAATTTCTTCCCAAAGGGCTACCTGCCACTTCCCTGCCCAGATTTTGAACCTGACATCTATTTCCGCCACCTTTAGGATCTCTGCTTGTTTCGAAATTCCTTTTAATTTCATTACTTTTCCTGGAATTATGGCCTCATCCTTGATTATCTCCAGGGGGACTATAGTGACTTGTGATCCCGCATCCTTTAACCCGAGATATCTTTTTCCGTCTATCCAGATATACTCTCCAGCGTTCTTTAACAAGAGATTATCTTGTTGAATCGCATAACAGTGCAGGACTTTGGCTTCTACTACCTCAGCAGGCTCAGGCCTAGTTGGCATGGCCGTTCCCTTGACAACCTGACTAGTCTGGCCCTGCTCCACAGGCTGCATACAATATGTTCGTTTCTGTGTGGTGCTATAACTAGATGTTTCTTTTCCTGTTTTACAATCAAAACTTTTATGACCTAATTTTCCACATCTCCAGCATGAAATGTCTTTGGGTCCTGCATAACTTGTTTTATTGACTTTTCTCTCAGTAAACTTTGTAAGGGTGTGTGCCTTCTCATGTGGGCTGTTCGATGAGGGGCTGCTTCTCTTATCAGTTTCTGAGGTAATCTTTCCTTTGGTTTGCTGAAATGTATTCTTGTTTGTTTCCCAATATCTTCCACCAAATTTTGGCCCATCAAATCCATGGTCTCTGATTTCATTTATTTTACCGGCTAAACCAGCTGCTTCCTCTATTGTCTTGGGGTTCCTTTCTTTTATCAGGTACTTCAATTGGCCATTTATTGTGTTGTAAAATTGCTCCAACGCTATCACTTCTCTAATCTTAGGTACCGTGTCTGCATTCTCTTGCTCTAACCATCTTGTGAGGTAAGTTTTTATCTTTGCACCCACCTGCGCACAGGTTTCCTCCCTCACCTTTGTCACACTTCTAAAGTTTTTTCTCAACTGCTCTGAGGTAATCCCAGAGTACACCTGCTTGTACACCTCAAAATTTTGGGATTGTTCCTCAGTCATTTGAGCGTATATTTCAGCCAGAGGACCGCTTATCCTAGCTCTCAAGATCATCATTTTATCTTCCTCTCTCACTTGAAAATCGTGACAGGCTCTCTCGAAGGATACTAGATATGCTTCTGGGCTATCCTTATCTCTAAACTCAGGAAAGCATTTTAAATCTATCTTCATTTGATTCTACCCATCGGTATTATTACTATTTTTACGATTTGTGTCCAGTTCTGGGCACCACAGTTCAAGAAGGACACTGACAAACTGGAACGTGTCCAGAGGAGGGCAACCAAAATGGTCAAAGGCCTGGAAGCGATGCCTTATGAGGAACGGCTAAGGGAGCTGGGCATGTTTAGCCTGGAGAAGAGGAGGTTAAGGGGTGATATGATAGCCATGTTCAAATACAGTGGTGCCTCGCAAGACGAAATTAATTCGTTCTGCGAGTTTTTTCGTCTTGCAAATTTTTCGTCTTGCGAAGCACGGTTTCCCATAGGAATGCATTGAAAATCAAAAAGTGCTACCACACCTCAAAAACCTCAAAAAAGGCTACCACACCGCATGCCATGAGTTGTTCCTCGAAGTCAAGTCGCAACTGCACCTCTTCAAGCAATGCATCCTGGGTATTAACGGTTTTAAGAAAAGGAAACAAACTTGCAAGACATTTTTGTCTTGCGAAGCAAGCCCATAGGGAAATTCGTCTTGCGAAGCAACTCAGAAAACGAAAAACTCTTTTGTCTTGCGAGTTTTTCGTCTTGCGAGGCATTCGTCTTGCGAGGTACCACTGTATATAAAAGGATGTCACATAGAGGAGGGAGAAAGGTTGTTTTCTGCTGCTCCAGAGAAGCAGACACGGAGCAATGGATCCAAACTACAAGAAAGAAGATTCCACCTAAACATTAGGAAGAACTTCCTGACAGTAAGAGCTGTTTGACAGTGGCATTTGCTGCCAAGGAGTGTGGTGGAGTCTCCTTCTTTGGAGGTCTTTAAGCAGAGGCTTGACAACCATATGTCAGGAGTGCTCTGATGGTGTTTCCTGCTTGGCAGGGGGTTGGACTCGATGGCCCTTGTGGTCTCTTCCAACTCTATGATTCTATGATTTTCTAAAACCGTTAATTCCGACTGTCTCATCTCTAACTGAAACTGCTGCTGTTCCCTTTCTTTTACCAATTCTTGCTCAAGCCTCAATAGTTCAGTTTCTTGCTCAGCCCTCAATTTTTCCTTTCCCAATTCCTGCTCCAGCCTAAATTTTTCTTGTTCAGTTCTATTTTTCTCAAGCTCTAATTTCAAGTTATATTCTTGTACTAATTTCCACTTTTCAAAATCCTCTGAGAACTGTGGAACTTCTACTTCAGGTGGGGTTTTAGTCATCTCTTCTATTCTCGTTTCCTCCCCCTGGGGATTCCCCTTCTCTTCTCCAGAGCTTTCATGTGGGTTTTCTCTCACTGGGTGCTTGGTCTTCTTGGGTGGCATTATGGGTGAGTCAGTATTTTGCGCTAATTAAATAAGAGACTTTGACTCTCAACACTGTTCCTCCCGGCTTGGCTTTTCAAGACCCTGGTCCCCAAAGTATAGCTTTAGGTTTTTGCCTCTAACCCTTCAAGCTTCCTTCCACTGACCCCGAGCCTAAGCCTCCGCCAGAACAGTCTTTTGAGATCTCTTGCTCTTATTGTTATCTCGGCCTTGCAGCAATCTGGGGTTTATCCTCAATCACACCCTCGGGCCAGGTAATCTCTTCCCCGATTTACCCTTCCCCTCTCCAGGTGTATTGCTTCCCCTCACCGGCTCTTAGACTTATCGAATCCCACCGCTGCCACCAATTTTGTGGCGTTCGTACGGAGCCCCCGGTCGTCTCACGGACTATTGACCCGTACACCACTAATCCGCTGCCACCAACCAGGTCCTGCCTGGTAAAATCTCTTCAGTCTCAGTCAGCTTTTCAATTAATAAAGAAGAATGTATTTTATTTCAGACTTAAAACAAAACTTTTACGGTATTCCAAACGTTGTTGCTCTTTACAGTGGTGCCTCGCAAGACGAAATTAATTCGTTCCGCGAGTTTTGTCGTCTTGCGATTTTTTCCGTCTTGCGAAGCACGGTGTCGGGAAAGTTTTGGAAAAGCTTCAAAAATCACCAAAGTCTTTAAAAACCTCAAAAAAGGCTACCACACCGCGTTCTATCAGTTGCTCCTCGAAGTCAAGTCGCAACTGTATTAATGGTGTTAAGAAAAAGGAAACAAACTTGCAAGACGTTTCCGTCTTGCGAAGCAAGCCCATAGGGAAAATCGTCTTGCGAAGCAGCTCAAAAAACAAAAAACCCTTTCGTCTAGCGAGTTTTTTGTCTTGCGAGGCATTCGTCTTGCGAGGTACCACTGTACTTTCTTAGTCTTATTTTCCTCACTCTATCTCTTCTACCTCCCCACACTCAAGAACCCACAGCCCTAACTGTCTCTCTATTACCAACTGCCTTTCCCAACCAGCCAACCAACTGCTCACCCACAATTCCCAACAAACTCCTCCCAGAACTCCTCCCAGAACCCACTGACTCCACCCCCCTGGGTCCTGTCTGTGCAAACTATTTAACTATTTCCCCTCCAGCACTCTCTCATATATGTTAATGTCACACTCACATATTGTGGAATTCTCTCCCAGAAGAAGTTAGATTGGCTTCCCCTTTGTTCTCTTTCTGCTGACAGGCTAAGACCTTCTTATTCAGACAGGCATTTGGAACCGAAGGGGCAGATGATGTTGACCACGGAGCTGCTATCAGGGCAAACTGAATTTTGATGCTGGTTTTCAATGTGTGTGTCGTTGCATTTTAACTGTTGTTGTTAACTATTTGGTTTTTGTTACTTTGTATTCTAGAATTGGGACGCGGGTCTAAACCACTGAGCCTAGGGCTTGCCGATCAGAAGGTCGGCGGTTCAAATCCCCGCAACGGTGTGAGCTCCTGTTGCCCCTGCCAACCTAGCAGTCCGAAAGCATGTCAAGTGCAAGTAGATAAATAGGTACCACTCCGGCGAGAAGGTACATGGCGTTTGCGTGCGCCGCTCTGTGCGCCGCTTTTGTGACTTGGCACACATTGTCATTAAATTTTGTAATTTTTTTCATTTAGTGCAGAAATGCATGTTGGCTATTTTTTATTTTTTATTTTTTATTATTATTATTATTATTATTATAACATTGGTAGAGTGAAACTTTAAAAAATGAAAAAGGATTATAGCACTACTTAAAATAAATTATTAAAACACCTCTTTTCCAGCCGCTAGCATTTTACTAATTCCCCCTCCCCAAATAAACTTTCAATCTCAAAACATGCCTTAAAAGCCGTGAGAGAAATTGGGCAGTCATACTTTAATAAATAAGCGCTATAGTGCAAATTAAATATCTTTTTTAAAAAGGCTGCATTGGTGAGTTGTACCTTCTATGCCCAGAGTGCCATGTTCTATCCCTGCTGGGCTAAATATAGCAGGATTAAAATGTTCTAATATTTTATTTCTTTTCTTCCCATTAAATGCTATTTATTTGTGGAAATTATTTCACATACTGGCAGCCCCTCATTTAGGCGTGTTCAATATGTATGTGACCATGTATATGTGCATCGTTCTGAACAGGAAGTGACCCGGAAATGTCATAAAGATGTTACTGAAATGTCACTGAAAAAGGGGGGGGGTTGTTGCAGGCTTTTCCAATGGGTTTCAATTATACATGATTTCATCGATGCACGTGGTGCCTCAGAACGTAACCCCCACGTAAATGAGGGACTGCCTGTATTCACCTGTATCAGTTTTCCCCGTTTAAATTAAGATGCATTTTTTTTTACTTTTAGGATAATGGCAGGAAAAGTCAAATGGGTTACTGACATAGAGAAATCTGTGCTTATAAACAACTTTGAGAAGAGGGGATGGGTCCAAGTGTCAGAAAATGAAGACTGGAATTTTTACTGGTAAGCAGTGTGTGTGTGTGTTGTGGAACATGTTGCATACATAATTACACTTATTTGGGAGTAAGCCCCATTGAACTCAGTACCTCCCAATACAAATTAACCTGGACCCTGAGGCCCTTCTTCATGTGCCCCCTCCATGAGAGGGCCGGAGGGTAGCAACACGAGAGCGGGCCTTTTTTGTGGTGACTCCCTTTTTGTGGGATGCTCTCTGGGGAGGTTCACCTAGTGCCTTCATTACGTACGGTATATTTAGGCACTAGGCAAAACACTCCTCTTCTCCTAGGCCTTGGGCTAATTCAACAATCTTTGGCCTTTCAAACCTGGGGGGGGGGGGGGTTAATATATTTTTGTTTGTTATCATGGTATATATTTTTGTGTTTTTAAATATATGGTCATCTAATTCCAGTGTATGAGAAGAGCATCTTGTTAGGGTTCAGTTCATCAGTGGTTTATATTCATGCAGTTTTCAGAAACTGCTCACTCCACTTATACCATAATTTGGAGAGGCAGCAGGTACGTGCGAACCCCCTCCTGTTGTAATGATTCCTGGGGGAAAGCAGAGCTTGGAATGCAGAATAACGAGATAATTTGTAGGGTACAACAACAATTTATAGAATGCCTGCTCCACCTTCAAGAATGACTGCCTTTTGGAAATTCTCTGGAGAAGAGGTGGTAAGAAGAGTGAAGTAGATTTCTTATTAGATGTCTTCCAGTTTTTTCTTCTGATCATATTTAATGCAAAGGCCAGCCTGATTCCTATCAGGTTGTGAGTTGCATATTTTGGGGGAAGCCCAGTGACAATTTTCTCTTCACAGGATGAGTGTGCAAACTATTCGAAATGTTTTCAGCGTGGAGACTGGTTACCGCCTCTCTGATGACCAGATTGTCAACCATTTCCCAAATCACTATGAGCTCACCCGAAAGGACTTAATGGTCAAAAATATTAAGAGGTACAGGAAGGAATTAGAAAAAGAAGGTAGCCCTCTTGCAGAGAAAGATGAAAATGGAAAATACCTTTACTTAGGTGAGTTGTCTTGGCCAATTCTACTATTTGTATGTGCATTTTAAACACAAGACATCCCTCAGTAGCATATAATAGATATTCAGAAATTTGGATCTTTGCCATCCAGTTCACACATCACATTAAATCATTGTTTAACTTACTGTGGAGCAGGGTGTCTGGTGCAGCTGCTCAAAAAGACCATGGTTCGTTCTCCTTCCCTCCTTTCTGATGGTGAGGAAACAAATCAGAGGCGGGCTAGCTGTTTTGTGGAAAGCAGTCCTTGTGGTTTGTTTGTCTCCTAACAAATCATGATGGGGTTAGTTCTTGGCTTACCATTGTGGTTTGGTAGGCGACAAGGTCTGCTCTTGGCTTACCATAATAGTTTGTTGGGAAACATGTGTGAACCGGCACATGCTGTTTGTATAACGGCAAGCCAACCTCTGGTTTGATTTCTCGCTGGTGGACTGAAGGGACGAACAAAGTGTGCATTTCCTTTAAGCCATACTGAATCTTATACTGTGACTTAAAGTGGTGTCTGAACCAGGCCTGTGGTTTTCCAGAGAATTCTGCAGCTTACTCATCTCTCCATGTGTCTTGCTCTGCTCAAGGTCAGTGACCACATACACAACAGTTCAGGGGAAATGTAAGCACTTCAAAAGCTCTTAATTGTGTAGAGCACATCTTCTCAGGTAGTAGGTAGTAGGATAGCTTCAGTGTGAGGGTCTGAGGAACAAATTTATTTCATGAAAGATCCCCTAAAGGCAAGTTGAGAGTGGTTTTTTGCCTGTCCAGACTGTGTATGAGAGAGCATTAAGATAAAAACATCAGTGATTTTTTTGAACCACATTTCAGTTAAAATACAACTGAGACATGAGGGCTCAGATAACGTTGCTTTGAGGCCGGTACTTAGCTCAATAGGCCACATGTCAGTCGTGAATCAGCTGAGACAGATTTCTGAAAACGTCACATGGGCAAGGTTTCTGAAGCATATTTTTGCAGATTTAAAAGAGCAGACATATTGAACACAGCCTTATTGCAAGTCTTACTACAGTTTTCCAATAGTGTGAGAAAAGATGTAATTTGTCCAAGATTATGAGAGGCTGGTAATGGAGCAGGTGTTTAAAATCATGTTTGGTCTTTCCAAGAGTATAAAAAACAGACATGGCCTTGTTGAGGCCATCAGTTGTAGAGCTTGCAGTCTGATCCTAACCAAGGTGACTTGGGTATAAGCCCAGTTGATTTCAATAGGATTGACTTCCCATTATGTATGCTTGGGTTTACAGCCTTATTTGGCTGTCTAGAATCAGACTTTTCCCATAATGCTTTTAGCATTACTATAGTATGAGTTGAGAGAATGCAACTCCATTCTTAATATACTTACTATCAATTAAGGTTTAAATAGACTTTCAGTAACTCTTGATAGTGAAGTTCTGCAGATACTCTTCGACTCATGGTAATCCTCTTAAGATGGTGAACAACAAAAAAGTTATTTCTCTGTCACCTGTTAATTGGTCTAAACCAGGCTTCCTCAACCTTGGCCCGCCAGATGTTTTTGGCCTACAACTTCCATGATCCCTAGCTAGGAGGACCAGTGGTCAGGGATGATGGGAATTGTAGTCTCAAACATCTGGAGGGCCAAGGTTGAGGAAGCCTGGTCGAAACTATCCAAGCTTCTTTCTACTCTAGTATTAAACATGGAGTGCAGGTGTTGGAGAGAGGATGAGCCCTGTCACTGCCATCACCTTAACTAACAAACAATGTAGACTAGGAGAGAATGTGAACAGGGCTGCGTTTTCCCCTTTAGTTTTATGTGTTGATGTATATACTGTATTAAATATTTTTAGATGATAAATTCCTTTGGTACCGGTTCTTTGCAAAGCACTGTGTAATTAAATGGCACTCTGTATAACTATGCTATATTAATTCTTGGTTTTCCTTGGTGCGTTTTAGACTTTGTGCCTGTCACCTTTATGCTCCCAGCTGATTACAATTTATTTGTTGAAGAATTCCGGAAAAACCCTTCCAGTACTTGGATTATGAAACCCTGCGGAAAAGCTCAAGGGAAAGGAATATTCCTTATCAACAAACTTTCCCAAATTAAAAAATGGTCTCGAGACAGCAAAACATCCACGTATGTTTCTTCAAAAAGGGGTGGGGTCTTGTTTAACTCTTTGTTGCAGTCTAGCACGTTTGTCTGAATTTGTGACTTTCTTATTTTGCTGGAAGGTCATTCATAAGTGCTTCAAACAGTTATTACAGATTACAGGGCACTTTACGTGTGTAAGATAAAAATGAATCTAGAAATAGGTGTACAGAAAAGATGGGCCTATAAAATTGTAAGTTGTGGCACTGATTGCTTTGGTATAATTGCATGAAATGATTTTAGTGCCCTTTTTAAAGGAAGTGGAAGTTGTTTTGGGAAGCACCAAATGACTATTAACTGTGGTGGATAGAGTTTTAAGAATATTCTCAAAACTTTTTGCCAGTCAGATTAAGACAAAAGCTATTATATTTAAAAACTTTTATTTACATTAATGAGTCCTTGGAACTTCTTCCTATAAAGTGTCCCGTAGCTGCAAGAAGCACTCTGTGAGCAGCACATTGGTCGTCCTTGCTTTTAAATGCTTGCGGTCTAGGGAAGTTCTTTCTTTTCTCGGAAAGATTGAATCAGTCCTATCTGTCACCTCTTCTTGTTCAACAGTTCTGCATATAGCACTAAAATAAAACTGCCTTTGTTACTGTTCTACAGCTAGTTTTACAAATAAAAGCAAACAGTTGAATGCAACTAGCACATTTGAAATAATAAAATATACATTTCCCTAGGTTTATATCTCAGTCCTCTAAAGAAGCTTATGTGATTTCTCTGTATATCAACAATCCTCTACTGATAGGTGGGAAGAAATTTGACCTTCGCCTGTATGTTTTAGTGTCTACTTACCGTCCTCTGAGATGCTACATGTAAGTTGTCCATATTCTGACGATGTCCCTGTTTCAGGGTGAGAAGTGGCACTCTGGAAATAAAAAGTGACGGAGGGTAATTTTCATCCAGAGTTGTGAGGAAGTTGTATTTTAACTTGTTATATTTCCCTATGCATATTGGCAAGCTGGAGGGGAAGGGAGATTTTGAGTAACCCTGCTAAGTTTGTCAGATGACATTCTCCAAAATAACCCCATCTAGAAATTGTCTTATGTATCCCAGCAGGGCAAATCATAAAGAAAACAAACATTTGTTTGTTATTTCTTCGGTATGGAGAATTTGTTTGATCAGATTTGCACTGACACAAATTTGCACCCACAAAGGCAGGCAGTTTGCAGTTATCTTCTCCCTGCAAGTCTGGATGCAACCTCTGTGTCTCCTTCTCCCAGCTTGAAGGTGGTTTTGCTGGAATTCACTTTTGTACAATTTGGCATTGCCCTGAAACTTTTCACTTTCCTTCATTGAAGTCTGTTTCTTTGTTCCATATTGGCCAAGATGTCTTTAGAAACTTTTGAAGTGCTTTAGTCTAAATCTTTTTGAATTAATCTTCTAATATCTAGCTTTTAATATTATCTCTGTATTTTGTTGAGAATCTCAAAGACTTCTGAAATCATAGTTTGAAGAAACCATTCTTATTCTCTATCATGGTTTGGATATGTATACAGGGTAGGAGTTAGATTGCTTAATATGTATTTTAAAAATCAGTCTCCTAATCAGTTGAGTCATAACGCCAGGTTGTTGGGGGGTTTTGGGGTGGGGAGAGAATCCAGGAAGTAATAGACCAGGCTTCCTCAACCTCGGCCCTCCAGATGTTTTTGGCCTATAACTCCCATGATCCCTAGCTAGCAGGATGATGGGAACTGTAGTCTCAAAACATCTGGAGGGCCGAGGTTGAGGAAGCCTGTAATAGGCCAGCAGTCAGAATTCTGCATTCTTTAAGAACTTTGGGATGAATATCATCCAGCCCTGGCACCTTGTTAACTTCTAAATCTTTCCCTTTAGTGGACACAATATTTTGATTCACTAATAGAAAAATAAACAGGATTGCAAAAAGCATTGAGAAAAATTTAATACCTCCTTAATATCAATATATCCAGGACAGTTTATAAGTTAAAATAAATAAATAAATTGGTGAACAATAAAACCTGCCTCCTCCCTTTTTTGCATTTCAGGTATAAACTTGGGTTTTGTCGCTTTTGCACAGTAAAATACACACCAAGCACAAGTGAATTAGACAACATGTTTGTGCATCTTACCAATGTTGCCATTCAGAAGCATGGGGTAAAGTTGGAACATTTTTCTATAATGTATATTTAAATTACTTTAAATAAATTTATAAACTGAACATAAGTAATAAAAACACAGTACCTCAGTCCCTTGATTACAACCTCTTTCCCATTGTTGCTTTAGTGGACTTACAGTAAGTGCTGTTAATTCCTGGGAGTTCTACCTCTGAGGGGAACAGGGTTCTCCTGGCAACTCTCAAACTCTTAGCAAACTGCATTTCTCAGGCTTTTTTTTGGGGGGGAGGGTAACAATCTGTTTAAAGTGGTACAATTATGTTTAAAATGCACAGCACTGATGGGGCCAATGTCCCTGCTTCTCCAACTAGCTATCCTGCATACAAAACCTGACTGAAGACCATTGTGACAGCTCCCTTTATTCTTTCACAACAGTATTGCTGTCCTTACTTACTCCAGAGTCTGGCTTGTGAACCTCCTGCTCTATTAGATCAACAAAGAACTGTTTGGAAAATGTTGCGAGTGTGTTTACAGCTGATATCAAATCTATACTTTTTGATTTGATGCCTTGCCTCTGCAGGATGATTACAATCACATCCATGGTGGTAAATGGACGGTGAGCAATCTGCGCTTGTATTTAGAAAGCACTCGTGGGAAAGAGGTCACCAACAAGCTGTTTGATGAAATTCACTGGATAATTGTGCAGTCACTGAAAGCCGTTGCAGTGAGTAGAGAAACAAAAGAAAAATATGTTTTATAATGCTTCCTTCTGCTCTTCCCGGTTTGAATATTGAGGCTGTAAATATGTGTGCTTATCTTTTCGGTGTCCTTTTTAAAAAAAGGCCACAGAGTTTATTAAGCAGGCAGTACGCACGTTGTGTACAAATAAGGACTATATAGGAACATAAACGTATCTCTGCTGGGCCAGGCCAGTGGCCCGTCTAGTCCAGTATCCTGTTCTCACAGTAGCCAACCAGATGCCCATGGCAAGCCTGCAGGTAGGACCTGATTGCAACCGTATTCTCCACTTTCCAGAAACTGGTTTTCTGAACCATGGTGCCTCTGATCATTGGCTAGGGGACACCGACAGCCTTGTCTTCTGTGAATTTGGCTACACCTCTTTTAATGCCAACAAAGTTGGTGGCCATCATTTTCCATTGCAGGAGCAAATCCCATGTGCTGTGTGAAGTCCTTTCTGTTGTCTCTCATGAATCTTCCGACATTCAGCTTCACTGGATCTCCATGAGTTCCTCGTGTTACGAGGGAGAAAGACTTTAATTTATCCCCTTTCTGCATGCCGTGACATTTCTATCCTGTCACCTCTTATTTGCCTTTTTTTCTAAACTAAAAGGCTCTATATGTGGAAACTTTTCCTCTTGGGAAGTTTCTCCATTCCCTCTTTTTGGGGGAAGTTTCCTCTTTTGAACTCAAATGTTCCTATGTTGGATTTTCTTGGCAAGTGGCCACTTACACGTTTATTTAATGTAATAGTCCTATGGTCACTCCTTCCTTTCAGTCCAGCAACACTTTACATCTCATACTTGGGCTTGGGCGCCACTTAAGATTAAGTCCAGGGTTGCCATCCCTCTGGTCGGTCCAAGGTCACAGTCATTTAGGGTTTCTATAAATGTTACCTTTTTGCCAAGGCTGGCATGCGTATGTGTGTGAGGGTAGTTGTGTCACCCATTAATGCATGAGTATTTGATCAGGGGACAATAGCATGCCCTCAGAACTAGATAATTTTTTGTATGATTGAAAAATACTTTTTAATAAAGTATTACTTGGTTCTCATCACCAGGCTGAGGAATACGATCACGTGGCAGCTGCATCCTTGAACCTGGCAACCACCCCCTTCAATGCAAAGCAAGACTTGGACAGGATCTCTTGAGCTTTGGGGGTTCTTAAAAGCAGGATGATGCCCAACACCTTCCTTTGAGTCCTTTATGGGTGGAGAGCAGCTGGGTTGGTGGCAATAACAAGCAGTGACCCGTCAAACTTTTTGGACCCCCTTTTCTAGCCCACAATATGATTGTTTGTATCATTTATTGAGGGCGTCCCACAGCTGACAGCAGCCTAGCAAAATAGGGAGCATGTAACTGAAATGCCTCACATATTTATTTCAGGAGTCTTAGTCAGACTCCGTAGCTAGTAAAATTGTACCGATGTTCATTTCTGCTCTCATGTACGTTTTCAACTCTTTCAGCCTGTAATGAACAATGATAAACACTGCTTTGAATGTTACGGATATGACATCATCATTGATGACAAGCTAAAGCCATGGCTTATTGAGGTAAGCGGAGTTATCTTGGCGTTGCAGGTTTTCTTTGAAAAGCAGCGTGGAAAAAGGGTCCTGCTCATTGGCTCCTAAAGGATTCCCCTTCACCAGACTCTGAATGGGAAAGTCTTTGCTTTTGAGGAATCCTACTCATAAAAAGGTGTCTTATAATGAATCCAGGCCGTTGGTCCATCTAGTCTAGCACTGGCTGCCGTAGCTGTTGCTCTCCAACGTCGATATTTCCCAGCGCTGTTTCTGGAGATCACTTCTCATCAGAGATCCCAGGAATCGGCCACTCAGCTATGCCCCTCCTCACAGAGAAGCCTTGCTGCCTCCTTGTATGGGGCATAGTGGATGCTGAGCCCCTGAGCTGGGACTCGGGCTCTGCTGGCTCCTGCCATAGGGGAAGTGGGAAATGAAGCCAGGGCAACTATGGTGACCAAACTACAGCATCATAGCACCTGGTGGAACTTCGCAAACTTGGCTGTCTCAATTCATGAAAATCAGGGGCACGTTTCGAGATCTACAACTCTGCAGAAAAACCTTGTTAGATGATGGGAAGGGAACCTTTGGCCCTCCCGTTGTTGCTGAGCTAGAACTCCCATCGTTCTTTGTCCATTGGCCATGCGGGCGCTGAGTCTGATGGAAATGGGAGTTTGTGGAAGGCTCTTGCCAGGCATTTCTTTCCCTGTCTTTAGGCACCAGGCAAAAACCTTGCTCTGTAACCAGGCCTTTGGCTATTTGGACCTTCTGTGGCCTTTTGGTTTTGTTCTTGTTTTATTCCGTATTTTGTGTTCTCATTTTGAAACTGCCTTGTAGCACTGTTTAAAAAGAAAAGCCTGACTAGCCTTTCAGATACCTTTTAATTGAATAACTTGTGGAAGAAATGCCTGAAGTAACTGATCCTATCGTTTGAAGTCTTGTTTATTCAGTTACATTTTACTCCAGGAAAACCCATTTATCCTAAATAGAACCCAATGGGGCCAACAAATATGTACAAAATATATATTTTTAAATGCGATCCTAGTCAGATCCCAATTTTGCAGGACGCTCTTAGAAATATGAAATAATACATTTTTGGAATTTTTAATTCCTAGTAATTTTTTATCATTCCAACCATTTTTTTAATTATGTAACTTAAAGTAAATCCATCATGTGCCATATCAAATTAAAGCCCATGAAGTTCTGAAGAGATTGATATTTTTAGTTTGGAAATATCTCAATTCTGAGCTGAGCTTTTAAGATTTTTGTTTAGTCTGGCAAGGCCACAATTGTCAGTTTTTTAAAATTTCAAACCCCCACAACTCAAAAACGGGATGAGATAAAAAAGTAAACTTTTAGATTTAAACTTAGTTCTGATCACTCAACAAGTGTTCAAAATTTTAAGAAAACGGGCCGATATGAGGTTAAAAAGTCATCAAAAATTGGGCAACTTGTTATGAAATGACCCTGAGGAGCTGTTGATGATTTATCGTATTTCTGTTTGTGGAAGAATTGGTGGATGTGAACTATCTATTTTTCTCCCTCCTGTGTACACTTCGTAGGTCAACGCTTCTCCATCTCTAACTTCCAGTACTGCCAATGATCGTATCCTCAAATACAATCTCATTAATGACACCCTTAACATTGCTGTCCCTAACGGGGAAATTCCAGACTGTAAATGGAATAAATCTCCCCCCAAAGAAGCCCTTGGACATTATGAGATTTTGTAAGTATTAATCATAGATAAAGCAATTGTCTGAACCTCTGCAAGTAGATACTTTAGGGCTGCCTTTTGACTAGTATCTGAGTGTAACCTAGTCTTGGTGTTAACTCAGCAAAAACTCAGATGGCACATTATTACTTATTTCTTTTATGAATGACTTCTTAGAAAACATTTCTGAGCAATTTCAGACCATGACAAATCCATAATGCATAAAAGCATAATGGTTCACAAGGTCTGTAGACTTAGTATTTTTGTTAAATCCTTCCCAAAGCAATCCACAGGGATCTCTACTGCAGAAAGACCCATTTTATGGTGGAAAAAAATAGTCCCGTGAAATACTTATGCCTCAAACACTAAGATCGCCTGAATTGAGTCTTACTTAGGGTGCCAGGTGACTTAGCCATTCCTGATTCCAGCCTTGCGCCCTTGACCTCTGTACTGTACCACACAATTTTTCTTCATTATATCTGGTTAAATATGTCTCTTACAGTTGCATCCTTCTGTGAATAGCTGTTGAAATAACAGCCATTATTCACCAGATAATCACATTATTAAGTACAGTGGTACCTCAGGTTACATACGCTTCAGGTTACATACGCTTCAGGTTACAGACTCCGCTAACCCAGAAATAGTGCTTCAGGTTAAGAACTTTGCTTCAGGATGAGAACAGAAATCGGGCTCCAGCAGCGCAGCGGCAGCAGAAGGCCCCATTAGCTAAAGTGCTGCTTCAGGTTAAGAACAGTTTCAGGTTAAGAACGGACCTCCCGAACAAATTAAGTACTTAACCCGAGGTACCACTGTATTTCAGAATGTTGCAGATTGCTGTGGCAAGTTATAAAAGTGCAGTAGCTCTGAGGTTTGTTGCTGTTAAAAGTTTTAAGGTTCTTCTAGATGAGCCATTTGTTTCACTTGAGTGACGTCACCGTCTGTCATTTATGCCATTAATCTTGAAGCAAAATGGAAAGTACTTACATAGTAAATGGCAGCTGAGGCTTTAGACGGTAGTGATGCACATCCCTGGAAGAAATAGTGCAGTTGTCTGTATTGACAGGACATACACATTAACATGAAGCTTTCAATTCAAAATAACAAGTTCTTATTCTTATCTTCTGTCCTGTGATAGAGCCAAAGTACATAATCAGCAGTATAATGGTGGTATAGCTCTTCCTAAACTTCAGTGGCTTGTATCACTGTAGACTACACACAAGAAGTGGAGATTGTGTGTGTGTGTATATGAAATAGGGATGCTGGTGGCGCTGTGGGTTAAACCACTGAGCCTCTTGGCTTGCCGATCAGGTCAGCAGTTCGAATCCCCGCAACAGGGCGAGCTTCCGTTGCTCGGTCCCTGCTCCTGCCAACCTAGCAGTTTGAAAGCACGTCAAAGTGCAAGTAGATAAATAGGTACCACTCCAGTGGGAAGGTAAACGGTGTTAGTCATGCTGGCCACACGACCCGGAAGCTGAGGACAAATGCCGGCTCCCTCGGCCTATAGAGCGAGATCAGCACCGCAACCCCAGAGTCGTCCGCGACTGGACCTAACGGTCAGGAGTACTTTTACCTTTACCTTTATATATAAAATATCTTCCCCACACAGGTTTTCTGCATGCAGAAGAACCAGAAGTATTCTCCTTCACATGCTTCCAATATGCATGGGGTTGGGGGAAAGGGGTTATTGGTTGGTTGGTTTTTTGTTCTCATTTTTATCATGTATTTTTGTGTTGTGAACCATCCTGATATTGTGGGTAGAATAATAATAATAGGCAGATAATTGGCAAGCATTCAATTCCTCCATCTACAACCTGTAGTAGCAAAGTCTAGGAAGAGTGGTACCACTTTGTTCTGATCATTGCTTAGCCCACCTGTGAATCCCATGGGACAATACTGACTTTCTCTTTTTCCCTTAGATACGATGAAGAGATGGCACAAAGTGAAGTGTCAGATCGTGATTTGAGAAGTCGCTCTGGGCAGTCCATTGGATTGAAGGGAACTCGAGCCAGAGACACTGGAAAATCAGGGCCCCTTACATGGAAGTAGCTGCAGAATGAACTGTAGACTGACGCTTCCTGAGATTCAGGGCTGTGGTTTTTGTAGGAAGTTTGCTTGAAACGGATGCTCAGATTTTGGATGACCTCCTTCCTGTTTGCAAAATGCTCTTCTGGGGGAAGTAATGTTGCGCAAAGAGGACAGAATAGTTTTCTGTCCGGCAGTGACAAGTACATTGAAGGACTGGACAAAATTGGTTTATTAGCATGTATATAAACAGTTATTAATCAGTTCATTGCAGTTTTACTGCGGGACTGTTATGTTGCATGTTGTATGAAATAGTTGTATTAATATATACTATGAGTTAATATAATTGGAAATGATCTTTTTACCGGTAAATAAATTACTGTGTCTTGCAAACAAGTCTTTGCTTTTCTCACACATTGCTACCATAGGGGTCCCCAATACTTTTCCGTTCAGAGGCACTTGTTTTGTTTTGGACTACAAAATACCCCCCCCAGCCCTCCCAAACTTACATTTCAATAAATCAGCAGGGGCTGGAAACCTCAGTGGGCGCCAACAGCGTGATGTGCCCCCAGGTGCCACATTGGACCAAATATGCATCTTGAAATTCATATTTTGTAGGGAGAAAAGCTGTCTTTTTTTCTTAATATTTTACTAAATTGTAAGAGTATACTACTGAAAACACACATACATTTATTTATTTATTTTTTTGCAAAATACACCAAAAGACCAAATCAGTATGGTTCATGTTCGAAATGCCTGTTTTCAAACTACATGTTTCCACTTCTAAAATCTGCTTGTAGAATGGGTGGGGGAACCTAATAAAGCCTTTGTGTACTGGGGATATTGTGACAGGCCTGCTGTCATGACTATATATAGCAAAGACCGATCTATAAGCTGTGTGCTGATACAGCAATGCGTTTCTGCACAATTTGATGTAACGGCTGTTATTGGTAGAAACGACGTCAGTGTTGAGTTTCAAGTATCATTCGCCAATTGTTAATCTGGCAAGCACACTAAGAAACTGGTGCATTGCAGTGGGTTTGTCAGATAGCATAACAAATTGCTACATCAACATTTATTTTTACTCTGAGGTGCTGTGTTCTACTCTTAATAGTCTTTCCATTTTTGCTACTTAAACATGTCTCTGCTTCAGTGCACTAAACCACAATTGTATGCAACTATAGTAGCCACTTCTTTTAAGTCACAAACATGCTGCTGTCACTACTATTAGATGCTACCTTTTGACTTTGGCCAGTTGGTTACCTCTCCTTAGTGATTCTTCTATTTTCCTACGAAGGTGGTCTCCGAGAGAGACAGGAAAAAGGACATCATGTATGGGAAGAGATGCAGCAAAGTAGTGAATTTTTGCACCCCAAGTACACACAATAAAGACAACTCCTGCGGCGTTAGCCGATGTGAGACTGTGGCTCAATACAGACATCGAACCAAATCATGCTTTCCGAGCACCAAACTAGTTAAGAAGCCAAATGGTACTTCAAGCTTCCAGACAATTGAGTTTATATTATCATCATTCTATTTTACTATTATTTATTGTATTTGTTAGTCATTTCTTATAAGGTGACTTGCTTTAAGATTAATTCAAAGCACCAAACAAAGCCTAAGAATCTGCTGTGTAATGTTGGGGACATTGAACAGGATGGGAGATAACTAGTGTGAAAGGGGAAGATGGGATTAATGAGGAACGCCTTTGTGTTGTGGCTTTAATTTTAAAAAGGCCTATTAATAGCTTTAAGGTTAAGAATGTTTATTTTGTGCAGTCTGCTTTGAAATCCCTCCTGGATTTCTCTGAGCCACTTCTTGGCTGGGAGAAAGCTGCTGTTAACTACATTTGCAGTCCAATTGTGAATGTCATGGTTGTGATGTCATGCATAAAGGCAGGTGTTTCCTCCTCCATCTCCCCAAACACACATTGTTAGGAAATGTTCGTGTGCCCAGATATTGGAAAGAATTATGCCGTTGTAAACAGAAGCATTTTATCATTGTAGCAGATACTTAACCTCCTGAGGAATCGCAAGATGGATGCTGTAAATACTAGCAAAGTTACCCCATATGTACAACTGGGCAGAAAAGCAGGGGGCTGCCCAGTTCACACCCTCGCCCACGGCACAGTGCATGATTCTTTTTTTAGATAATAAAAGTTTTTATTGATTATTTTCACATAACAAATTATTTCAACAATTGTATTTTCCTCCCTTCCCTCAGTTCCTCTTTCTGATTTATTTGCATATATTGTTCTCTGCGTGTTATGAGAATGTAAAAATCTCTAAGTTATCCATCTATTATGTCAACAAATAAATTTGTGCATGTTTATTCAAAACCTGCCAAGGAGTCCAACTCATTCTGTTGTTTTTTTAAGTACTTTGTAAAAGGTTCCCATTCCCCCAGAGTTTAACTGCTTTGTGGGGAGGGTGCTGTTATACCTAGCAGAGCTGTGAGATGCAGTGTGTCTTATGTGATATTATATTGGCTATAGCTGAGCCCTGGCATATTGTGAAGACTGGTACCGGCTGGGACACATTATTCAGCGAGCAAAGAGCAGATGGCTAGTATTAAGTAGTGGGTTGACAAAGCCGGCACATTCCGATTGGCCCTTGGACTTCTGTTTGAACTTCCTGCGCTCCCGCTTTGTCTGGTGCACGTCATCCTCTTCACTGGAGGATGCCTTGTCACTGCTGGCCTCTTCGTGATGCACTGGAACTGGCTTCCTAGCAAGACGCGGGCTGCTGGCCTTGCGGATCTCCTGGGCAGAGCGTTCAGCAGCTTCCGAGGCCACGGCCTCCTCAATGGCTTTCTGCAGCGTGAGGTCTGGCTTGGCGAGGAGACGCCATTGCAGATAGATGTCCCGGACCCCGCACACGATTCCATCCATCAGGGCATTGTCTAAGTCTCGGAACTCGCAGTGCATTGCAGCCTGTCGGAGGGCGGTGGTGTAGTTGTTACTTGACTCCCCCTCTGCCTGGTCCCAGTGGTAGAACGCATGGCGGGCAGCAATTTTGGATGGCTTCGGAGTGTAGTGGTTTTTTAGCTTCTCCTTTACCACGTCCCATGGCGCTGCCTGGACTGCTAGTGGCGCAACCAAAACTCGGGCCGTCTCGAACACCTCAGGCCCACAGAGGCTGAGGAATAGGCCCGCTTATGCTCCTCTGACACTTCCGTCAGCTCGTTGGCTTGGAGGTAGCAGTCGAACCAAGTGAGGTAGGAGTCCCATGATTCAGAGGCTGGGGCAAACAGCAGTAGAGGCACAAGTGAAGCCATGTTTCCAATGCCGACCTGGTGGGCAATGGCTGGAACACAGTGCTCTAGCCAGTACCGTCAGCTCTGAATTGGTACTGTTCAGTGATTTCGCTCAGTGTTTCAGCTCAGTAAGTGTCCGAATCTGGCTGTGCTCCGACGTCCATCTGATCCCATCCTCGTCGCCAGTATTAAGTAGTGGGTTGACAAAGCAGACGACACATAGATTTCTCCAAGTGGTTCTTTATAGTAAGCTGGAACAGCAAACAGCTCAGCCAGCCTGCTTTTATAGGCAGCCGGCTGTCAACGTTGTAACAACCACCACCCAGGGTTTCCCGCCTAAAGTAAATGACGTGGACCTGAGTGAAAACTATATATACGATACTCCTGGTGGCCAGGGATGTGTACTTCAATACATAACAGCTAGAGCTCAAACAACACAGTTAAAGCTGCCTGTTTGTTGTGAGAAAGTGCTGATGGTTAAGGACAATATGGCACATGAGACAGGGTCCCCCCACTCTGACACAAACTCCTTGTGGTTTGGGCATGTCCCACATGCAATCCTATCTCGGATCCTTGTTGACTACAGTTTGAGCAGTCCTGAACAAGCTTTAAAAGCGTCAGCCTACTAGAAGTCTTAATCACCACATGATCCAAAGGGGCAAGGTGAGTTGACTCCCCTATTTTATGGGGGGGCAGGTGCTGCTTGTTCCATGGGGCTGGAGGATGAGGACATCAGCAATCCATGTTCTGGGAATTTTTATTTGAAGCCAGTTCTATTCGGGTCCAAAATTGCCAAAATATGAAAGATCTGCATCTTCTGATCTCTTTTTCTTTGCTTCCTCACAGCTTATGTATTTTCCCCTGTTGCTGCTAGCTACACTGAAGGGGGAAAACATGCAGTAACCTGTATGTCTCTGAAGGAAGAGATAGGAGAGCCACCTTCAAATTTCTTAAGGGCTGTCACATGGCAGAAGGAGCAAGCTTGTTTTCTCCTGGTCTGGAGGGTAGGACCAGAACCAATGGATTCAAGTTACAAGGAAGGAGATTCTGACTAAACATCAGGGAGAACTTTCTGGTCCTAAGAGCTGTTTCACAGTGGCATGGACTCCCTTGGGAGGTGGGTGGTGATGGAGTCCTGTTTTTAAGCAGAGGCTGGATGGCCATCTGCCATGGATGCTTTAGTGGAGATTCCTGCATTGCAGGGGGTTGGTCTAGATGACCCCAAGGGTCCCTTCCAACACTGTCCTTGCCTCCCTACTGTGGGTTATGGCATACTTAAAAAAGGAGTATGGCTGCACACACCCCATACAATTGAAGCACATGGCTTCCCCCAAAGAGCCCGGAATACTTCAGCTTAAGGGTGCTGTGAATTATAGCTCTGTGAGGGGGAAACTAGAGTTCCCAGGATTTTGGGGTGGGGTAGGGTGGGAGCTCTGTGCTTTAAACATATGATGTGTTTAAACTCCCAGTAGTGGGAGTTTGGGCCAGTGTAGGAACACTGCTTAGGGAGGGGTTTGTTGGGTATTGATGGATCTATGTTCACTCACTGGGATGGGAGGCTAAACCTGACTACTAGTCTACACATCAGTTTCCCAAGTCGAGTTTTCCTTGTGCCAACCAATGCAGCAGCTTTCATGAACCTGGTGCCCTCCATATGTTTTGGACTGCATTTCCCATCAGCCCCAGTCACCACAACAGCCCTGGTTATTAATGGGATGTGAAGGAGGGCTGGCATGACAACGTTCTTCCATTCATTCTCCACTTCTCTGTTCACCATTGAGACAAGCAAAGAGGTAGAGGCAGGCATGCCTTGCAGATCTGGTTATGAGCCTCCCCATGGTTACTACAAACTGATCCGTAGGAATTTCCGCCCACAGCAATGAATGTCAGCCATTCTCTGCTCAGCTTCCCAACTGACCTCAGGCAATGATGCTACAAGTGGACTGGATGAGTCAGGGAGGATATGACTGTCAACCACTGGTAAGCATGACGGCTAATTGAAGCCTCCATGTTCAGAGCTGAGGCCAAACAGTGAGGGGGAGCAATTGCCTTGATTACCTGCTTGTTTGGCAGCATCTATCTGGTCCCTGTTGGGATACAGGATGCGGGACTTAGCGGACTTTTGGTGTGCTTCAGAAGAGCTTGAGCAACCTCTGCACAAGGTTAAGCAATTCTCAAAAAAGAGGGCTAGAAAAGTATTTGGCAAAATGTATTTTGCAACTTCTTTGCGAAATATAATACATACTCTGAATGGGAATAAAAATTGCAGTCTCAACTGCACCTGCATTTGAATTTCTAAAACATAACATATTCAATCATTTGGTTTGTGTGTGTAGTTAAGGGGGAAATGGACTAGCAAATATACATGAATATATCTATATATTATATAACAGAAGTATGCACAGTTTTGTCCAGAGGTTAAAGAGAAGCATATGATAAAAAGGTGCAAAAAAGAGTGGGAAACTGAGGAAGAGATAAAAATTACAAAACCAAGAGATTCTTGTGTCATTTGGGCTAATGGTTGGGTATCTTTACAAACAAGGAATAGCTACATTCCTGCAAAGAAGATGCGTTCACAAATGCAAATGCCTGCCTTGAAACTAGAGACAGCAGCTAAATCTCAATTACAGTCAAAGAATGACAGAAAAGGTGCGCAGGTACTGTAGTTCCATGGCCATTTAGAGTAACATCATTTCCCACCAGGGGGCCTGTGTGGGTTAGTATTTTCCATTTATGAACTAGTTTACAAAACCCTTTGCCAAGCCAAATCCTGCAACCATTTACAACAGAAGACAATCAATCCATTCAAAATGGCTGAAACAATGCGCTTTGTGAGCTCCCATTCCCCTCTGGCAGTCAGTGCCTCTCATTCCAGAGCTAGTAGGAAAAGGGTTCATGGAGCTGAGGAAGAAGACTTCTGGGCCAAAACCCTGCAGAGCTGCCATCAAGTCAGTGCAGATGATGCTTAGCTAGATGGACCAACAGCCCGTAGCACCTTACGGTCCTAATTAAAGATGTAACTGAGGGAAATTATTATTTTTTTTTTAATATAATATTTATTGGTTTTACAAAAATTCCAAAACATACAAAAATACAAAAATTCCACAGACAAAAAACAACAATGACAGTAACAAAAAGAAAACAAAGATAACAATATCCATAACAAAGAAAGAAAAAAGAGAGAAAAAAAAAGAAACAGAAAAGTTTAAAAATTTATACTTTCATTTAACCTTCTTATCTT